CAGAATCCTCACTTGAATCTGGAGCTTCAGTCCGTTGTTCAGCTCTCAGACTTACAAACTTTCTGTTCTGGTTCACTGTCACAGCTGTCAAATCTTTTACTATCCCTCTGCTCAGTGATGAATGATGGCAGTATGTTTTATAAACAACAGTAACTCCTACAATTCCTCAAAGTTTTACTTGCCATCCCCTTTGCAAGTGCGCCTGGCTCATCACCTATTAAGAGAAGAAAAAAGATGAACAGGTGAGCTTCACTTTTGTAAAATAAGGAGTTGTGCTGTGTTGTCCTTCATTACATGTGCTGCAGTTTATTATTCCTTTTTATTTTTGTTTTTGTAAAGAGTTAAAGAAGCTGGTAAGATTTTGCCTTCAGCTTTTCACTTGGATTCAGGTGAACTGAAATTTTGGGATTAAAGTCAGGTTCACTGTGGGCCGATGTTCAGCTCCCAGTGAAAGAATGTACACTTAATATGACCCAATCTAGCTCCAGTTTTGAATGGACAAAAAGGATGAAGGGATAACATAATTTTAAACCAAAAGCTTAAAATTCAGGTTCACAGTAAGTCATTATGTCTTAAAAAAAAAAAAAAATTACTCCATCCCCGTCATATTGATGCAATCTTGAAGATATCTCATGTGTTCGCCTTTATATCCTCCTGGACCTAAAGATGAAGTCTGTAAACTTTGTTGTTGGTCAAAGATCAGATGTCAGAGTCACACTGACATCCCATCCATCCAATTATTTTAGACCTCTATGCTTAATACCATGATCGATTAATACACAATCTACTCTGTGTGCCCGGTAACTCTGCTGTAATGAGATTGGTCTGCCGATGATTGTATGATGTGCAGCAAAATGGAAAGAAAGATGTCCTTAAGTATCATGTCCTCCTAGTCCCGTAATGGATTTGGATATGGAGATGCTTCTCTCATGTAAAGTAGAACCACTTGTGTGTCGTGAAGGTAATAACCAAAAATAAACCCACATCCCAGCTAAGTTATAATGTCTTTTTCTTTGGGAGTCATTGATGGATGTAAGCTACTTGAATTGTCTGCAAAGGCAAAAAACATCAAAACAATACCTGTAGTTTGATTATTATTTTTCAATTAAAAGTATTAGTAGTAGTTTATTTCACAATGCATTTGATGAACAGATGATTTCAATCTGTTGTGTTGGATGATGTCCATCATTATCTCTGATCAAAGCTTCTGTCTATTAAAGGGAAGTTTGCCACTTTGTTGGCAAGAGCTTTTGCATGATGAATTAACAAATTGGTAAATGAGATAAGTAACAAGTAATAAATAACAAATAAGATAAGAGAGTACAGTCTATACCTCTCTGTTTATAAGCTGCTCACTTTTCTGAGCAGTGTTACATCAAAAAGATAATTATAGCCAACAATATAATCCTTATATCCTACATCCCTGTTAGGCCAGTGTTTTCAACAAAATGACACTATATCTATGGCAGTAGTGGCAAATACATTACCTTATTTATATTATGTTAGGTCACCTATAAATATATTTAATGATTATTGGGTTATTAATTGAATTAAATGTGCTTAGTTCTCCAGTTTATCTATGCATACTAAAAGACCTTTCTCTCCCTGTTGCTCTACAAAGCACGTGTCAGGCACTACAGGTTAAATAAAAGACATGACGCACAGAGAATGACAAGAGTTTAACTAAATCACTAATAATTGATCAGATAGAATTTGGCAAAGGAGTGGTCTGATCAAAAGCAGGTTCAGACTCCATAAACAACCTTTGCTGCATGTCATCTCCCACTCTCTACTCCCCACATTTACTGTCTCACTTCATATGTACTAACCAATATAGGCAAAAATGCCCAAAAAGCATTTTGAAATATATATATATATATCTTGACCCAGGTAGCTGCATATGCTTACTAGAATTGCCTCAGTACTAGTCTACGCTAACGAGTACTGCTTACGTTGCCACATATCTTCACTCCACATTGTCGCTGAGCTCAGCCAAAGAGAGAAGAAGCCTCAACATCCAGAGGCATCTCAGAGGACAGCTAGTGCTCTGCTGCATCTAAAGTAGCCAGTTGAGATGGTGCACTGGGCATGTCCAACTGTAAGGAGACCTGAGGGTAAACCCAGAATACACAGGAGGGATTAGAGATAGGGGAGCAACTCAGGAACCCACGAGAGGAGCTGGAAAATGTTCTTAGGTAGAGGCACACCTAGACTTCCTCAGCCAGCTGCACACATGGTCATAAACACACAATAAAATACTAAACTCACACTCATCTTTCCTGCAAAAGATACTCAAGAATATTGACTTATTTTTCCATCAAATCACCAGACAGCAAACAGAAATCTTGTGCTTCTGTTATTCTTTTGTCGCCATCGTAATCCACAATGATACAAAAAAGTTAGCAGCGACCAATAATCCTTTGACTTCAATGTCTTTGTCACTATGAAGACTTTCAGACCTCTGCATTATCATAATATCCTTTCTGAGCTGTTAGGGTGATTGAAGTGGGCTCTTCAGCCTAAGTCCAGTTTTAATGAATATAAAGCTTGATGATTTTTGAGTGCTTAGTTCAATGCCTTATCATTTTCCATTTTTTTTAAGTCACATTGCCCCCCCCCCCCCCAACAAAAAAAGGATTATGTCCAGCCATCTTAAAACCATAGGGGTTATGAATTTTTTTTACAATTTACAAAGGTCAATAATTCTTTATTAAAGCGCTATTTGTCTGTATCAGTAGAAAGACTATGAAAATATAATATGTGTACCGTATCACAAATCACCGATTAAAATATTTAGTTGTATATTCTACATTTCTAAAACCAACAAGATTATTTTGCACAGTATTTAAACAGTTTTGAAATTGAAGTTGAACTATTATTCCAACAAAAATGATCTGTAAAGAGTGAAATACTTTTAGAGCAAACTTCCAGCAGGGAACTTCTGCACACTTAAAAAATTCTTTGAATTAGCAGTTAAGTATAATAGCTTTATAGATTTAAATCAGTATAAAGACAAGATGCCAAAGGATTCAGATATAGCAGATACAGTACAGTGGCTTAGAAGTACAGAGCCATTATGAATAAAAAGTACCAAAAGTATAAAACTTTCAGTATGCTAACACTAATAAGGAGGTAGTCAAAATTCATAATTCACAGTTATTGAGTTTTTATTATCACCAAGGTATAATTTTGACCTAACAGGAAAACCGATGCAGCTAAAGTTGGGCTCTTAATGCTAGAAATTGTCACAGTCAAATTCACACACTCACTACCATAGACTGTATAGATACTGTCTACATCCATTCTCTATGTACAGTCTATGCTCACAGCCTCTGAAAGTCGTTGTCCTTGGGTTTTAAAAATCAGAAAATGTCAAATAACATCATATTTTCTCTTGAAAGTTTGCTGGAACTTCAAACAAAATCAAAACCCACGCAAAACCATCATGTCCGCACCATCACTGCTACTTTTGAGTGTCCAGAGTCGCAATGTCAACCGTCATCCAGCAGAGTGAGCTGTTCTCCAACATCTGAACAGTGGAAATGTGTCATCTGTTCATGAATGCATCCGTGGACTGTGATCCTGTGTTACAGCACAGTCTGTTGTGAGTTGCCTTGATCAACATGTTTACCGCCGTTACAGCGGCAGCACTGTCTCCTGATTCTCTATAAATGTCACTAATCCTTTTATGCACAATACATGTATTCATATGCTGCAGCCTTAAGCTCTAGATGTTAGCCATCTCCCATGAAAGAGGCACTGTGAACTGGTCAACATCACACTGATGTTACTGCACCAGAATTAGCTATTTGTAGCTTGACCCTTTATGTTGCAGAGCATGCTCGAATAATGAAAGATTCTGAACAACAAGAATGGCAGTCAGACTAACTCTGAAACTGGTAGAAATGTTATATTAAACAAAGACACTTTTTTTATGCTGTTACATCTTGCTCTCTCTGCATCTCACGAAATATGTGAAGTAATTAATGATGATGATGATACAAAGGTGACTTTTGCTATAGTCTCAGTGGCTGCAAATTGAAGGCCTTTGCCTACTGTTAGGCAATGTGTACCAAAGAGGCACATGATGATGAGTGTGATAGTGACAGTTTTGCAATGGTAGAGGGCTTTGTTGTCAGTTACTGTCAGCCGTCAATAAAGGATCATGGCATCATCAATCAGCCAAAACCTTCCTGCAACTAGTTCTTCTGCCTTAATCTATTCTCCTTATCCTCATCCCAGCGTTTGCTGTGTTTCAGCTCTCCCCGAAAGCAAAAGAACATTATTCAAAACCTTGATTTAGAAAGAAGTGACCTCATACCCCTCCAAGGGCCATGCCAGCCTACAGTTTCATCCAGCATTGCACTGTTGGTCTGTTCTCTTATCAGGTCAGGTGATGATGAAAAGCTTAGTATCTGACAGAGAAATCCCAAGACTGGTCTGAATAGATACTTTTTCTTGTTGTCTGCTGTTTATAGAAATAAGTAAGCAGATGAAACTCCTGCAGCTGTTTGCTCTGTAATCTCCTTCCTAACCCTTGATAAGAGGTCAGAGCCTCAGGGACCTCTGCACCTACATGAATACTACTGAGAAATGTTTCTTCCTCTGTACTGACCCTGCTGCTTTTCATTCCTTCAGTTCTCAAGTGTGCTTCTGTGTTGTCGCTGAGTAAATACTTAGTCCTTGAGGTTTTATGCTAAATCTTTCCAGATAGAAATATATTGGACTTATAACTTCTGCCAAATGAGTTCCAGGAGAAATAACTCTTGTTGTAACATAAGTTCAGCAGAGATCTTGGTAAAATATCAGTTGTTTTTAAATGATGGACTGGTGTTTGCTGTTTTACTGCTTTTCAGTGGGAACAAAACATAATCAAAAGAGACAAAAATGGTGTGCGTGCATTGACAATTTAACACTTGTACCTTAAACAAAAGTAAATCTTATCACTGTTACCAAAAAGAAGAGACAATTTGATGATCAAATCCAAATGAATTCAGAGATGAAGTTAAGCTTGTCAGAAAGGGTAGGGAGTCTTTGATTTAATCCCAGTGAAAAGGAAACTAATCATATGGCTTTAAAACTATGGTACACTATAAAAATGATAACTTAGCCGATCTTAAAAACCTTTTACAATTCCGTATAATGACATATGCCAGTGATTTTAGGATTTAATATTTAATTTTCTAAGAGGACATGATGAGAAACTGAGCAAATCAAACATAATTTAAGGTGTCTGTAAACTAAATCAGGTGAGTATTTCTGTTTTGACTGCTCAGTGAGTGCATTGGTATAATTCTTTCACACATATTTCCCTGCTTTATTAAATGATTGGACTGTTTATTTGTTAAGCTGAATGAACACAAAGCGACGCTACATAACCATACAGGGTATGCTGTTAATTAGAATAGATGTCCACGCTAAAAGAAAACATTTTGGGATTATTTTAGATTTAGCTTTTAATTGGGTCTGGGGAAATCGTGTTGTGTGTTATTCACAACTGCAAGATAATAGAACGAAAAGTAAAATGTAATCATACTAATGGCTATAATTTAAAAAAGGGTGTGATAACCTCCTCTCTTTATTCCCATTATTTTACTGCAAATGGCGGTTTCGGCTTTGTGGAAATTCAGCTAGAGAGACAGCACATCCAGCTTCTTTAGCCAGATCCTCCAGCTCTTGGGATTTCCACAGAACATAGGAAATATCATCCCCCTCGTGTGTCTTTGGTCTGCCACATATCACCTTCTAGTTAGACCTGCCCAGGAGGTGTCCCCCGGGGTAAAAGCATAAAGCCACATTAGCTCTGTCACCTGCAGAAAGTAGCAGCTTGTATTTGTATCCTCACTGTTTTTTGATCCCTCATGACCACAGACGACCTTAGAAAAAAAAGATTGATGAATAGTGAGGTGTCACCTTCAGATTCAGTCTCTTCACCTCACCGTGGATATCACACCAATTTGCCTGTAAATCTCAGGCTCCATGTTACCTCTCTAATGAACAAGACCCCAAGATACTTTAACTCCTAACCACAAGATGAAATTTGCAATTTTCCGGCAGAGTTACTGTGGTCACAGTGCAATGAGTCTATCAAAGGTACATTATCAACTAAAAGCTAAGATGCAATGCAATGGTTACCAAACTAGACACCCCCACTCTCCAGCAGCACACCCACAGAGAAGAACACAGGTCAGCTGGACGACAGAGAGTAGTGAGGTTGTTTTCTTGGAGTATTTGGAGTGGAAATCCCTTAGGCCTCCAGAGATTGGCACAAACTTGAGCCTGACATCCATCTCACCCCTCTCCTGATCTACAGAGTCCGCAGGATCTAGAGTTTTAGTTCATACTGGTTGTGCACAAGAGAAAAGTTTGTATGAAGAGCTGTAGAGGCATAACTGTTGGCTTTATATAAAGAGGATCCACCACCTACCAGTGTACAAAACTGATGCCAAAACATTACCAGGTGGGCATGATTTCTCATGCATTTGAAGTCAGTCTGTACAATAAGAAGCGCCCTTTCTGCAAACTGTAGCATGCACAAGACTGTCCATTCAAATTGTAAAGAGTGTACAGAATAACAGCTTCTTTCAAAGTTATGGAAATTCAGTATTCTCGTATCATACTATATCAAGCATATAAAGTATTTCCTGTCCTAAGCTCACAAATCCTGCCTTGTGTGTGAGAGTAGTTTAAAGATGGTGGAGGGAAATGATTTCCCTAATGTTAAAATGGTAATTTATATTCTGTCTAATACCCTCATCAAAATGTGAGTTAGCACCCATAAAAAAGTCTAAATTGAGCACAGTTTGTTTAATTTGGCCAAACAAAAGTTCAGAGTCTAAAGGTAAACAATGTCAGATCGGTTCATCAGGTGTGGCTCATGTTAGCCAAGCTAGCCTTTGGTCTTTCTTGTAAATTAACATCCACATGTCTTTGCTGGTCACATGGATCGGTATATGCCAGTTTAAACATGACACAGCCCTACATAAAACTCTATATTCATTTTCTGGATCAAAAAACTGCTAAACAAGGCTGCACCACAAGAGGCCATCTGTCAAATCTGCTTGTTAATATCTGAGTGGAAGAACATTATTGCACAAGGACAGTAGCCATTACCTGGAGCTACAGCCCTGGCCAATGCACGTTGGCTGTGATATGGCTTTGACACAACATTATTCTGGTGACTTTTGATTATTTGGGCCTTTTATTGGAAATACAGAAATAAGTTGTAAAATTTTGATTGAGCAAATCAGAAATTTTATACCCAATTATAATTTGTAATAAAAAGTTTATTGCCCAAGGCTTTCCATTGCCTGCATGATTCTGTTTTCCTTTTTCCATCATCTGCAGTATCCAAAAACTTTTAATATCCAGTCACCTTTTGGCTGTTGCCATTTGCTTGCTCACATTTGTCACCATTCAGAGCTCTTGTGAGGATTTCTTGTTTTGTGTTAATTTTGGCGCCCTCTCTGGACAAAGCAGGCTTTGCATATTTTGTCCTCTTCATGATTAAATAGTGTCTCCTAACCAAAAACTCTTATCCTGCTCACCTTTGACAGTCCACTATCAATTATTGTGAATGTTTCATGTTAAATTTTAAAAACAGGGTTGTTCCCTCCTTGCGCTGGTTTCAGATATTAAAGGGATATTCCGTCGTAAAATTAATGTAGGGTCAAACACACTGTAACACTGAGTTAGACAACCCCTCGAGAGATTAATGTCGCCGACCCTTGCTTGTAGTCTGTAATGGCCTGGCCCGTGGTCTCGTGACAAACAAGCGGTTGCTGGAAGAGAGTGGGTGAGTTGTGTTTAGTCTCTTTACTAAAAAAAATTAGGCAAACTTTAAAAGATGTTTGGTGGCTAGTACAATGGCTGGGACCCTATATGTATTGTTGATGAAGTTAGATGTAGTTCTAAACATTATTTGTGGCTATAGAGTGGCGTTTTGGTTGAGGTTTGTTTAAGGCTCCCCAGACCGCTGTGTATTGCTATTGTGCGGTCGTTTCTAAAGTTGGTATAACTAGAGAAGCAAGCAGTCGGCAACATTCATCTTTCGAGGGGGTGTCTAACTTGGTGTTATAGTGTGTTTGACCCTAAATTAATTTTACGCTGGAATATCCCTTTAAAGAACAAATCAGAGCTGGAGGAGAGATAATGTTGGTATTAACCTTAATAGCTTGGTGAGGCACATGTAAGGACAACTGTCTCTTCCCTGTAACAACAGCCCTACCTCACTGTCATAGTCTTTTTTTTTCTGTCTATAAGCGTCTGAACTAGTTATTGATTCAGTTGAAAAAACGTAGAATTCTTAATCCCCTTATTCCTAAATTATTCCTGACAATGTTTATTTTAAAGATAATTCCAGAAACTTAATGATAGCTGACATAAGACCGTGCAACCTGCAATATGAAGGTCTCTGCTCGAGAAAAATACACTTGGCCCCCCTAGAAATATTGAATAATCCTGTCTATCACTAACATTGCAGTATCGGTGTCAGTTCGGCTATATTTAGTTTCCTTGCCATCTCCTTGCACTGCTGGAATAAGTGTTATATTTTAAGGTTGTGAAATGAGCGGATGCCTGGCGCCAATAAGCCAAAAAAAAAGAGACAGAAAAAAAGCCTCTGACGTCAGCGTGGTGCAGATCCTCATCAAAAAACAATCAAAGCAAATCTCTACCCTGTGTTTCACACGCGTGTTTTTCTCTCTCTCTCTCTCTCTCTTTCGTATGACGATAGCAACGGAGCAGGCGCCTGTTCATTGATTTATGCGTCGCACCTCCTCGTCATGACAACTAGCTGTGAGATTGAAATATTGCAAGTGGTGTCCTATAAGCGAGAGAGACCGCACTGAGAGAGAGAGAAAGAGAGAGAGAGAGAGAGAGAGAGAGAGGCGCTGTGGCACGAGCCGTGGGATCCTCTTCAGTGCAGGCTGAGGGCTTCAAAATAAAACCACTGCATCCGTGTATTTTAAGCATTTATGGATGCTGTTGCAAAAACCATGAAGGCTAAACGGAAGATCCCCGCGCTGCTTCTCACTGTGAGCCTCTACTTTCTGTCACGAGCATCAGATACCAAGTGAAACCAGGAGATAGCACCACGCACGCGCGTAAAAAAGAGATTGGACACCTGATTTTGTCGGGTGTCTTTTTTGAGCGCTATTTTACATTTCAACTTAAACAACCCGTGTGTTTTTTTTTTTCTTTTGAAGGCCTTTGCGCTGAAGCGAGTGGGACAGCTACGGTGGATTATAACCGGCATGGACATATGGGCAAAAGAGGACAGATCACTGCGTTGACTTTTGAGGCAACGCGTCGAGTCTTGACGCTATAGCGTTACGCATTTATATTACTGAGAGTGATTTTTTTTTCTTACCCCCTCCTGTTTGAATTGTTCCCCCCGCTGCATCTCAACATAATTAAAGTCAAATATCTGTGGATAAGGAGCAGCGCTGGGTGTTGTCAGAGAGGGATGAGAGGAGGAGGAGGAGGGGGCAGTATGAGGTGTGCTTTTTTTGGAAAAGCCGGAGAAAGACAGACACCGAGAAGGTGTACTGATGTGCGAAAGCCTGCGACGCGGTACCCCCCTGAGAAATAATTGCGATCCGGGAAGAAATGGCCTAGTTTGAACATCATCGACACGCCGGCAGAGGATAGAAAAGAAGAAGAAGAATCGTGTTTAGATACATGGACGGGCCATCATCATCATCATCATCGTCATCATCATAATTCCGGTGCTTGCATCGAGTCTTTGAGGTAAGACATATGTTCACCTCCTCCTCTCTAAACGTGACTGGAGATTTTTCTCTCTATCGTGGCTTTGATGTGTGCGCAATCCGTACGCTTTGGTGACTTCGCATATTGCGCACGTTTTCCATCTTGGCGCACTGTCACAATTGGGGGGGAATGAGATTTCAATGTAAATCCTCGTGCCACTTTGTTGCTATAGCACACATTTTCTTCCTTTTTAGCGCGAGCCTTCGATTGGCCTTGCCTGTTGATAAGCTGTCACATCTTTGCATGATCAGTGTTTACTTTGGGTATTTAGCGTCAGTGTTGTGTGGTTTGGAGCAAGCCGCTAACAAGATGAGATTCATGGGATCTAATTGGGATCAACTCATCTTGTAGGCTGTCAATCAAACCGGCTGCTCTTCTTAGTTTGCCTCCTATAGTGTCCTGTTTCCCATTGGTTGTCATGGTATTGATAATTTCCTTTACACTGCATGTATCGATGACTGCTTAATTAGACACACTTGCTGCAATAGAACTAATCTCAAGCTGAGTGTGTGACAGGCCTTGAACTCAAAAGATGTCCTCTCTAATGAACAAACCCACAGCAGCACGGAGACACACACATATAGCACACACGCGCACACACACACACACAGTGCTTGTGCCCTAGAAGATGCAGATAGGATTGTGAATTAAATGCACACACTCTGATGATCCAGGGGAAGGCTCCATTAATATTCAGTGGATGTTGGGCAGTGCTCAGTTAATGGCAGACAACAGGACCTCTGTTCTGACAGGTCACAGATGAGAAATGGTATATTTTTATTTTAAGAGTATAAATGTGTGTGTGGGTTTTTTTCTTTTCTTTAACTCGGATACATGGTGCCTGTAGCTATGGAGCTGTGACATTTAAAATCCATCAGAAAACCAATAAAGTCATTTTGTCGACTTTTGCAGAATACGGTGTAACTCCTTGTTCGTGTAGTGTTGAAATAGATGTGATTGCTTTATTTGGCCGGCATCACGTCGGGGAGGTTACTGCCATTCCTCACTTGTTCAGAAACAGCATAACATGGAGACTTCCATAAGCTGCATATGATCTGTACATTTGCCTAATTTGAGGGGTCAGTAATCCAGGTTTTATCCTCAATCACATGGTGAATAGAGCAAAGATTTTCATTTTTGTAGCCAAAAATCCTAACCTAGAAATCCGCCTGGAACATAGAAAACTAATTTGTTTAAACTCATAACTAGATCACGTCCTTTGAAATTGATCCATTGTCTCTCCAGATACCAATCTGAAAGTGGGCCGACAGGTCATGCCTAAGAGATTACTACCATTTGGACACCAAAGAGAAATATATCAGTTCACGGCTAAAGACTCTGCAGACTAGAATAAGATTAGTTTTGGATTATTTAGAACCATATACCATATTATCGCGCATGCAACAAATGTTCAGAGTATTTAGAGCAAAGAATGAAAACAATATTTGTGAGGATTGTTGCCAGAATCCAAAAACTTAAACATCTCCTTCAGAATATAAGATCAATTGTTGCCCCAAAACTAACATTTGGACCATTTATTCTGATATTGATCTGTTTTGTTGCACATACTCATTAGAAAGACTGCAAGACTTCGTGGCAAAGTCAAGGATAAACCTTTCAAGCTGTACCAAACAATGTTTGTACTACAGTGACTTAATAATGTACTGTCTGTGGCCAAGGCAAAACAGTTCTTCAGCAATAATACATGAACTTGAACAAGAATGATTTCAAAACTGCCCGCTTTCTGAAAAACAAAAGTCTCAGGTAACTGCATTTTTAAACTACGGTAGGACTGATCTTGGTGGGCAGTTGTTTGGTTTCCAGAGACAAAAAGAAGAGATGGATGTAACTTAGACAAAACATGTAGTGACAAAGTTCTTGAGGCGAGAGTTATTTTTTACATCCAATACAAAATGTGCTTTTGTCATAATGAGGTTCTTTTGGGGGATTTTACAGTGGCGAGTCAGAGGGTGTTTTCCATGATCAGATCCGAACAAAAGCTTTCTTCAAAGTGGACATGGTTGATGTTTAGTTTTATGATTCCACATTGTGTTCAGCTGCTATAAACCGGTTTATGATAGAGGGCAGCCATTTCAGATCTCTGTGCTAACATCCTCTTCTGAAGGACCGGCACTGAAAAGTTAGAGTCGGTATTTAAAACCGGCCTCCGTTACGTGTGGGAAATTTCCAATCTGTGATATCATTTTACACAGAGTTATGATGTCCGGTGGAGAAACAAGAATCAAAACTGTATCATGTGATTCCCCTTCAACTCAGAATAACTCCAAATAAACTTGGTGTTCTCTTGACCATAAGGTCTGAGTGAGACCTACTTTTCCCTGCTCATCCTCCTCCACAGTCATCTTGATAGCTAACTTTGCTTTTGCCATCATGAGATTTGAATTCATGGACCATGTATGCACTGTTCTACCTATAAATGTTAACATGCTGAGTTTAAATGATTTATCAGGTATATATTATGCATGGATTTCTAATAATTCTGCACCCCCAGGCAGTGTTTAGTGATGTTTTTGTTGCATATATTCTTAATAGATATTACATTTATATTTATTGAGAGCATTGTGATCATTGTTTATGGTTGTATCTAATGGTTTATTTGTTTGGTTGACCTCATTGTGGGCCGAAACACTTGATCTTCCCATTAAGGTTGTGAAATTTTCCATGTTAGCTTTCATTTACATCATTTCTATATGCTGTTAATTGTGTTAACACACGCTCAGGTCATCGATAATGATAAGTAAACCATATATGTATGAAGAGGATTAATCTGGCGGTTGTTCGGCAAAATGACCCTTTCCCCTCCTCAACGGTGCAGCATGGGTGATGATACATTTCTCCATTTAAAAACAATATTTGCTGTTTCACTGAGTCAATTCACATAGGCTGCCTCCTGTAAACCACTTCAGGTGTGCTTTATTAAGTTTGTGAGGTAATTGATGGTCAACTCAAGTATCATTTGTTTCTTCTTCTGTTTTACCGCGACCACCTGAGTAGAGACAAAAGTTTGATTAAGTGCTTTTATTAGTGGCTTTGAGATCTTCGGGGCAAAAGATGCAAGAAAAAAAATGAAGATTGCAGTGATTCATCAACAGCAGCCGCAGTTTTATTTGGTTTTAATTGTGCTAACATGGTTTACTTCAGTTTGTTCACTTTATTTTCCACCCCATCTGTGCTTTGGTCATAGTTTTTTTTTTTCCAATACACATTTAAAAGTATGCCCTGGGCACTGAAGAGAACAGTGTATCGGACTTCAAATGATACTGTTAGCAGAGAAACCCCACTAACACAAGCTGTTTTAATTCATATTTGAAAATTCCCGTCATAAAATAAACATCACACACTGTAAAGTATCTTGCTGCTTCCATCACATCAAGAGGCGGCACTGAAAAAAGATGTATTAACTCTTATTCTCACATGATTTCTTACTCTCATGTGTACTGTTGCACTGAAAGGCCTTTGCCATTTGATTTTAATGTATGAACAGTTGATCCAGATTCAGCCGCAGAATCTCAGAGGGATTGTGTGTGTATATTACCGAACACCATTTTTGCAGGTATCACTGGTGTAGTCAGTGTAAGGTGTAGCAGTACCCTGTGAAGCTGAATAACAGTGGTGAGGGTATCCATCCTATGGCTGGATTATTAAAACCCTACAAAAGTTACATCTGCAAAAGATTAAAGGCGTTCAAACACAACTTTTGCATTATAAACCTCAAAGACAGGGTACCATTTTTTTCCTTGTAGAGACTGATTCCAATAGTCAGACTCGTATGCTAACAGATGTAGAGTCCCCATCAAATACCAGTGGGTATAAAAATCTGATCATGAATCACAGAAGAAAAGACAGAATGCTGACTTATGACTAACTTTTATTTCATGAACCTCAAACTTTCTGCAAGCACCACACTGTTGTTGTAGTTTTAACCGTCTCATACTCAACACTGATAACGGCAGTGAGGAACTATGACACCATGTTTGTGTGTAGGTTGGTACATTTGCTGATATACTTAATGCCGTAGTTCATGGTGTGTTATTTACACATTAGCTTCCTTGCTGTATACATTATTGGTTACACATTAATATTATCCACAGTCTAATATGCTTTTATTTTTAATATACATTAAAGTATAAAATCAATTATTTACTGTGAAATATACATTATCTGTGGTGACATGTTCATTTTCTACTGTGCGATACAGGCTGTCCACTATACAACATAGCCTACATTATGTTAACGTTTGTAATGCCACTGTGGATGCCTGAATGTGAAGCCAAACACAATCTAATTGCATGTTTTATAATGATAATACAAGCTTTTTCTTTTCTTCTATTGTATTCTGGTATCAGGCTTAATACTTGCACTGGTATCAGTATGAGAAGGACAACTGTAAAGTTTGGGATTATTTCTCTCCAACATTACATGAGACAGAGAATTTAATTTGCTACTAAATTGGGGGCCTATGAATAATTTAGCAATTGGACAGGCTTGCTGTTTGCAGTTTGCTGAATAATATCACAATTCTACCAAAATTTCATCATGCATCTTGCCAACATCTCCAATCATTTTTAGTTTTTGTTTGTGTTTATTTCTGTGGTAGCTTCCGGGGTTCCCGTGTCACTCCTGCTTTTCATGAATTCTTTAACACTTTGAATTGTGGGTCAGTCCCTTAAGGAGAGTCTGCAGGATTGTGCTCTCTCCAAAAGTGTGTTTCAGGGGCTCAAAAAGTCTACACAAGAGTCCTCAAGGATCAACAGTGTTCTTTGTTTTGGGACTTTCCTGAGCCTGTAGAGATACTGAGAATATCCTTTGAAAATTGCCATATCTTTTGGATTGAGCGCTTGGACATTGGGATTGAGCGGCGCCTACATCCCCATCGACTTGCTGTTAAGAAAGCTGCATATTTATAGCATAAAGACTCACTGCACAGCAACACAAGAAAATACTTGTGCCTTTTCAATTTTATTGTATTTTATTTTTTGGTGCTGCCATGTTTTTTGGAGTTTATACATCTATCGTGGAGCAAAGAAAGCTATGCTGAAGCATGGAAATCTAGCCTTACATTTGAGCAGCTTGCAGGCTTGGCAGCTGTTCCTCTCCATACATCCTCACACCGTCTGAGAAGCTTGCTTTTTAATCCAAGCTCCATTATCTTACATCTAACACGGACTGTGCCCCTGGTATATGGCGTAGCTGCTGTAAATGAAGGCGTGGAGGATTTTAATTCCTGTGTGAAGATGTCGAGTCAGAGAAGAGGGAGGTTAAAATGACCCGGCTCTCAGTCACGTCACGAGCGAGGAGGAGAAAAAAGCAGGAGAGTAGCTTGACCTGACCCATTATCCGTGAGCAAAGTAAAGCTGGAGAAACGCCTGTGCAAATGCCATGGTAACCATCTTGTGTAACCTTCTATGAACAATATCACATAACAGTCATCCATGAGATAAGCCGGGATAAGTGCCATCCTGTCTTGTAAAGTTTAAGAAGAATATCACACCAAACCCCATTAAAATGTGATGATTTAATGCATCTTATTTTAGACACAGAGGCACAAGCCCATTAAAATGAGACATGTGACCTTTCCTGAATCTGAAAGTTTCGTCTTTCAGTTCATCAGGCATGATCCATTAAGCAGCTGCAACATTTACGTCCCTGATATGCTTAAAACAGAGATACAAAAGCTGCTCTCAAATATAGCATGGAGTCTTTTAAAACCCCTTTCTTTCAAGCATTGTATCCTTGAACTACACAGACCATAATTCACCTTGCTTATTACACATAGCACCATCAGGCAGCTGGTGCTCTTTAAAAGGTGTGGGCAGTGTTGACATGAATGGGGCAGATAAGCAGTTTGAAATGTAGCCCTACAGAATGGACCGGGGAGGCAGCCCATTAAATGTTATAGTTTCTACATTTTCCAATGGTGGCTAGTTAATGTTGCAGTATGAAGTCCGCTAATGCAAGTTTCATTGGCTTTGGATAAAATGAGAAATTTGAATGCCTGAACAAATACGAGTTATGGTGCTAAAGTAAATGTTAATAACCTGTTCTCTGCTATCTGTGGAGCAGAAGTGAACTGTCATCTAGTGGAAAAAAAAGAGCGTGTCTTTTCTGTCTGCTGCTTGGCCGTGAAGTCAGTGCCTTGTTGAAATGAAGTGCGGCTGAAATAAAAATGAAAAGACCTTATTAGGAACAAAAATGACCAAAGACTAAAATATCCAGAAAGGAAATATACACTGACAGCTGACTTGGTTTTCTGAATCATCCACATTTCAGCTGACTAAGTAGTCCAAAGGTGAAAAAAACCCCACAAAAAACAGTTGAATTGAATTAATGCTGCTCTGGCAGAGTCAAACAGGAGGTCAGCATCTGCAGGTTAATGACGTCAAACTGGTTTGCTAAGTGTGGCGAGCACACAGACAGTAGAGCTAGCACCGCTTGCCTTAGGCAACGTTGCAGGTCAGCGTCTAATGATTTTATGCCATTTTAACTAAACACAACCTGCATTGACCTTTAGTCTTCTGGATCAAAATACTGCCAAACTGCGCCATGATGTCAGCATGGGAGCAGCCATCAACTGTAGCTACAGCCCCAGCCGTGCTGCAGTTTAGCGAAGAGTTGTGACCGGAAATTTGGGCCTTCACTACTTAATGTTGAAGGGATATTCCAGCGTAAAGTTAATTTAGGGTCAAACACACCATAACACCAAGTTAGACACCCCCTCAAAAGATGAATGGAAATGCAATCAGACATAGACACTAAGGCAGAAGAACTACCGCGTCTGCAGTGCAACATGATTAATATGATGATTATTACTTCAAGGAAATGATAAAGAAATGATCATAAATGTTCTTCCTTGAGCTGGGTTACCCCCCCGCTGTGGTCCATAATGGACTGGCCCAAGGTCTCACTACAAATAAGCTGAAAGAGAGTAGGTGAGTTGTGTTTAGTCTCTTTGCTAAAGAAATCAGGCAAAGGTAAAAAGATGTTTGATGGCTAGTACTATGACTAGGACCCTATATGTACTGTTGATGAAGTTAGGTTCTGTTCTGAGCATTATTTGTGGTTATAGAGTGGCATTTTGGTTGAAGTTTGTTTATGGCTCCTCAGACCGCTGTGTATTGCTATCCTGGGGTCATTTCTAAAGTTGGTATAACTAAAGAAGCAAGCGGTTAGCAACATTCATTTCTCGAGGGCGTGTCTCACTCGGTGTTATGGTGTGTTTGACCCTAAATTAATTTTACACCGGAATATCCCTTTAATGGCGTGTTAAGTTGGCGAGTAATTCTGGTGCCAAAAACTGTGGGAGATGAAGTTTAGATGTTGTCAAATAAACACACATAATCCTATATGGAGCTAAGATTTATAATGTCTATATGAAGATACTTTACACCCAGCTATGATTTGAGGTAGTCCTCCCTTGTTGTAATTCAGTATTAGCATAAAAATGCAAAGTAGACCTTTCATTAATGGCGCATTACTGTGAGAACCTTGGTTAGTGTTCCAAAAAATATCAACAGGACACTTTGACACATGGAAACACCAAAATCCTTGAGTGTGAGATGTTCAAATAGGAAAATGACAACCTCTTTTGATTGTTTTGATTTGGTTAAATGTTTGTTTTCCAAATAATACTAGGTACTGCACTTGACCTTAAAATTATTTAAATGTTAAATCGGCTGCTCTGTTGAAGCCCTCTGCAGACAAACAGGCCTCACACAGCGCTCCTCCAGTTAATGCGTCAGATCCAATGGTTTAAAAGAGACTTTCAAACAAAGTTCATGCTATTTTTTTTCTGTGCTGGAGCTGTGTGATACATCATTACCATGGTATACCAGTGTGATTTTCTTGATCTGGTCATAGTAGGGGTCATATATAGTCCTTGTTCTGAGCTGTGTTTCCCTCACAAGCAGGAACATTCAGCTGCTTTTGTAACTAATGAAAGTGCAAAAAAAAAAAGGCTTCTGAACTTTGAAAGTTCAATGGTTAGTGGTTCATATCTCTCTTAAGGGGGTAATTTTTTAAGTTTGTGAGCAGAGCAGCAGTTTCCAAAACAGTTGCAGTATCAGGGGGGCAGTTCAAGTGCATAAAAAAAGTGGAACTAAATGAAAAGCAGGGTCCAGTGGCGTGAAGTTTAAAACTGATTTGCATGAACAATAATAAGAGAGGGAACACTTGGTCCCAAATCATCTTAGAAGGACTTTGTTTTTTACCACCTTGTCAAATAATCTAATTTACAGTAAATTTTATGACTTGTTGGACAAAATCAATTTCCTTGAGCATAAGAAATTATAATAAAGTGTGAAATGTGTCAGATTATTGTATTAGGGAGGCAGTATAAGATATGTGAGATATCACTGAGGGACTGTATGAAAAATATGGTTTCTTAACTTAAAGCAAACATCTGATTTTAACAGAAGACAGACATTTTGGTCCTTTTTTTAGGCTTTTGTATTAAAAATCAGTTTTAATCTGATTTAATATTGCAGGAGTGAAGTCTTTTAGCTAATCTAATTTTAAAGTTTGAAAAATGTCTGAACTACTCTGAGAACCAAAGCTGTTCTCAAATAGCATTTGCTGTATGATATTCATGAATAAGAAAAATAGATCTGTGGGGAACCTTTCTAATTGACTGACTAAAGTAAACAAAATTCAACTTCAATAATGTGATTTTCAAGGGGGTGGGTGTTCAGGTTGAGGTACCAGAAAGAAAAACGAGATTTTGTGGAAAAATGAAACTTATGCACATAAAGCACAAAAAAGCAAAGATGTACTGTAGATGGTACCACTTAGACCACAGGGGGCGCCAGAATGAGCACAAATAGAAAGTTCATTATTGAAGCTTTAAAGGGGAACAACTAGAGCAGTTATCAAATTTCGAGATCTCAGTTTTATTTTAAACAAGTTTTGTTGAGATGACAAGCTGTTTGTCAGTGGTAGAGATGCACCGATCCATTTTTTGCGATCCAATCCGATACCAATACCTGGGCTGAGTGTATCGGCTGATATCTGTTACCGATCCAATACTACTGTTGAATGAATGAACTGTAAACCTTGCTCTGTGAGTGAAAGCATTAGGCTTGACATTAGCCTTGTTAAAAAAAAGGTAACAACACAGATATAAATTTACTTCATATTATTTATTTAGCACACAGCAAAAAGAAGTAAGACTCCCATGTAAACATTTAGTGCAAAAGGATAGACAGACATAGAAAAACAGTGAACAGAATTGTCGTGTTGCTGTGTATGATATTAATGAAAAGAAAAAATGACTGGATCAGAACACTGGATCGGCATCATTCATCAGATATCCGATCCAAATATTGGATCAGCGCATCCCTAGTCGGTGGCATAGTATTCATGTTCATGAGAAGTTTATCAAGGTAGGTTTAATGACAGCTGGTCAATCATCTGATCAGTTACTTGTGTCAAATGTAATGTTATTTTATTGTACTGTTCAACATATGAACTTAAACTTATGGTCACAAATGCCCATTGCACATCAACATAAACATGTCCTCAGGTAACATGGTGGCATTATATCGGACAATGGGTCAAATCTCTTGAACTTGATATATATCTAAGTCATTTGTACTTAAGTCTTTTATACCGCATGGCTTCCTTTTAAACAGGTCAATGTGAGCAAATTGAAGGGGTGACATTGAGGACTACAAAGACCATTGCACTGTCCATAGCTTTTGCAAAATGTCAGGCGGTTTCAATGAGACGCTTACATCAAAGGAGTCAGGACCATTTACTGCAAATAGACATCCAAACTGGTGCACTTGATGGAAAATGCTCTGCATCTGAAGGCACTCTGAGCAGGATGGGAGCGTCTGTGATATAAATGATCACAGGAGGGAGAGTGCGAGCTTGTCAGATTTCAACAACACCTAATTACCTTTTGTTTTAATCTGATAGAAAGAGGGAGGATGATAGTGATCAGCTGATGGAGCCCAGTGCCCTGTCTAAAACACTCTGATGCACCATTTTCAACATCAAACAGCAGTCAATCAATCTTTTAAAGCGCCCCGAACACAAAGGTGAAGCAATCAGTGTTCTGGCAATTAATTGATATCCTTCCTTTAGTTATGTGTTATGAACTCCTTAAATTCAGCTGTCAGCTTAAATGAAGTTTCATGACGTCTAATTTCCCTTTAGGATTCCGTATCAGCTTCTATTAACAGACAACTGGTGCTAATTGATAAATCTGACAGCTTTTTACTCAAATATTTAAAAAAAAGATGCTATTTGTGTTAAATGAAATATGTCATTTTGGAATTGTGTGATAAAAGATAACAAAATTTAGACACAGTAAAGGAGAAGTCATCCATATCATATAGGTAACAAAACACTGTAAAGTATGCGTTTGAATGATTTGTCAGTAAAGAGTCAGTTCCTGCACTCAAACTCATTCCCTATCTTTTATTCAGCTGACCTGAGAGCAGTACCTTTGGAGTACAGGGGGCCTCTCGACACTTCTGGGCATACAGATCATCTCAGCAGCATACATCACATACAGCGAGTCTCGGCGCTCTACTTAAGCTAACTTACACATCGTCAGTGGAGCCGGCCCATCTGTCAAGGTGCGCTCTCCTCCAAAATGTGACGGTCCTCTCAAGGCAACATCGTTTAAATTCCAGCAGCCGTTTCCTGTTGTGGCAGCTTGACTAGCATTGCAAAGTAAACTGCATGTATTTACTCAAATGAATGATGATCCTGAGTCAAAATTCCCCCCTGTGTGAGACAATACAGAAGGCTTATGTTTCACGATGCTGTAGCCGAACTCCTCTGGCAACAGAAAGAAGCCAGTCTGCTCGCCTGTCCCTGAACAGATGAGCTGTGTGGAGCTGCAGGACCAGCTGCATGGCTTGGAGATGATTGTATTAGCCGTTATTATGATTGTCTGTGGTCAAACATGGTGCACCTGCTATCTCCCACACATCTGGCAAATGAATTTTTTAGTTTTCCATTTGGGATTGATATGATGTTTCTAATTAGATTTAAATCAAATAACAACAGCAGCTCCTTCCTCATCCTGTTTCTACGGTAACCTTACCACTTGTGTTTCAGACTAACAGGGCCTTTATTATGACCTCAGACAATCTATTATTTTACTGAATTACTTTGTGTATCCATTAAGTTATTTCTATGTGAGCTACACATAACCTAATGTGTGTGTTGCATCTTAAGCAGTATCACAGATTTCCCCAGACTGTTTTTCCACCATTACAGGCACATTTAGGATAATATGGATGAAAAACATACAGAATAATACTGATCTTCTAAGGACATGGGGAAAAATAGGATGCGTTCTTATGCTGCGTTCGAGATACCCTGGAAGTCAGATGTCGGAGCTGAAAATGAAGTCACACCCCAGTTACCAAATCAGAAAAAAGCAAAATCGGAGGTGGAAACTAGATGGCTACATTTACAAAAGTTATTTTAGCCAGTTGTCTTGTCCTTGTTAGGCCAAGGCAAGCACTAAAATAGCTTTCGTAGATGTAGCCATCTTGTTTCCGCCTCCGACTTTGCTTTTTTCCAACTTGGTAACTGAAAGCTGGTAACTTGGGTGTGACTTCATTTTCAGGTCCGACATCTCTCTCCCGAGTTAACTCGAACGCAGCATTATTCTGTGATACAGGACAGGAACTTAAGTTATTAGTTATTCTGCAAAATTTTTTTATCTTACCAGAACTTTGTTTTTCTATATCCAATGCCAGGAATAAAAAAGAAAAAAGAACATGCTTTCTTTTTCATAATTACCAGATATGTTGTAGATATGAAATAATAAAGGTTGTGGCAATAGAAAAAATCTCACAAGGCTAGAGCTACTAAAACACTTAAAAGCCCTCATAATTTTAGTCCAAGATAATCTGGCAACGCGCTTTGCTGCCTTGAAGAAAGCTCTTTTAAACCCCACTCTGTTCTCATATGTTAAAAAGGGAACAAAAGTAGAGGAGAAACTGATTTGTTTACAGTCGTGTAGTCTCATAAAGAACTCACTCAGTACCTGGATTTTATCCATCAATCCTGCTGCTCAGCACAGTGTGCCGGTTACCTCGCTGAAAGTGCAGCCAGCTTCCTGGAGCTCATCTCACTGTGGCTGGTCCTGACTGAACCGTAACTCCCTTAAAAATTCAAAACTGAACTGCTGTCGAGAGATGACATTACGCACTCACATTTTTGATGAATGACTGTCATTAGTGCTAACTCTAGTGACAAACAGTGTGGCACCTTCACAATAAAACCCTTGTTTTTTTTTAATCATTTGAACAGCTTACTTTGTCAAATTAATGAACGCTACCACGTTCCTCAGTGAAAAGGGAACATTGCACTCAGGATCAGTGAAGGAAATTGAAAAGCACCGGTTGTGTTTTGCACATGCACAACACGAAGGTGAACAAAATGAGAGTTAAAGCGGGTAAGCCAGTTTAAGGTGCGTCAGACACAATAGAAAAGTAGTGCTGAAATGGGCCGAATTCTTCTACCATCATGGTCAGAAATTATTTGCAGTGTCTGTCACTCTTCAAAAATGAATGTTTAAGTGAATTTAAATGTAGTCGAAGTGCCAGCAAGCTACTGCAAATTGAATTACCTCAGATGAATAAAAATGGACGTTTTTCCCATCTGATGGATCGGTCCCTAAAACCTACTTCTTTATCAATTGTGCTTCAAAAATCTGAATCCACTGCAGTTATTCTACAGTGTATCAAAATGTCAGACTGCATTTGGCTGAACTGAATTTTTACTTGGTCCGACCATTATGCAACAAATCGCTTTCCCTTTTTTTGGACTAAATACCATTTAGAAAAAAAGAAAACAACAAACAAAAAACTTTAATTTGTTATTCACGAGATCCCTTGTCAACCCCGTGCGAGAGTAACTGCATTTACACATATAGAGCTGCTCTGGTTTATTTTCAGAACTAAAAGGTGGGTGTTGCCAAAGAGGAAAAACACTATGCAGGATATTCCAGTGCTGCTGAAAACATTTCAATTATTTATTTGTTTGGAAACTCAGAACATAGCTGGACTGCAGTGCATCGCCACAACAGTTAGGGAGCCTGGACAGAAATAAAACCAGAATCAGCATTCAGTGAGAAGATCCCAGAAAATAACATGTTTTTGTAATTGTATCACACATACCTTCAAGCACCTGCATTCTTAACGCTGAAATTAAGTATATTCAACTTTCCACATCCTCCAACATTTATGATATCTTTAACAGTGGACAATTAAACATTTGACTTACTTAATTGACTTAAAAATGAGTGATATGGACTCTAAATGGAGAAAGTTGAACCTTTTATGTAGATTTTTCTGGACTGGAATTTGTATCCTATAGCTGCTTGATTCTTACAAAACAATTGTCACAATGGTCTGACCAGATTAGTCGAAAAAAGGATTAACACTTGGGGAGTGGTGAAAAAAAAAGATCATTTCAATTATTTTTTCAACTATTAATCAACTCATTCAACTGTGTGCTTTTTTTCAAATCTTTCAAAATAAATGGATGAAACTAGTAATTTGTATACCCAAAGACTTTGTTATATGACTAAAAAAAATAATTGCCAATTGGGGTAGGTCCAAAGTAAGTCAGTCTTCAAGAGGTGTCTTGTTAAATGTTGAACTTCACATCAGAAATAACACATTTAGAGCCTAGTGTGGAGAATTGTTTTGGTCCTGATGGTTAAGTTTTTGTTTATGACCACAGGAACAAGGATGAATATATAAAAACTTACCCATTTAGTTTTATTAGGACTAACAGTTGTGCATCATTACTTGTATGGTTGATGTTAAATAACTGCTGAGTGCTTTGCCTTCAGCAAATTTTTGTGTCTTTGATTGTGCTCATGATTATAATAGGTTGCAGTATTTGGAGGGTCAGTCTTGTAAACAACGTTAAGGTCAGCCTGAGTAACCCCTGATTTGTTCATGTCCTGTTGACCTTGATGTTTGCCAAGAAAGCTGAGTGTTCCCAAAAGTATTAATGTTCTGTTGATTTTAAGACAGTATGGAATGTCCTTGGCTCACCTCCCAGGCTTCTGGTTATCAGGCCGGATGAAACCCGTTCATATTATACACACCTAAAGGGGCTCACGATTGTGACACACACACACAATTGAGAGATGCACAATTGTAATACACAGTGTAACAGGCATCTATATGTTCACGAACACAGTCAATGAAAGGAGAGGTCGGGGGTCCCCCACCAAACTTGTTTCAACACTTTACCCTCAAATCTTATAGTTAGCCTGTAAAATTGTACCTAAAATATGATGTGCATCAACAGTCTTCAGTACTGTGATATCAATAAGAAGTATGGTAAATCAACTCATTTTAAAGAGCGCTTATTGGCTAAGATAACTCACAGTTTTTGTCTGCTCAATGTTCCTAAAGTTTTACATGTAAAACATGTTTGCACCATGTTTCTCTTGAGTCCAGGATAAATCCAAAATGCAGTTTTTTCATTACTGAGTTATTTCTACTATTATTACCCATCTGAAGTTAGAGACAGCTGGCTTAAGCATCTTTTGACTGCAGCAGCATGGCTATAACACCCAGGCTTCCTTCTAATAAATTAAATATACATGCTGTGTGAGAAAACAATTGTATACACCAAAAAAAATCTCCTGTTTTATTGCAGTAACTAGGCGTTATCGCATTATGTCTATTGCAAAAGGTCAAATTGGGAAATTGATGTATTTGCAATTTATTAAGCAGCCCTACAAAATAGAGGATTTGAACTTTAAAGTGTAGTTTGGAAGTTAAGGTTAAAAATGTCAATATGTAAGGGGGTTATTATGACTGAAAGGTTTCTGTCGCCATGCTACCTTCATAAATGTTAACCTTGAGAAATATGTCAGCTGATCTATGTATTAGTCTCCCCCCCTGACTCTTCAGCTATCACTGTTTAACTTATCAGGCATTGATGTTATTATCCAGATTCCTAACCCTAAATTGAAAACGTGTCTGACATGATGGCGAGTCTGTGGGCCGACCAGAAGGTTTAAGACTGGATCTGTAAGGCCTTTACTTTCACAGATAATCTGTGCCTAACATCAGTACCGACCGAGATCTCATACCAGATATCTCCCCTGATTGGGGAGTATAAATTGGTCAAAACTGTAGTCTGAGCCCAGCCTAATACCCAACTCTCCGTTGCAGCTCATGTCACTTCATCTTAGATCTCACACTGGCCCTTATCTGCCCACACTGGTGCATCATTCAGACTGCAGCTGCCTCTTTTTTTAATCCCCCTCTGACTGCACTCTTCTGTTACATTGAGTATTTTGGTGTCGCTTTGCTGTAACCATGTGTGCTCTTTCAAAGCTAGTACTTTTTGTGCTCACTGATCTTATTTTTGAGTGTAGCACCTGTGTGGCTGACATGGGTTTCTCAGCCAACCCTGGCTCTGGATGCTCATTATTGCCCATCTACTCTTGAAATCAGGGCACATCAGGTTGAAAAACTGCAATATCCTTTTTTTAAGCCATGAAAATATGCAACACGCGAATGCTTATGCTAATAAATCCCACAGAAAAGAAATTGGATGTAAGCATTACAAGCAGAACGTATGGTTGTAGTTTTCATTACAAGTCAGGAACAATGACAGGCATGGCTGTTGCCATGACTACAGAGATAGTAGTTCAATTAAGCATATGCACAGTTCAAATTAAAGTGATTCCACACAGCAGGGGTCTGTTTAATTACATGGGGGACAGCATAGAGAAGAAGTTGGTACAAGGTATGAGTGGAAAAAGTAGGGCTATATTTTCCCTTTTTTTTTTTTAGGTGTTTATTTGTTTCTTTTCCTCACCTTAACGCGTTGATAAAAGCCTCATTATTCCCATTGTTAGCTCAAAGCATTCACTCCCAAAAAACAGGGGCTTTTGTTGCCGCTCACCTCTCTGTCACCTTTGTAAACAAACACTCCAAATCCCCCTGTGTCCCTTTCAAAACAAGAGCACATTTGAGAAAATGAAATTAGGAGCTGAAATCAGGTTATTCTCACACCACTCCTGTTGACATAAAAAAAATGTTCAAGTGACAACAGCAAGGGATAGATTAATGTCTTAATTAGTAAACAGAGCTATTAGTGCAGTCATAAATACACTCACTGTGGTGTAGAGCTGTCAATTTCCCCTAAAATCAATGTTGATGATTAATTGACTGAAAATAGCTTCATTATGTAACACAGTGCTGGCAGGAGATGGGCTGTGCAAGACGGGGTTTTAAAATGGGTTTTGTTTTGACTTAAGCGTGATATTAATTAAATAAAATGGTGGTTTCTCTGTTTCATAAAACTTTAAAAACCAGCTCACCTGTCAGGGCGCTTATTAATCTCATCTAAATCTTATAAGCTTTGCGGTGAGGGAGAAAATGTAGAGAAACACATAACACACACTGTACTTGCTGAGAGAAATCAAAAAGACTATTGCAAACCTGGATTCAGATCCTCTTTCTGTTGGCTGTGGTTTAGTAAACAGCCAAACTGGTTTTATTTGACGCTGCTGAAATTGAATTGGTTTAAAATGAGCTACGAGGGAAACTTTGCGGCGGAGCTGCTGTTTGAGAATTTACACAACAGCAGCAGCAGCAGCAGCAGCAAGAATGTATTGGGACAGTGACATGGTTTGACTGTACTCCAGCACATTTCATTTCAAATGAAACAACTGCTGTGAAGGTTACAACGTCCACTTTCTGCTGCAGGGATGGAGTCTCTCACAGTCTGAGATATCTCCATAGTAGAACACCAGAGTAGGACATTGATTGCAAACACTGATACAAGTATTGAGTATTGAGTTATCTGGGGCCAAACTCCGGTCAGACCAAACTGATTCATTAGGATTTGCTTTAGCCCATCAGGAGGAGTTACTTTTTCTTCTATGCTAATTTTTTCTTGTACTTTGGTGGAATACTCTTGATTATTATGTATTTTTCACTGCTATTCTCCCAGTCCTTGGGTTGCATTTTACAAGTGTCTTATATCATGCAGTGCTGCATGCAATGATCCATATATGACAAACATACTGTATTTTTTATGGGTTTTACCAGCGGCTGCCATGTTAAGAAAGGGGATTACAGGATGAGCTCTTACTTGACATTCAGCAAAACCACTTAACCACACGTCACCCCTGCTACCTGCACCTGCCTCTGTTTCAGCTGTGGCTTTTTTTTTTTCCTGCCTTTGGTTTCCAGTCTTCCTCCTCTCCTTTTTTAAGCCACCCTCTTCTTCTTCCACAATTTGACCTCCCGCTCTTTTTATACTCCCTCACAGCTGCACACCATCTCCTCCTCCTCCTCCTTACCATCAGAAACAGGTTCAGTTGTTGCTGCAGGCAGGTAGAGCTTTGAGCCACCGAAAGATTCATATGTGTAGGAACTGGATAGGCAGATAGATAGTGCTGAATAAACCTCACACACACACACACTACGAAAAGCTCCGTCTTTAGTGGCTAACGTCAGTGTTTCCATGACTCACCGCTTGGAAAGACTTTCAAAACCAGTGTCCAATCACAGGTATCTCAGAGCCTTACAGACTGTTGGGTTACAGCCTAAAATGAACACTGAGAATCTATCTTTTATTTGCCCCTCAAAGTTGCATTTCAGATGGAAGCAGTCCAAGGGTAAACGCTTGAAGGCAGAGATAATATCAAATTAAGTTTGGATGACTTTTCCCCAGAATTCTATTTTATCACTTTTAGACCAAAACATTAAATAAATAAATAAAAACCAAACTAAATGCGCAAAAATAAACTTGTCTGTTGCCTTCTGAGGGAGCTGCAGGTTTGATTTGCTGCTTTCAATCCACTAATCGAAGCTGTTTTTTTACATCAATATAAAATGTATGTTTGCTCCCAGTGAGAAGCTTTTGAAATAAACTATGTTGCCTCTTTATGGCCTACAAAAGTGAACGAGACCCTAACTGACAACACTGACCATTTCTGTACTGTAACTTTTAATGCTGATAAACCCGGTGAGACAACACAATTTATAGAGTGCTGAAGAAACAACCATAATTTATTTTCTAACATAACTAGATTTTTTTTATTTGTTAAGAAACACTACTCAAGCTTAAACAAGACTAGTTATGGTTGTCCTAACCAGTAGACACCAGAATTACTTGTTTGTAAAACTAATAATCAATACATTTGTCATTGAAGACATAACACGATGGTCATATATTGTATCTAAGCTGCGGTGCAGCCAGCAGCCAGGGCTGTAGCTCCAGTTAACGGCTACTGCCATAATGCCATAATACTTTACTGCTCGGCTATAAACATGCAGAGATGAAAGATGGTATCATGTAGGGCAGCGAGCTTTGGCTATATTTTGATCTAGAAAATAAGATGAAGTTGTTTGTAGGCCAAGTCCGCCTAAACTGGCAGACAATCTCTTGAGAGGAGCAGTGTATAGAAAGTTCGGACAGGCATGTGGACATGAACCTGTAAGGAGGACCGAAGTCTGGTGGTGCTAGCTCTGCTGGTGTTAGCTACACATGGCAAACCAATTTGACATTGTTTACTCTCTGATCCTGCATTCAGCTGTGTTAAATGATTTGTACCAAGCTATTAGCTGTCTTCTTAGTGTTGTCCGTATTTATTAGGAAAGAAAGCTTAAACAAAAATTACAAAAAAATAATAAAATCAAGAAACAAAGACAAGACTTTTACACCAATAATTGGAAAATGGAGGTTTTTTAATTAATTAATTTATTAATTTATTTATTTTTTCCAATTTATGGCCAAAGCTTAATCGCATTGCTTTTACAAATCCATGTACTTGTTGATTGATGCTGATATTTCATGGTTAAATGACAGTTCCTACCTGTTTTGTTGTACAGATATCCTTCACAATACAGCTGATTTGTGGGGCACACTGCAGTGAAACCAGTGAAGCCATTTTTGTTGAGTGTAGTTCTTGTAAAATGTCTCTTCAGTGTTTCAGTCTTTGAGTCTGCAGTTCTTCAGCAGTGAGTTTGGGACAACTGTCTCATGGTATTAATGGAGTATTATTGTATTATCAGTGATTTCTATGATGGCTTTTATGGTGTTGTATTTCACCAACTTCCTACACGTCCTCTCCTGACGTCCTCTATAGAAAAGGCTGAGGGATTCGCTTGTCAGTCGGATGTGTCTGTCACAGCTTCTAATGAATTAGTCAGACTCGCACATTGCCAGCGAAATGTTCATAACACATCCGCATCAAGAACACGAGACACACATTGACAGTATATCACTGGAAGTCCTCGGACAAATGGCAGACTTCAGAAAACACTGAGCAGGAAATGGTCTTCCACCAGCAAAGCAGTTCTTCAAACTTGAGGCTAAAAGATGATGTAAACTTTGTGCGAGATTGCAGGGCTCTGGCTCGGTGTCATCACTCCTCAATGATCACATTTATAACAGGCTGCAGCAGCGTCTGGCCCGTGGCTACAGTCAGACTTTGGAGTTTCCTGTCAGCCTGAGGACCTCGCGCTCTTTTGACTCTCTTTCAGAGCCGAGAATAAAGCTGATTGCAGTCTTGCTGGGGGGACTTAGCGTTGATCGAGCCTGCCTGAGGAACGTAAGCTTGTTAATTCAATGTTATCCTATAAATCTTCTTTCAAATTGAACCCCTCTAGATCTGCTTTTATGTATTGTTTTCATCTTTGCAACCACATTTTTGTGTCTCTTTCTTCTGATATTATAGATTTGAAAACGGGGGAAATGGCCTGCATCATTATTCTAGTACGGGTTTTCATATCGACAGTGTAACATTGAGACCGGGCAATCTTGTTAACATGGCTATGATGCCTTCTCTATTTAACTTAGTGGGCCATTTTATTCTTAAATTAGCTTTACGCTCGAGGCAAAGCAGCTGTCAGACTGCTCCCTCAAACTGTGTGTATCGCCCACAGACACCTAGACACACGCTAACACAGCTAGCATTTCACCTAGATCATCGCTAATTAGTGTGTCACCAGATTGTGCATACTTCTTGGCTTCATTGTGACACATTTTTGTACTTACAACAACCCAAACACACCTGAAAAAAAGCACAGATAAATAAAAAGTAACATCCCCCTAGAAGCAGTTATGTGCATCTCTACAAAATCTTCTGTGTGTGGCCTGTAGCTGCCAGGATATCTTCCTCGGTTTGTGTGCTGCTGCGGAGGAGAGCTCGAAGATAAAGTGGTTTTTCATGTGATCTACAGGTGTTAAGCGAGGAGAACAGTGGTAACCAACAGCAACATATTGATTTTCTGGTCCAGCTGTGACAGAGGGCCTTTTGTCTAACATGTCCTATCTGCTCCTCCTGCCTGCTGCTTTATGCTCCCTGCTGCTCCTTTAATAACCTGCACTCATGCTTCATTAGGGCTCCTTTAATTGACTTCTACTTGAACCTTTTTCAATCCTCACTTGTTTTTTTTTTCATAGTTTAATTACAAGGGTCTGAACTCATGAGGCGGTGCAGGAAAGAAAAGGCCATATTGACACATAATTGTTTTTAACAACACAACAATCTGCAGGACGCAAACAAAATAAAGTCATTCTTCAGGTGCCTCAAACTATATTTTTTTTATGTGGCCACTCGAGGCTGCTTCCAAAATCAAATCCATCTCCATTCAGCCCTGAATTAAAATGCCAAACTTTATTTAATATATTCACAGATTGATTAAAAAAATGTTTCGGCTTGAATTAGAGTTGTGCCGATACCAGAAGTTTGAATTTCAATATGATACTATTTAAAAGCAAATGACCTGTTTTAATACAACAACAACAACAACAACAAAAATAAACCCCCAGGCACCCACAACTGTTTCATTTTGTTAATTTTGATTTTCAGCTGTCTGTTTGTATCTGTTCATTTTCAGATGTTTGCAGACAGGACTGACAAACCCAGGAACCAGCTGACAGTGCTGTCTCTCTTCTCTACTCCCGGTCTGTCTGCAGCAGACATAAATGAAACGCTTGCATCTTTGTGAGATGCCAAATAGACTACATTATAGATTTTTGTATTTGCTGGTCCATCATTAATAACGGTAAATGATTCAGTTGCTGTGACAGGGGGCGGAGCAGAAAGACACACAGCAAGCAGAAAGAAGGAGCAACCTCCAGAATTGAGAAATGAAGCCGATGCGGCACTTGAAAAACTGCAGTTCTACAAGTGTCCACCTGAGGCTGTTAGCTGAAACCAGGTCTACACCAAGCCAAAAAGCCTGTTTTTGGAGAATTAAACACTTTTACAGCCTGGTTTAAAAAAACGTTTTCGTCTGATTAGCGTAGGGCTCATAAAGTAGGGTGACCATACGTCCTCTTCTATCTGGACATGTCCTCTTTTTGGGGGGTTGTCCGGGCTGTCTGGCTTTGTCCAGGGAAGTTCATAAAATCCTTCAAATTTTGGGTTTTGTATGGAAGTTTTGAGTTTGTGTCACATGGTGTTACTGAGTTAGAAACATGTAAAAGACATTCAATCCAACCTGAAAAACCGTAGGCACCAACAGTATTGAAAGTTTGTTTCAAAGCCATTTAGGATACAAGAATGACGAATCCGAGGCACGGCTGACTTGCCTGACAGGCAGACACCCTGTAAACATCAACCTACCAGAGCAGGTGGAACGCCCGCCTCTGGTAGGTTCGTTTGAGACAGCTTTACCAATATGGCGACCACCACTGATTGACTCTGCCTCAGAATCAGCCAGGTGACACCATGTCACTACAATACAGTTACTATACAGTACATGGTTAAAACTTTAAAACTCCTTACCAGCACTCGCCCTCTTTACTTAACCTTTATGTTTATCAACCACCACATTTTCATTAGGCTGAAAATGTGTCTGTGAGTCTGTTTTATTCACAAGATTTATTGATTTTCTGTGATCTCTGAGGTAAACATGATAAATTGTTCATATCAATATTGAAGCATGTGGAATGGAAAAATAATGGAGTATCTAAGAATTTCGACAGCCTGAGTCTCCACAACATTTTTTTTTTTTTTTTTTGCAACAGAGCAGACGTTAAATTTTATTCAGTTCACCAGCTTTAATGATACTAGTTGGCAGAATGAGGGATGTGTCACCTTGAGTGGCAGGTAAATAGTAACCTCTTAACTGTGACGGTGTTCTTGGAGCATTTTACAGAATTTTTTGGAGTAAATGCTGAACAAATGTCTGTGTGGTTAAATTTACTAATAAACTGTTCAAGATGCTTTTGCTCCAGGTTTTTGTTGAGTGAAAATCTTACTTCATATTTTGGTTTATTAGCTCTAATTCAGAGGTACTGATGGCTTTACTCAACATAGTTGGCTCAAAGCTCACTCAGTGTTTCAAGTGCTCAGCCAGTGCGTAGGAGTCATGATAGTTGTTGACTTTTCACACCCAAAGAGACAGCAGGCCTCGGTGTTGGAAAACTGGTGATTTTGAGTTCTCTAACTCACATTGGTAACTTTAGGTCATCCAGAATGGTAAAATGAGCCACAGGTCTGTTCTGTTTTTCTCCTTTTAGACCTAAACCCCCTTTTAGCGAAATGTTTGCAGTCATTTTTGGGGTCAGTTGCAATCACAATATAATACGTGTAAAGAGTTATCTCCTGGTGGATATTCCCACAATTCTCTGGCTACAGCGTGATGAGGATGGGGAGGCAGTGGCAGATGGAGCAGCCATGGTATCTGATTGAGCTTCTCTTTGAGTCTGGAGAGCTTATGGCGAAGAGAATAAATTGTGGGATGAAGCTCACCGCCTTCATCAGCACTAACAGCACAGTGGCTCTCTGCAATTATGGGGTCGCCATGAAATTAACACTGTGACAAGTACTTACAACTGACACTGTTTATTTTCTCAGACAGATAACAGTCCCCTTTTTAGGATTCGTAACCAGCATACAGACATTTAATAAAAGGTTTATAACAGGCTTTAATGACGCGGAAGGAACTAACTGATTACAGGTGTTGTGCGTTTGGTCTTTATGTTCCATTAGTAATTGGGTACTATTACTTAAAGGTCCTATATAAAGAAAAAAAAAACACATTTATCTTCATCTATACTTCACTCATCCTGCAGCCTAGCAACCCTGAGAGTGTGGAAGTGAAAAGCCTCTGCGTTTTTTCATTACATTCTCAGAAAACATGGCTTCTACATGAGGATTCAAACATAGCCCTGTGGTGGTGACGTATGTAAAGCGATGATTTGTACAGGCACGAATGCAAAGCCACTCTCACACCTCAAGCATTCCACTTCCTCCAAGAGGCAGTAACAATTGTATGTATGATACATTAGGGTTTTTTTTTTTTTTTTAATCTAGGTGTAAATCTTAAAAACTGAAAACTGTTGCAGTCTGTTTAATTGGTGTTAAAAATGCGGACTAAAGATCGGGAAAATCGACAATATCGTAGAATTGCAATTTAAATCGAAACAGCATCCAAACAATCATAAAATAATCGAATTGGGGGAAAAGCATATCATCCAGCCCTATGATCTGTACAGGACCAGAAACTGAGAGGCTGCAGTCTTCACAGAGGCTGTAAAATTCCTTCAAATCCTTGTGTTAAAGACAATTAATACGTATTAAAAGGCTAAAAATACTATAATATGGGACCTTTGACTTATAGCGTCTAACTTTGATTGTGAAGTCTGCTCTGTGAAAAGATAATGCATAATACTCTGAACTGCAGATGTAATAACATAGTGTAATAAATAACATGTAATGACCTTTAAAGGAGCTCATCCGTCAGCGCAAACTTACAGTGCTGTGTGTGCATCTCATTGCTTCTTGCTACAAACCTAAACCATGGAGGAAAGTAATAACTGCAAAATGCATTTTCCTTATTTATGATCAACTGACTAAAATGCAAAGAGAGCTAAATGAGGACAAAGTCATCTGCTCACTTAACATACATTACTCATACTTACTCATTAATCTGCCTGATCAGTGCACTAAAGTCTCATCAGCAACACAAAAGAAAAGATGAATATGTATCTCCTTGGATGTTTCATTATCGATCTTGTGACAGTGATCCTCATATGGTTTGAACAGCTTGACAATAACAAACTCTGTCCTGCTACCTTCCTGTGCCTCCCTTTGTGTCCAAGAGCTTTGGTTTTTCTAATGTTAAGCGTCATGTAGTAGAAAAGGAAACAGACCCCTTATACTGTTAAACTGTTAAACATATTCCCATTGGTTAAATAAACAAGTTGCATGCTAAAGCTGTTAAAGCACAGATGGTTTCTTCTGGAGTGAACCAGTAAGAGGATAAATGCGGAAAAATCACCTATTGATCCTACTTAGTGGAAGTCGTAATTGAATCACCTTGGACAAAATTGTACATATTAATTCACCAAATACTGAAGCACAGCCAGATCTATCGCCTCATATAGTTGTTACTCATTACAGTGAAGAGAAACTGACTTCTCTATGGCTGGCTTTTGAATTCAGATATCATGCAGCACTTTCAGGGACTGGCAGCCATTTCTCCCCTCATCTCCTATTCCTTTATCACCCAGTGCACCCTGGCAGACTGCACATTGAGGCAATCGAGCGGACTCTGGATAGCTTCTTCGTCTAGTGTGAAAAAAGGATGAGTCCTACATATGCAGCCTCACAAGTCTAATCTTAGCCCCGGTTCCTCTGTTCGCCTCATCAACAAGAGAACTTATTCATCTTGCCCAGTCCATTAAAGATTTAAAGGAACATTAGGGCCTCTAAACAGCTCTTTTAATTAAACAGCAGGAGTCGTTCTTACCGTACCTGTTAGAGAGGACATTCCCTTTAACGTCTACATCTCTGCATTTGCATTAACTTTAAAGACTGTTTTAGATTTAAGTCACATAGAGCAGCCACGGCCATGTATGCAGCATGTTCGCTCACTGAAGGTCAAACTTTCATTTAAATCCATCAAATGTGCATTTTTTAAAGTGAAATGCGTTGTGGTCTGGGCTGATTTAAAGGCGCATTCGTGAACTGCATAGTAAACTCGAGCAGTTCAGTTTGTTGGGTTTGCCCTGGCCTCAAAATACTTGAGGAATTATGAGAATAAGGCGTGTCCCCTCATCTCTGACATTTTTTAAGAAACAGACAATACACAGACATCTCTTTCTAATTAAGAGAAAGATTATAAATCATTGGATACATGCTCCCTTGCCAAAATTTAGATATAAAAATTAATAACACAAAATGCTACTACAGCCAACAAAAAAAAATACTGTTAGCAGTAGCCTGACCTTGCTCAGCATCAAGGATAGAAAAAGGGTAAGGATGGTCAAATCTACCTATAAGAATCTCACTTATTAACAAATCACAATAACAGTTATTTGTCACTTTGGTACTCGGCTTTTCTACAGATTAGATTTGTCGAAAACTTCAGTGCGAGGCCGTCCTAGTTGAAACCTGCAAAATAAAGCAGCTGTCAGTTCAAATATACAGGCATCCCACACGAATCTCTCAGAATGTAAATATATGAAAAAAATGAAGCTTTGACCTCGAGACAGAAAAAATGTGCTCTCTGAGGTTATCTAAGGTAAGAGGTATAGTCTGTGACTAACAGAGTTAGCCGAGCAGAAGTGATGAGGTCACGTGGGATGCCAAGACTCTGGATTCGTTCTTTGTCTGCTTTGAGGTATAGACTTATTCCTGCTTCTCATTTTTTTATGTAAATCATTTTTGGATCAGTCAGTTTATTAGGAAAGACACCTGTATCCTACCATTTAACTGGAAGAGATGCTGGTTCGGTAAAAGAAATAAAGAAGCAGTGCCCAGAATTGATGCAAATTAGAATTTGAACACAGCTTGAGAATGCTGTCATCTGTCTTCATCAGAAAAGACTTCCCTGTTTTACAAATATGATTGCATAGAGGAAAAAATGTATTCACATTGACAGTTTTGTTGTTGGAGAGCACAACACTGGCCATCAGCTTTGTTTTATTTTTAAATGAATGGCTGTTTTTTTGTTTTGTTTTTTTCTGAGCAAGTTGACAAGACATAGCAGATGCTCAAGTTTAGTCAAAAACTCAGCACGCTGTTTCTGGCTTACTAAGCTGCTTGTCATCTCCAGATGTTGACTAGCAGAGGGGAGCATCCTGACAGCTGAAGTAGTGCATGTATTTTTTAACAGCCAAAGTGGAGACAAAGCAATATAAAATCCCACCGCAAACGTTTTCTCCCAACACAACCATTCTGCAAAAGTTTTCACAAACTACTCTGACCGTACCAATTTGAAACTACCCATTGAGTTTCTAAATAAAAACGAGACATTCCCTTCTCAGACAGCTTGAGTTGACAGGACTACCCATTATACAGAACGGGAGAGAAAGCAGGTTAAATCAGCCCGGTGATTTGTGCATCAGCGTATCCCTTTTTATGTGTGAAGATGTGGGCTCAATGCATACTCAGCTCACGGATGGTTGATGTGAACAGATGTTATGATGTTAGGTTACTACTGTTTGTGGGTGGTTGAGAACAAATTTCTGCTTACTGTGAGTCTTTACTGACATGCAACGTCTCATGCCTGACTGAGTTTTAGTGCATGTATGTGAACATCATCATGTATACACAGCAAGACGAGCAATATAGTGAACCATCTGACAGGCTACAGACACTTAGACCGCACCTATGCTTCCAGTCAGCAGAGATAATGCGCATTCCTAGATATAATGTGCATATTGAAGATACTCCGACCTTGGGGTTGTGATGCATGTTCAGTCACATTTACAGGCAGAATACAAGCACAGATGGCTGCTTTAAAATCAACATGAGGTTAAATGTTAGCAGTGAGCAATGGAAGACCCTCGATGTAGTTCATTCCTACAGACTTAAAAAGAGATGAATGGAGAAACATGAGATATTTTTAGCTACTGATGATAACACAAAAAGAAAAAGACTTACAAAGGTCCATTAGGATTGTGAGTGAGTTGAGGACATGTTTAGCTGACTGAGGTACACAACTATGTTTTTATGTTTTTTCTATGTTTTTTTTTATACTTCATTCATCCAGGGGGAGCCTTGTTGTTTAAGGTTGTTTGTTTTCCAATTTTAGTGATGGGGATTGAAACCCAGTTCTATTAAGGACTCATTCAAACCCTGAAAATAAACAATGTTTGAGCTTATTGATTCTGCTATCGACTCTTTTGGGTCCTTAACATTACATTTAAATCAAATGTAATGTAACCGTATTGCACAAAATTACTTCATTGTTAAATAAAATGTAATTCCAAGCCAATAAGCGTGATAGTCAGTTGCTGGTGGTGATGACAAGATCATGGGTTTGGTCACACTTTAACAAAGCACAAAAAGAGAAAGCACAGTGTTATTACTGTAGCAAAATAATTTCTTGCAAGGGGGCACATAACATCCACAGTTATAAAGATGGCGCATCAAATTGTCCATCTGCTGGTGCTGCTGCTGTGAGGTTGAAAATTCTCCTCCTCCACCCAAAGCAGGCAGGGTGAGCACAGCCAGACTTCATAGCAAGTCCTGTTTCTTAAAAGCTTGAATCCAATTGGAAATCAAAGTTAGACTACAGACTACTAGACTAACATGCCCACATACAGAGATCAACTTTAATACATTACCTCTGGTTTGATTAAACTCTTAAAGTCCCACTCTGATCATTTTTTTACTACTTAAAGTGTTCTCAGGGGTCTTTAAACTGTGATTTTTACCAAAAACCAAGTTACCTGTGTCATTTTCAAGGGCTTTTCTTCTTCTGCAGAGCTCCATTAGATCATTAGCAACTCGCCTCTGAGTCGTGGGCGGAGACAGCGCTGCTCTGCACACTCCTCTGCACACTCCTCGTCACGCTAGCTTGTAGCCTAACATTGCTGGTGTAGTAGAAGTGGGAGGTAACAAAGGAGCTATTCAGCTCTCGGACACTAATGTATTTAGGGACATGGTGAAAGCTATTATCATAGCTTTCTTACGAGCATTGCAATCCACTAATGTCCATGCTTGTTCCGCAATCATCCTCTACTTTTCCAAGTGTGGGGGCGGAGCTTGGATTTGCTACGTCGGAAATCTTACTGAATCCGAACCTGCCATTTCCGTCTGTGAGAGATTCACAGCGATTTGAATGCATAAATACTTAGAAATGCAATTTTGCTCTCAGTTTTCTTATGATATGTCCTGTAGCATCAGTAAAATGCCATATGAGCGAGTAGGCAACAAGAAAAACACAATTTTCATCAGAGTGGGTCTTAAACCATTAACATCTTAGAGTCTCCTTATAGTTGCTTGGCATCCTTATGTTTACAACAAACCCCACACAGGTAGTCCCACGCAAAACCTACTTTAGATAAAGTTCTTTAAGTTTTTTAATGAGTGAGCTTTAGGGGTGTTAGTAAGAGGTTTGGTAACTTTTGGGCACTTTTGGTAGCTTTTAGGCACAGCTTGCCTTGCTGTTCACCCATATTTCCATTTGTTACACTTCGCTGACTATGTAAGATGGCTGACCATCTCTAAAAGTGTGTAAGAGACTAACTTGTATTTGGTATCCTCTATCCTATTTCAAACCCCAGCAACAAAGCAATTTATCTCATTTGCTAAAATGTGGAACTATCCCTTTAAGAACTTTTCTGTGTAAATAAAAAATAAACTTAGAGGACCATCAAAATCATGAAATTGTACCCTTTCACATTGAGTCATTTACTCATCAAGGCGCCAAGAGTTATGTGCTATGTATAATTCACATTAGTCTAAAATTGTATTTTCAGCTTGACTATGCATGCATACTAACTTTTTTGATGAGGAGTCAGGGTGCCCTTCCACTTCTAACCTCCTCCTCCCCCTCACAAAGATGGAGTCACTCAGAGGGCTTTAATGAACTGAGTATTTTTCCACATAACTTGTTCTTGTTTTATCCTCATAAAGCAGGGAACCGCTCACATCTCTCACTCCGAACACCATCTTTTTGCTACATTTTCCCGTCATTTCCTGCGTCTGCTGGCTTTAAGTGCAGGGTGGATTTTGCAGGGGTTGAGGGTGGAGGGATGAGGTGGCATTCAACCAACGGTTAGCGCCACATAAAGCCTTTATCACACCTAAACTGCTCCGTCTCCCAAAGCCGGAGTAAGATAAGCACTGCCCATTCATCTGTAATGATGTGGAAGCAAGAACCAACTGAACGGAGTTGAGAGGGAAAGGCTAACTCAGACACAGTGTAGATGGCTGAAAGGGGCGCAGGGCCAACAGGGTTTTTCTTGTTCAGTCCTCAGATTAATGTGTGAAGAGGCTTTGATTTATTGTGTTTTCACTGTGGATTCAAGTTGATTATGAGATGAGTGAAGTTACTCTACAAAGCACTGGAAATATCTGAGAGAAGAATATGGGAAGTAGGGGCCGCATTCCGATACAGTCACTTTTTACAACAAAACCAAATAATGTGACCTTCAAATCTGCCTTCAAATGTTCACTGTAACCTTTTATCGTATTGTCTGTTTTCAAACCCTACAAGCAAGTATTTTTCTTTCTGTAACACAGCCTGTAAGGAATCATAGGATGTAGGATGGTGAATTGATTTGCTGAGTGTGGCTAATGTTAGCAGAACCAGCACCACCAGCCTTCTTTAAGGTTACATCAAGTACCTGTGCTGGTTATGTATTGCTTCATGCTATGATCATCTGTGCTTGTTTACATCCAGGTAGTATAGGATTATAGCGTCATGGTGCGAGTGATACTTGTACTGCAGCGTGTCCACTGAGCATTTTTTGGTCTAAATGAGGTCTAATATAGGTCTAAATGTGGCCTAGACGACTGGTCTAAAATCAGGCTACCACAGGTCTAAAAATGAACTTTTTTAGATGTCTAAATTTAGACCAAGTTTAGACCAAGCCTAAATTTGGGCTATATCTATACTACACTGTGCATTTCTCAATGGCTGTCATAACTATTTTGGTTAAGTACTTGGAGATCAGTTATACAACTCACAGTTGCTTTTGAAATAGTTATTCAATAATGGGTTAAAGTGCAACGTGAAAATTACGTCTAAAAATATCAAGAATCTAGACGGTTGAAATTAGGACTAAAAAAAACTAGACGTCTAATAGCCATCTATTGCTCAGTGGGTGGTTAGTAGTCAGCATATGGCCAGCATGTTGGTCTTACAGTAACAATATGTATTTAGTAGTTCTTATACTGACTGTGTAGGGTGATGCTGTTCAATTGTTGAGTTGTGCACATCCTGAGACACAATCTGGTAAGATACAAGATAAGTGAAAAGGTTCTCAAGGCAACTGAGTCTAGCCTCGCTGCCAACAGCAACAAGCTAGTTTTTTAATGTGTCAAGTTTCAATTGCATTTAACCAGGAGTCCATAACCATGCCAACAGCTCTGTTCTCAGACAAAGAGTTGCTGATTAGAGTATAGCTAGTTTAGTTGGAAACTTAGGAATAGACCACATTGGTCGCCATTGAGCTTGTTTGGTTGAGACTAAACAGATAAGTCTGTCAAAACTCAGATCACTGTAGAGCTATCTTTCAGAATGGCCGAATAAAAAATATGTATCAAATAGGAAGCAGTATTTACAAAGTTGACGAGTCATTTACTCTGTTGCAGACAAAAATACAGTAAGTCTTGGTCATAATTACACACTAAAGCCTCTTTCGCACATGCACTCCTTAATGTTTCCATCATTTTTTGGACTTCTATCCTCCAAATTTTCCCAAAGTTGCTTGTTCATATATGTTCGTTGCAGAGTGCAGACTTCCCTGTTAAATGAGAGGGTGTGGTGGGTAGGGGGTGCAGGAGATGAGGCAGAGCATGACATCAAAAACACTGTGTGAAAAAGCCACAGTAAGATAACTACATGATGAAATATAAAGCAATAAAGACCTACACCATGAGCGTTTTCACATTTATATCAATGCTGCATGTAAACAGTTGGATGTGTAGAAACATTTCCCGTTTTTTCCCATGAAAATTATTCTCATCCTTTAACCCCTGATGCCTTTATTCAAACATACCATATTACATTTTTTTTTTCTGGGTTTGCACTGGTCACATGATATAAAGGTCATCACCCCCATCCACCCACTTGCAGTGAATGTTCTTGAATGTTTTCTGCAGCATTTTCACATCAGCTCACCCTGATTCTTACGAATTTGACTTATGGGAACCTTTTTTTTTTAGTTTTGTTCATGTGTGAGTACAACTTTATTGACAGCATATAAGAATTGATTGCGGTACTTGCAGAACTTTATGACTTATGCACTGATAGTTAAAACTGAGAGTAAATAAATGTGGCTCATTGTTTGCTGGCTGCTGGCTCTGTGCATGGAGTCTGCACAGTTGGCGTCTGCAGATGTACTGCTGGTAATTCCAGCATTAACAGTGCTGTGATACAGCAGAATTAAATCCAACATCACCATAGGAGGTTAAATTCACATTGACATCAATATTGCCGGGTTAAATTAATTATCCTGAAGACCACTAAATCAAATCATATTAGAGATATAACTCTTGGTGTCTGTTGTAGTCGACAGATTAGCAGAACTTAGCCTGGGGGTAATTTAAATGTACCACAGAGGAGTCTTCTGCAGTCAAGTATCATTATTTTTTCTCTTTTATTTAACAGACACTTCATCTTTGGTAAAATCATGTTGTCCTCCCGTGCCTTTTTAAACACACTGACAGGTCTTAAAGAGCACACCTATTCAGACACAGAACCTCAAACTTTCTACTTGTGTGTGTCTTCCAGGTGTAATTGGTTCCCTGACGGCAGTTCTGGACCCATCAGGAGATCCAAAGAGGAAGACAGATGAGACCACAGCGTCTACCTGAGAATGCTACCGGTCCCTCCGCCTCACCATGTCACCATAGGAGAACTTTTAACCTGTCCCTGTCCACAAATCCTCTTTTTTCCTCTGTTATCCCCAGTAAGCCACTGAGTTTGTGATCCCTCTCTGCACCCATCCTGAAGAGAAATGACTAAAAGAGCTTTTATTTTGGACATGTTGTTTTTTCCTTTCAATGCTGCCAGCCACCAGGGCTATGGTGGGAAGCGTCATTATACTTCTCAGCAGGTCGCTAATCACTGTCTGCTGTGGCTACTGGGACTGGTTTTACACCTCACTCTTTCCACATGTCAACGAGTCGACCTGAAACACCCCATAGTATCCACAGGCTACGGGAAGGTCCGAGGGATCAGGAAGGAGCTCAACAATGAGATCCTGGGTCCTGTCGAACAGTACTTAGGTGTGCCATATGCCACCGCGCCTGTTGGGGAGCGCCGTTTCCAGCCCCCTGAAGCTCCAGGATCCTGGCAAGAGATCCGCAACGCTACCCAGTTTGCACCAGTGTGTCCCCAGAATGTGCATGGGGTTTTACCTGAGATCATGCTACCTGTGTGGTTCACGGACAACCTGGACGCTGCAGCGACTTATGTTCAGAACCAGAGTGAGGACTGCCTTTACCTCAACATCTATGTACCCACTGAAGACGGTGAGTCAGAAACACTTTTAATGCTAAATATATGACGAGACTGGCTAGCCTGCACGTTCATGAGTCTCAGTGGATCAAAAAAAAGTTCAATACAAATGTGAAACACTAGATCTGTCGTGTCAAAAATACAGTTTCAGATAGATCATATTTTCCACCTCTGTGATACTCCTTTGAATAGATGTTTTAATCACTTAGTAACATTTAACCCTACTGAAGACGGGCCTTTGACACAAGCACAAAGACATGCAGGAGATCATTAAATATCATAATTCTGATCATCTCTCAGGCCTGTCTAAATGCCATTCTTAATTAGTATTGGTTAGGAAGTCTAATCATTTTCTGGACGTGCACACAGCAGTAATCCTAACTTTTATTTCTTATATTTAATTAATATCACAATTTTTCAATTATCTAAAACTTAAAGCAAACAGTCAAGATTCAGGCAGCTTTTTGTGCCCATTGGACACACAGTGGCGCCTGGAGTTTTAGCACGACTTACCCTAACCTGTTCAATCTGAGCACTAATTTTGCATCATTGGTGCTAAATGCCAAGTTAAGCTATGTACAGAACTTTGTAATACTATTGTCAGTACAGTGTTAGGAGTCTTGTCACTACTAACTAGTGCAACTGCTACATGGCTGCAGTAAATATCTCGTTTCCACTGCAATTCGGTGTGATTGTCAAGGAATAGGTAGACGAAATGAATTTGTTGTTAAGATTTTGAGTTTAACTTCTGACAGAAGTTTTAAACAAGGGGTGTCCCGATAAAACTTTTATACTTCCGATACGATACCGATATTGTAGCCTTCAATATTGACAAATACCAATATTGATCTGATACTGGCACAAAATTGTGCACGACATGTTTTTCACTCAGCTGCAATGTTTGTTTGTTTTTTTGGACTTAAACAAAAAATACTTCCACAAGGCCAACATCACTCTTAATCCTTGCTACTTTGTTCGTACTTTAGTACACACCGTTTTTTGATTTTGTCGGCTCAGTTTGTTGGATCAGGGTGCTGCTAGCTAGAGGTGCCGGAGCAGAGTCTGGAATGAACTGCTTGTATCGGAGTGCTGATATTGGTTTATATATATTATATAGATTTTAGATGCAGGCTGATATAATCCGATATTCGTTTTTTTGCTGATATCGGACCGATATCGATATCAAAATCTTATTGAGACACCCCTATTTTAAAAGTCCAAACATTTAGGCCTGGTCAAAGTTCCTTGACAAAAATGTGTTGGAATATGTCCAATACTCAAATGTAATTTAGCGAAAAAGTGCACACAGTTTGTAAAAGTGTTTTAAGAGAAACCAATGAAAGAAGAATCATAACTAACCGTTACCTCATTAAAGGATCCCTTGAAATTATGATAGAAACCCAAACATGAGACTTTTTACCCCTGAAATACATTCAATAAAAGCGTGATGGTCTCACACTCTGGGTTTCATAATTAAATGCCAAGACAGTGGCCGGCCCTGCTTATCTGTAAAGCCAGTGTACCCCTCATGACTGATGCCAGCTATGACTCACCACTACAGCGCCAGGAGGATGAAAGATGGAGGGACATGGTGACCAGAGCAAGTAGCCTACAAGTAGAACAAGTTAACCTCCAGCTAAGGCAGAGTTATAGCATCAATGCTGCTGCAGAGATGTTAAACAACTCTCAAACAGCTAAGAAATAAGGGGCCTCAGAGAGTTATGTCTGAAGATGACAGGCGCATGAGGACTATCTTAAGATTATTTAGGGTTAGGGTTAAGGGTTGTGAGCACTTTAATGCCATAATAAAATACAATAAAGGTATGTCCTCTTCCATCTGCTGGACTACAGGTTATCTGAATTATTAGTGTTTAAACACTTCTACTTTGGTACCGTATTTACACAGGTTACCATTTTTCAATATTATTTGACTGCAACAATATAATTCAAAGACATTTCTTCAATGTAAAATTCATTTTAACATCAACTCTCCTTGTTTATTTAATGTGTCTGTTACAGCATTATTGTCAGTGACATTGTTTTTGTTATGAAGACAATATTCAGTCTTTAAAGTCTTTTTTTTCTGAGGACAGTCTTTAAAAATGGGGAAATAGTCTTGTGTCAGTGTTGTTTCATAATTAGCACTTTAATGCCTGAAATCACAAATTATAGCCAGAAAATTCAAATTATTCTAGAGCTGAAATGTTTATTTCACTTACTACTGAAAACAAAAAAAATCCAAATGTCCTTAAAATTTACCAAATATATTTATTTATCTCATTTGATACATTAGATAAACCACAAGAGGACATTTTTGTCATTTATCAGACTGTATTCAGGTGTTTTTTTTTAGTAATTTGTTGATCATATTGATTTGATAGAAGTATCGTAAAAGTATCAAATATGATACAAAAGGCATTAAAGGGTTTAGTAAGAGGTCCTGCATGCCAACTTCATGGCAGTGAGGCCTTCTGACTTCCACTACTCCTTAGGTTTGCATTGCATATAGCCGCTGCACAGAATATAGCAAACAGAATACCTTACCCAGCCTCGCTCATGCCTCATGGGGTAAAATTAGTCAAAAATAGAAGATCACTATAAAGCTAAACCTCCACCTCTTCATGGGCTGTCTGGGTGTACTTCTTGCATTAATGATCCAGTGGAGAGCGTTTGAAAAGGCAGATGGGCAGGTAAAGAGAGAGAAGATCAAAGTGTGAGTTTGGAGGCAAAGCATATGCTACTGCCGATAGTGAGGAAGGTTAATGATAAAATGTTAAAAAGTCTATGATTAATGGGCTCACCTGAGAGTTACCTGAGAAAACACACACACGATAAAACACATGTTTATGCATTAACCGCTGCTCATTAACTTCGCCATTGTTGTATTTTAACTCCAAAGCTGGAATCGTAACCTACTTCGTTGGGCTGTGTCAGAGTAGAGAAGACTTGTTTTGTTGTTCCTCCATGGCCCAACAAAAAGATGGAAAGAGATTAATTGCTGTGGGAAAATATCTAAAAATAATGGTAGTGTAAATTGAAATTAGATCACAAGAGAAGCTTTGAACAAGAGAGAAGAGAATAAAAATTGCCACATGAATTAAACTCCTCTGCTTACATAAGTAGACTTAGCTCAACAGAATGCGTGCTGTGTAGGACATATATCACATTCTCTCACAGAAAGGACAAGGAGTCTCCTCTGTCATTCCCAGAGGAGAAGGTGTGCAAATGAGTGAGACTGATTTTACATGTAGCCCTGTCTGCTTGTCAGAATCTGTCACTTATTGTCAGGGGTCACTGCTTACACGAGGCTGATGCCGTCCCCAAGGACATGTTTTGCCTTGTGTGTGAGAGAGAAATCAGGACTGAAGGAGAGTGAAAATGCCCCTGAAATCAAACACACACTGCGTTGTGCTTGTAACTGCTGTCACAGTCCCACTAATACCTAATATGATATCATAGTTTGGATTTTGTCAGAGGTACCAGCTTTAAAAAATAAACTCGTTTCAAATCCCAAGTATTTTGGTTTGATATTAAATGTTCATGATAAACAAACAACAAATTTCAAGCTCAGATGGGGGCTGCGGTTGGAACCGTTTATCAAAGTTAAACACACAAAATCAGAGCTGCGTAAGGGTATGATTGGCAGTGATTATTCATTTTCAAGCATATTTTAAGCTTAAAGATGACCCACAAAAATCAAAGTAGGAATTTATTTTAAACCTCAGCACAGTCCCCCTTGTTGGAGATGAAAATGGTTGTTTCTTCAAATACCTTGAACAGTCTCCACAGAGTAAAACATGCCAAGAAGAATTTTTCCCCACCTGTCTTCAGCCTGTCTGCCTTCATCTCAGCTTTAGCTTTTAGCTACGCCAGCTGCATCTCCAGGGATGTTTTTGTCCCAACTGGAATATCTCAACAACTGTTGGATGAATTGCCACAAAATTTTAAGTAAACAATCACGATCCTGTGAGGATAACTACTCACACTTTGATGACCCCCCTGGCTCTTTCTCAATTATCTACAGCAGACATGTTTCATTATATATATACATATTTGAAGGGGGAATGCATCTGTTATGATAAGATAAGTTGTAGGGCTGTCAAAATTTCTCCAAAATGACGTTTGAATATTCATTCTAAAAATTACACACAGGTTCGAACATATTCAAATATCTATATTCGTGACATGCTTACATGTGCTTCCTACTCGGCTACAGGAATAATCATTGTTCTAGTCTACACGCAACATTTTTGTTCTCATTCATGAAACGCTTAAATCAGGGACATTTCCGGGGACAGCTTTAGGTCATCCAATACGGGGACTGTCCGCAGAAATCTGGGACGTCTGGTCATCTTACAGAACATCCCTCCATCTCTTTCTTGCATGTGCCAAGGACGGTTTTTGTCAAGTCTCACCGCAGGTGCAGCTCCTGTTACCTGTCCCTGACCCTTTGTTACAGCTGCTGTTTTTTTTTCTTCTTCGTTTTTCCTCCTTTCAGTTATTTTTCCGCTGTTTATTTATTATTTGAATATTAATTTTTTTACATTTGAAGGTCGTTTTTTTTTTTGTAAATTCTAATATATATTCGAATTTAGAATATTCGTTGACAGCCCTGATGGGTTGTCATAGAATCCTATAACAATCTTAATACTTCCAAGTAAAATGAGAGAGGTTATGGTTGAAAAGGGGGTCCAAGAAGATTTCTGACCCTGAAATATTGAGATATTTGATACTGTACCAATTCCTTTAAGTGCTGTATCGATATTTCCACACATAGACCAGAAACAGGCACACACACCACACAGCAATCTGCAGCTCATCATGTGGGTGACTGAAATGTTGGTTTCAATGACCTTTTTCAACAAATCACCTCCAAATATATTGAGTTTGAATTCTTTTCTATCTGCCTTTTATTTGGTGCTGTGAACTCAAACAGTGGTGACCTGCAATTATCTATGTGTGTATACCTGTTACAGTCAGGAACGACAGGGAGGGGCTGAACAAGCAGAGTGTTTAACTCCCACGCGTCATCTCCCCAGAAAAAAAAAAACTGATTATCAGGCCTCAAGCTGGGCCTCAGATACAAAACTAAATAGGCCTTCACCTATCTGTAAAAAACGTCTGTTTAAGCAGAGTAGCTGACGTCAATTATGATAAACAGTAGAGCATCACGTGGAGCCTTGACATGCAGACAGGTGCACAGATCTGCCCCTTCTTACTGTTACAGAGAAAAGCAACACATCACCGGTAAAGCTTTGTCCAAGTTGCACAGAGGAGCAAATAAGAGGATGTTGTTTAAGCTGCAAAAGGTAAATGCAGATCCAACTGTTAAGATGGATTCCTGAAAAAATAACTTTTTGTGCATGCAACATTGTCTGTTCTTTATACTGTCAGTTTCTCTGAAAGGGAAACATTTTTGAAAGAAAGAGAAAAAAAGACAAAATATCTCCTGCTAATAGTATACAGTTAATTGCAATGTACCATATTGTCAACACGGTTTTGGGATAAGATAAGATATTCCTTAATTAGTCCTACAATGGGAAATTCCAAAATTTACAGCAGCGATAAAAACAGAAGAGAAATTGAAGAATGAAGAAACTTCAGAGTTAAAAAGATGTCCAAAAAAAAGAATAGTGTCATTTACAGCTGTTATGTACACATTGATTTATTACAGTTGAAAAATTGAGATATTTATATGCATGACTATATACACAGAATAAGCATACATGTGTGCTAAATACATATAATTTATAGCACACTGAGGTTTCTGTTGTGGAGTCTGACGGCTGCAGGAAGGAATGACCTGTGATACCTCTCCGTCATGTTTCTCATATTACCAGTTCTGGTCAGTGCACAGCCCTAGTCAGAACAAAACCATATATTTCGACCATATTTCCACTTGTTAATGTTGGGTAAGAGGGCGACAGTTTAGCTTGGTTGGTGCTGGTGAAAATGGTTCCTGTCCTGCCAGGGTTTGATGAATGTCATCATTCACTCTCTTCCCACATTTCCTGTCCCCCTCAAGTTACCAAAAGCCTCAAAAGTCATGATAATACAAAAGGACTATTTCAGTTTTGGTTTAAAACCAGCAGTCCTGAGCAGTTTGAATCTTGAAAGTTTTTCTGGTAAGAGTTGGATGTGAACATGGCGGTATATAGGTCAGGGTTATAGAAGCGTTGTTGTCTCAAGAAGTTGTCTCTTCAGTTTCTGGATGCAGTTCGATTTTGCAACGTTAGATACCAGGCCAAAGACTTTCATCTCCAGAGTTTGTCCAAAGTCTGTGGAGGATAAGAGCAAAACTGCTATATTCCAGTATCACAAACAGTGCTACACAGCCGAGTGGGAGAAGTGTGTGGCACTGAGTTTCACAATACAGCAACAGCGCTAAAACTAAAAACCGCTTACTATAGCAGCAAGAAATAGATTTTATTGAAAATCTGATGTAGTGTAATATGAATATGTGAGATTGTTTTTGAGCAGTTTTGCTCAGATCTTCTCCCTTAATCATGCTCTGACACCTTTAAGTGTATTTGACCGATTGTCATGTAGTTTTCTTCAAGGATTCACACTTCTCTGTGGATCAGCTCTGGTGAATGTGATTTTTCTTCTTTGCTAATTTGTTTAATATCCACATCGATTCCAAATCCTTTAAATAGTTAATCATGTTTGGAACATCAATATCAGCTTCTCTTTGTGTTTTGCGCTTAATTTCATATTTAAACAAGCTAAATTGCAAAAATGCTAACTGCGAAGACTGCACCTGTTTGTTTGAGAAGTTAGCACAGACTGTAAGAAAGTGTTAGCATTTAGCTCTTAGTGCCAATGGCCCTCATTTATCAAGCTTGCTGAGCGCAGATCTGAGCGCAGGATTCATCGTACGATAGGACACACGTGAGATTTATAAAAGGGTTTGTATCTGACCAATCCCAGCATACGTATGGTCGGGTCTTGATAAATGTGGCGGCTGAAATCGATTGTCATTAACATGTTCATGCCCTTAAATATTCATGGTTCAGAAGCCTCGCCCACTGAGGTCAAACATGAAAGAGGAGAAATATTAGAAAGATGTGAAACTTTTCCGAGCTGAAAGTGGATATTCTCACATCTGTGGTGGAAGCTAACAAGGATTTTCTCTTTGGAATCATCAAAACTGGAATAAAAGCAGTCCAGAAAACTCCTGTCTGGAGCAGGATTATGGAGGCGGTGAACAGCGCTGCTGCGGAATAGTGGACAGTGGCTGAAGTTTGAATAAATCATAAGTCAATAAGTTGCTCATGATGATAAATTAATATCCCATACATGCCTCATATTTGTTTATTGCCCTGACATAGGGTACGTTGCTCCTATTATTTAAAGCATTCAGTTTTAATTTGTTGCGTCTTTGTAAAGTAGAGCAGATTGTAGAGTCTGACAGAGGCTGAACAAAAATAATTATTAACGTCACCAAATGGTGTGTTGCTGCTCCTGAGGCACATTTTTATGGATTTCCATTGGATTTTTATCACCAAATAAATAGCAAGAGCACTTTCTAAACTTATATTTTCCATGTCAGAATCCATGGATAAGGTCCTGTCTCCTCTGTTCAGCACCTTTGTGGAGTCTTTCCTCGTTATTGTTCTCTGGGCATCGGGTCCTCACGTTGCACCGGCACAGCCAACGGCACTCCATTTGCCAGAGCAACATTGTGCAAACTGTACTGGTCCAAATGATGTCCCACACCCTTTCAGGAGTGTACAACAACGCCCCCGCTGCTGGACCAAGACAGAGACACCTGCCTTTTAGGAGTCAAACGCAGCGCTCCACAGTGTTTCTGGGCAGAGTTATCAAATAGGCCTATTCACCAAGGACGTAACAAATTTATTTTGTTTTATTTATTTACGTCTTAATCTTTAATGTAATCTGGCTGATTGTGCTAACAGTTTTGAGGTTTGTTTATCAATTATTTTGAGACAGACATTTGCTGCACCACAGATCCACACTGACTCAAACTTGCGTACACGATGTCAGACCTGTCGTGAGATTTGGTCGTAGCGTACGCTCACATGCAGATTGATGAATGCCGATCCTCACGTCAAAATTTTTGTACGCAAGGTGTACGCAAGTTTTCTGCAGTACGCAATCTTGATAAATGAAGGCCACTGTGCCTAAGTTCAGCCCCATGGAGCAGCTTATTTGGCTCTCCACTCTGGTGTTACAGCTGTTTTAGCTAGCTAGCTAACCTGGTATTAATGAATGTTGCCCTGTCATGTTCAAAGGGAGCATGTCAGCACTGACTTGTGCTGTGTTTGGCAGCAGGCAGCTGCATTCCCTCTCATAGCGGATGTCGGTGGGCCAAAATGAATTGGCAGCACAGAATCATAGGCAGCCCAGATCAAAATGTTTTGGAGCCAAATCCAGCCTGTGAAAGTTAATTTCAACGCATTTAATCTCTAAAGTACAACATTATGCATTATCCTATTATCCTCCCATTCTACCTTAAGTCATGGCCCTGTCTGATATGATCTGTCTCTGACCTGGAAATAATCTCATTGAGCATGTTCTTTGCTTTATTCTTTTGACAAATGAAAATCCATGCTTTCCTTTCTTTCTGCATCTGTGCGCCTCTCCTGCTCCATTCTCTTCTCCTGAAATCATCCACGCCTCCTCTCCTCTTCTCCCCTCTCCTCTCCTCTCCTCTCCTCCATCTTTATGCAGATGGCGGTAGAAGGGGTCACTGTTCTGAATGCAAATAGGCTTCTTGCCCTTCCTCACCAGGCCACTACCAAGCCAGCTACTTTTTGAACTCAAATAAATTCAAATAACTTTGTAGAATAATCTGAATAACACAAATGTTCTTGTGAATATAAGAGTGGTTTTTTCAGTCCCCCTAATCCCCCCTTGCTCCCTCCTTACAGTGACTGTTCCTCCCTAACCCCCCTATGCGGCCAGGCTACAAGGCAAGAGCACTGTCTGACTGCATTCTTATTTCCTCAAGACACTCCTCAGCCAAGGGCCTAAGATCCTTCATTTTTATTGCTGCTAGAGCAGCCATTTACTGTGCTCTTTATTAAAAACCATATTTCAGGAGGCAGGACAGTGGAGGCAGGGATAGAGCTGGGGGCGGGGCAGGTGGGGGGCACAGAAAAGAGATGGAGAGTGTTAGGATAGGTCTGCATGTGCTGGAAACTGCTGCCTGCATGCAGGAGGGTTGAACCGAAGCTGTGTCTGACACCTTGTCAAGCAGACAGGCCACCGTAGACTTGACATACTGCAGCTTCATCCCGTTTACTGCGCTGAGGAAATGGACAGGGACGGGAGACAGCTTGCGCTCTGGCCACCAGCTCACTGAAGCGAGCAGAAACGCTGTTTGAGATGGAGCTGCGTTAGGTCACACAGTACTGGGACGACCCAAGCTAAATGTTCCTGTGTAGGCCAATGAATTTCACTGACAACTGGCCCATTACAGCATGTGACAGTCAACCTGACGGCAGGCTTCTTTTCTGGGGCAGATGGGAAAGATGTTGTAAACCTAAAAAGTGTTTTCCCTTTGGCAACGTCCTACTTTAATCTCAACCATTGTAGTAATTCTTCAAAAGTCAGAATTCACTGTACAAAGTCTGTCCAAATTATTAGCATGTAGCATTGCTGTACTTATCTCTAAAGGAGATCATGCGGATTAGCCAAAAAGAGCTGACAGATTGTCCTTGAATGATTGATCGAGAAGTCTATGAAAAAAAATCTGCTATTAAAAATCTGATTATTGATTAATTGTTCAAGAAGTCATGAACAAAATCCTGCTAGTCTCACTTAAACATCTTTAGCTTTTTTATTACAATCTCGCTGGCCTCAGTTGAGCTGCAGGTTCTGTGACTATTAGCTATTGTTAGCAGTGTAAATGCTAAATGTTCATTGTAAGTATATTTAATGCTTTTCTAAAGCATTGTTAGCAGTGTCCCTGAACATGTTAGCAAGGGTGACCATACGTGAGGCCTGGGCGATTGGGCAAAAAAAAATGATCAAGATATATTTTGCTATATCGTCCAATCTCGATTATTTTTTTAAACTGCCAGTTTTAAAGTATCTGTACTAAAAACTAAAGAAACTAGAGATTAGTTCAACATTTAGTAAATAACAAAGCAAATTGAATAAGATAAACTTAAAAATATCAGAACCATTTTAACTGAACAGTACAACAAATGTAGAAGTGAAGTAGTACACTCAGGACTGTATACAGTGAACTAGTTTACAGTCCTGAGTGTTCTTGCAGGTATGCAAGACCCAAAAAAAAACAAAATGCCCCCTCATGGATAATAAAGACACCTTAAAATGTAAACATTAGATGATGTAAACATTAGATGATATGATTGATTGATCTTTTGGTCTGGGAGCTGCACCGCTAGTTGTAGCTAAACTGCTAATGCTACTTGTACCGTCAGCAGTGACAGGCTGTACAGACTCCGCTCAAATTTTCATACTGTCCGCATAATCACCCGGGAGGTACTTCTTCAAATGATCAAGCAGATCTATTGTGTTGCCAGTTTTTGAGGGCACCGACCGCCAACATACCTTACACATCGGCTTAATTGCTCGATGCCACTTTGAAGATACCCGAACCACCGCAACACAACCGACGTTGAACAATAACATCTTCGGAGGATGACTCAAAGTTTTTTCAAAAAAGTAAATTAATATGTATTCATTCATTGTAAAACAGTGCAGCGCATCAGTGCTCTCTGCAGCTCTTACCCTCCATTCACTCTTAAGCAAAGCCACTGACGCAACGCACGCATGCTGTCTTTGGGAATTCAGAATATGCATTTAATTGAGTTGGAAGCACATAAAAAAACACTAGACCTGACCCAAAAAACCCTCAAAATGTAGTAATAGTGTCCTGTTTTTGGGGATTCAGAATATGGCCACCCTATGTTAGCATCGCTTAATAGCATTTAGCTCTTCTGTGCCAAGTCGAGATTCATTACCCATTACTTTTTCTCAGAGGTTTCGACTTTGGTTCATGTTAAGTCTGAGGCTGAGGTCTGAACAAAGTGCTACAGTCCGATCCAGCATAGCCTACTGTCCTTAATATGTTCTGTTTTTATTAGGCATTAGCAAAGGAATGAAATCAGAGCAGTCTCCATTAGGCAGCTAGGTGTGGTTTTAGAGTGGTGCTAAGTAGTGGAGAAGTGCTGACAAGACGAGGGGACTAATGTTCCTTTTTATCCATTACCGGCCTGCCTACCTGTTTGCTCTCTATCTCAGGACCAAATACTGTACCATCTCCCTCTATGGCAGGAAGTGCTCTGTGGATCCGGCGCCTGTATGGTGCTACTCTAAGGATGCAGCAAATCCATTCAGCATTGATCCTTTTCCATTTAGACTGAAGATAAACATTTTATACCAGGAAACCATATTCATATAGAGGAAAGGGTGAGAAAGCAAGCATTATGATGGTGAAGTGCAGTAATGCTCTGCATCTCCTGTTTCAATAGACTAAAAACGAGAGTACTCTGTCACTTCTTTGTGAGGCTTCCAGCAGAATGGTTGAAACAGACACGCCAGCGTCACACTGGCTGAGTGATAAACCCCATGGCAACCACACGTAGAGTTTTCTTTAAAATGAGAGAGAGCAACGATTTCCTGCTGGAGAGCAGGGAATGTGCTGCGAGGAGGGACAGCGATGGATGATAAGGGTCCTGTTAGCATTCTTTGAGTAGCATGTCGACGTTTAATGTGTGCAGGGTTTTGTCAAAGACGTGTGCATGTAGACAGTGACTTGGAACGACATGAAGCGCAGAGGTAATTGCAGGCTGATGGAAAGCTCTGCTGACAGAAACCAAGAGAAAACAAATTAATGGGATCCTTATCAGTGAAGACTTACAGAGGTTGACGCGCCAGGGCGTCGGCTGGTCACTGTGATGAATGCTTGTTATTGGCTGTGCCCTGTGGAGCATTTAACTGGTGTTACCATTAAAGCTTAATGTGGGGCTCCTCTTTGACCTTGGTGAGGGGAATCCTGTCACAAGCCTCCGTGGGCTGTGTAAATATTAAGAATATATGCCTCTTTTTTTGGGCTAATGTAAAGAAAGTACTCTCCTCTCAGGCTTATTTCTCGGTGTACAATGTGCGTACGAGGTCACATGTATCCAGGATGAGTTTGTGTGCCTATCCGTGTGTGTCTCCAGCGGTGTGTTTTGACAGTGTGGCCTCCCTGAATCGTGCGAGCGACTTTTAGCCCGAGGACTGCAGCACCGTCCTGAGCAGAAGCAGGATGCACTCACAGTCTTGGCATTCCTTTGCTTTTTCCTGACTGAAAAAAGAGTGATGGCTTGATTCTGCTCATTGATTTTTCTTTACAAAGCAGCAGAGTGTCAGGACTGATTGGGGAGAAGGGGTTGAGGAGAAGTGGCCCCTGGGGTCATTTACAAGGCAGTCCGTGACTAGATCCTAAGCAGTTAGAACAGATGAGTTTGGGGTTATCTTTTGAGGAAACAGAGTGTAATCCTTGTAAATATTTTGCCAATGAAGGGTCTCATCTTTTTTCATTGCTAATCTCAATTTTCCCTTTTGTCTCTCCCTTATTTCTGCACCTTTAGGTCCACTCACAAAAAAACAAGATGAGTCGACGATGAACAGACCAAGAGATGAAGGTATTTTAATTGCATGTTTTCCACTCCTTGTGCTCCATTTTTTAATTCTGTTGGGAGTTTGGTGTTTTTGTATCTGTAATAATAATCATCTCAGACTCATCACTCTGTGTGCACATTATACTGTATTGTTACCTGCTTTTATTAGCGCACAAATCTATCATTCCTCCTAACAGCACACTTTAAGACACCTAAAAAAAAACCTCTAAAGCCGTCATACGCATACAGTTTTTTATTCCAAATGCAGCTTTTTGAGTGCTTTGAGCTGATTTACTCCCCTCTCTAGGTTGCTATGAGGTTGATCAACCACAGGCTGATGCTCTGACTATACTGTGTCATGCATCACAGAAAATCAATATTCTGTCCTCTTTCACCTGCGCTTTTATTCTTGTGCTAAAGTCCTTATGAAACGCTCTGCTAAATTATCGTCCTTCATGATGTTATTGGGCTCTCTCCAATTCGTTATATCTGCTCATTTCTGCTTTTGCTGTCCATTTTCAAGTTCACCCCAGTCAAATGTAAGGCTTGTATTACATTTATAACCCGTGCAGACACTGTGCGCATCTGTTTCTGCACACGTGCCCAGGCTCACTGTATATTACATAGGATTATGCACACATAGAGTGCGTTACATTTGCATTTGTGCATCTAGGTCTCCTCAAATGCAGCACATGTGCAAGTGTATGCCTGGGTGCATATGCTCTAATTTGTGCCAGTGTGTGTGGTTTTACCCTTTTTTTTTTTTGTATTTGGGCTCTGTGCTATTTAGGTATTGAATTCTCTCTCCCTTGCATCTCTAATTGCTATGGTTTAAAAAGAGACAGATGTAGCTAATCCAATTGTGTGGTTTCTTAACGGTGAAAACAGAAGGAAGGATTCATGCAGGATTGCCTAGGAGAGGAGCAGAATGATAGAATAGAGATGAAAGAAAAGGAGAAAAGGCTGAGCACTGTGAGAACACAGGGGAGGGCAATGAGGGGGAGAGAGAAGGGGAAAAAATAGTCATAATGAAGACAAGTGCATGATGAAATGACATTTATAGAGCTTTGAAAGTGAGAGAGATGTAGGGAAGGAGAGATTGAGAGGGTGGATGAGTAGGAGACTGGTAGAGTTTGACATTTATTCCGACACCTGATGGATTTTGACAGGATCAAGAGGGCTTGGGTAGGGCCTGAATTCCTCGCTTAATTGCTCAGGTATGGATCGGAAACAGGTTCCCAAACATTGTGGGAAAATACTTTTAATAGTGTCTTGTTTTTGAAAGAAAGAAACTAGATTGCTTGGGCAGGGATTTGGGTGCAAACAATATCCAGGCTGAAAGTTTTACACCCAAATCAATTGGGATTTGCATAAGAGAATGAATGAGAACGGAGCAGAATAATGGAAAGAGGCTATTTATTTCGGTAGGCAAAGCATTAAACTGAGGTAGTGTGAATATCAAGGAGGGTAGCATCAGGTTAGGAAGAGAAGAGAGGAGCGGATAATGTGCCAGTGTTTTAAAGGCCGGCAAGCAGGAGAGACAGTGAGCTCCTTGTTGGCCATAAAGGCCTCAGATTTGGGCTGAGTGAGACACTTTCACCCTGCGACCCTGCACCCCTAATCACCCTTCTGTTTGTGCTGAGCCTCTTCAAAACATGTCGACACTTCTCCACCTTTAACAACACACTCCAACTCTATTTTCTTGTTTTTGTCTTTTTCCAAGTTCTTTTGCAAGCAATGGGGTGTCTGTTCTACTCTTCAATTCCCCAAAGACAGATTCTTGTCTTCGAAACCAAAATACCATCTGCCCGGTGTGGTGATGAAATAAACTAGCCAAATGTTTAAGCTTACCTTATGGAAGTCTAAAGCCTCACAAATGTTGGCAGAATTAAAAGTGATGAGAAAAGACTGTAAGACATTTTCGTCCTCTTCACCACTTGGACTTTTTCCCACCCACCTTTCATTAAAGCATTGTAGGTATGCATGAGTTTTTTATCTTCTAGTCCAAAATGATTGGATTTTTATTTTTACTCCTTGCTTTCATTCAGCTTTGCAAATGTTAGAGTTACGACTCTAACATTTTCAGAGGGTTTTTGGTGGTTCAGAGTCATTAAAGAAAATTATTTCCTTTATTTTTCACTGTTTCCCAATTTACAGTACACAGAAATAAGGGTTTGAAATCGTAGTGACTTTGAAATTCTTCACCTTGACCTTGATGTTTGTGATTACAGTTTGAACATCAGGGAACTCTTTACTTGACGCCTATCTCTATTACGCATTATAAATATATTTATAGTGCATTATAGCACTGTATAACTATAGTTATAAATACTCATAAATGATCATAATGCTTTATAGCAATAATCATAACACATTATAAAGCATTTTATCATGACTTACGAGGTCAGGTACTATAATGTGCTATGATTATTGTTATAAAGCATAATGATCATTTATGAGTGTTTATAACTATAGTTATACAGTGCTATAACGTGATTATAATGCACTATAAATATATTTATAATAGGTTATTTAGGTAGGCGTCAAGTAAAGTGTTACCAAACTTTAAGTTTTCTCAGAAGGGAAACAGCTTAAATGCATGGGCATTAACCAGGCTTTAACAGAGCCTTAATAGATCATCAAAGTTAAAATTATGAGATACTTCAGTCTTTTTGCTCAATACTAACTCTGACAGTTTAAGACTTGCAGGGGTTATTCTGAAGAGGGACGTCTTATAATATATCAGCCGAATATAAACAAACTGGCTACTCGATCACCTCTGAAACTCTACTGCTGATTCTGAACAACCTTGCTTTATTGATGTACTACTTCATACAAACAGCTCTGCAGCACAGAGAGAAAATCTTAAATTTTGGCAGGACAGTGAATGCTAAACAACTGCTAATTTTGAATGTAAGCCAACCAGTTGTAAGCAAACATTTCTTAAATGTTTTCTGGTCTCAGGGAGAGTTGTAGAGAGTAAGATATCTTACCTCATCTGATGTTACTTGGGGTAACATTTTTTAAGGCAGTCAAGATTGTACTGAACAAGGGCCTGTGTCCATCTATGCTGTTTTTAACCTTCCTTACCAAACCATTGCAGTTTAGCAATTTTAGCACTTAGCACTCTGCACGCAGAAACGGCTTTAACATCAGGTGTTTTTTTATCACTATGGTGCAGCTCTTCCTGTTGAAAATTTTTCAACTTTTGGTACACCTCCTAGCTTCCCAATGTCTAGTAGCTTTCTCCTACTGACCCGTCAAAATTAAGAACTGATGGGACTTATGATTTCAGGAAGTGCTGTGAGAAAACCTTTGTAACCTAGCAACAGCAAAGGACCTCTGAAATTGAGAATGTGGGCACTGCAAGCATGATATTGGCATGAATGGACACTAGCCCTAAAATCAGGGCTCCAAAGCAGCGGCTCCCTTCTCTCCTAAGTCTGGAACTAACTCAAAGCTACATTAGCCAAAGCTAGCACCCAAATCTCCACCAGCTCAACTGATGAATGTCAAGTTGCATTGTGGGTCAAGAGGACACATGGTTTTGTCAGAAAGAATGTGTCAAACAAAATAGACAACATCTTATCTCCATCCCTTATTAGTCCTATAACTGTTGGATCCACCGCTTAAGTCAACCCTCGGAGTACCCTTGTAGGTTCTATATTTTTGATTGGTAGGTTTGCATTAATTATGTTTCTGTAAGTAATCACTGTTGAAGCAGCAGTGCAAAATAGTGATGGGCACAGCAGTTCTTTTAGATGTACTGAATCAGTAGAATCAGTTCACTGAAAAGATTTGTTCACCGAATCATTTAGCGCTCGGCGGGAGAACTCCTGAACTGATACACAGCTGAACGTTTCAGGATTCAGTTCAACTCATAGCTTCTGGGACTGGGAGACGAGAGTGTTTGGCTGTGTTACTTTGGCAAACAAAGTATTTGTAAAAATGAACTTGTGTATAAGTCATGATGTTTCAAATGTATCGTCCTATGGTATGCTATTTATCAGGTCTGCTCAGTAAATTGGGCTCAGTGAGTGATTCGTTCACTGAAGGTTTAGAAGAATTCACACTGAACATGCATCATTCCCTCGCAAACCACTGCAATGATAGGATGCCGCGGGTTTAATGCACTACTTGTTACATGCTGTGTCCTATTGTATGCAAGTTGTTGTGGTGGCAATTTAGCACTAAAATAAAAAAGGTAGTTTTGCTTTAGTACAATCACTTAAAAGATTCGGTTCTTTTGAAAGAATCGTTCGCGAACGACACAACACTAGTTCAAAAGTGATTTAAAAATGAATAAAGCTTTTCTCGCCCTTTAAAACAGCAGCTGCAAGTACTGACATAGACTGTATTTAAATATGGATGGCATGTCTCCACCTCTACCAGCTGTACAAAAGTGGGGCCAAAATACCTCAGTCACTAGCACTGACATCTTGCACTGAAGAAATTTGTGGGGCCAGGGTCTGTGCTGTGAGGTTTGGCAGCTAGAACTGCTTCTTTTACTCAAAAAGGGGGTGGCTTTGGTTTATAAAAAAAAAAAAAAAGTCTTACCAAAGACACATTTGACTTTAATGAAATGTCAGGGATTCCTCATCTTGGCACAGCCCAGCTTTTTCTGCAGTTTGAAGCAGACACTGACAGTTCAATAATTTGAAGTGACTCTTGAGCTATTCTTCTTCACTTCTTGTCTTGTGTCCTTCCTTTTAATAATCACACACTGAACAGAGCCATCTATTTTGTTGTTAAACCCCTTCTTATAGCATCAAATAACAAATTAAAATCAACAAAAAAAGAATATGTTAAAAACAAACCAAAGTGAAGGAGACCTTATTTTTAAACTTGGGTTTTATGTGTGCTTTAATATTGTTTAATCCATGTTCTATCTGTTAAGATAAAGCAGATGGGCTTTATGACCTATACCGCAGCCAGCCAGTAGGGAGAGCTCTAAAAGTTTTGGCTTCACTCGTGAGATGCTGCCTTGTTGTCAGTCTTTTTATATAGTCTGTAATTATCACTGCATATGTCCCTTTCCTCTGAGGCTTTAGGAGATAGCCAGAGTGTCACTGAGAAGGCTCAGCCCTGGTGACGGCCTGCTGATATTTCACTCCTCCATACTGTCCTAGTAACGCCAGGGTAATTGCACTTGTTTACATATCCTGTGGGAAATCAGCCGGGGCTCTGAATACACCAGAGAGAAGAAGAAAAAGAGCAGCACCGTTGAAGAGTCTTTTATTTTTAGGGCATTCTGCTTGTATCACATGTATGTGTTAAACCATATGTGCCATTTTACCATGTTCACTAATGTGTGTGTGGGACCGTGTGTGACGCACCCAAGTGCATGTGTAACCTGAGATTCAGGTGGTGATGCAGGCGGGTGTGCAAATACGTGAGTAGAATTTGTTACCAAGGCAACAGGCGTTCAGTGAGTCGGTGCAATGGAATGGCTGGTGCAGTTCTATTAGCGAGAAGCAGTTTCCATAGCGACTCAACATCGCAGCTGCCTATGCAAGACTTTGTGTGTGTGTTTGAGTGTGTGTCTGTATGAATACGGTGTGTGAATTTGAGTGTTCATTAGCGTGACTCGGTGTATGACTTGCTTTGTAACGTCTCATATTTTTTCATCCTCGCTGTCATGTTGTTTTTGGTTTGAACCTCCCATCCACGTCTCTCACACTGCCCTATTTTCATCTCCTCTCCTCTCCCTGTCTTTCCCCGTTTTATCTCTGTCTCTCTCCTCCCATCTCTGTCTCCCCCATCTCTGAGTGCTGAAGCTCATCAGGGTAAACAGATGCTGTGGCTGTTATTTATGTTTCCACTTGGTCTGCCTTTCATACAAATTATCCACAGGCCCTGCACAGTGCAGACGCTCTGCCTAAATGGGCTGCACTGGCAGCTCTCTCTGCCTTATCCACGCGCAGACTCTCAGACCAAACCACAGATGCAACGAGGAGGGGGTTCATAAAGGGGAAGAGGGGTGAACCATAGCAACACACACTGAAGGGCACATTGTCACCAATAACAGAAGGAGCATCAAGAACTGGCTGCAGCATTTGATCCATGCATTGAGGTTTGGGAAGGTACCATTGCGCACAGGAGGGGGAGCAGACATCACAGGAGAAAAAAAAAATGGAGGATGAGTCTGGTTGAGTTGACTTGAAATGTTTCAAGCAGCCTACTCAATATGAGTATCATTTCCTCTTCTGTTATCCAGGATCTCTGGCTGAAAGAGGTTAGAAAAAGCTGCTAACAGTTATTCTTGGAGTGCAGCTAACCTGTGAGTTGTCATTAGCGCTTCTTTATGCAGAGATACTGCAGCTGTGCCTCAACAAAGTTTAGCTGTTTTGCTGTCATATTGCTGCTCCGGTGTTATGAATATTTGTATGCATCATTACAGCATTGTAGAAAAAGCGCCACATACACACTGACAGTGCTGTTTTGTCCTGCTGGCTTTCACCCTCACTCCGTTGCTCTTCTGTTGGCTTAACAGCGTAACCACTTTGCCACCATTCCTGCTCTATGCCTTTTACAGACAGGCGGAATGACAGTCTGAAACAAATCTCAAAGTGGTAGACAATAAACACATGAGCAGAAAAACAAGAGTAGGGACCTTCAAATGGAGTTCTTCAAATCATGACTGCATGTTGTCTGTTGTGTCTCACCTGGTAGGAAGCGTACTATTCGGAGTCCTCATTTCAACCCAGGTCCTTTGCAGCATTGACACTCCCCACCTTCTGCCACTCTTCATATGTCTCTATCCGGCCCTTGAATTTATCTAATTATCTAAAAAAGCATGTGAGAAAGAATTTCATAAACAGATCGAGCATACAGCTTTGTTTGTGTTTGTGTGTTTTGCACAGATATCCGGGACCGCCGTAAGAAGCCGGTGATGCTCTTCATCCACGGGGGCTCCTACATGGAGGGCTCAGGGAACATGTTCGACGGCAGCGTCCTTGCTGCCTATGGAAATGTCATCGTGGTCACCATGAACTATCGTCTGGGCGTGCTCGGTAAGTTTTGGTGTACAGCACCCTGCAAGCTTTTTACAGGTAACGGTGGTTTGATGGAAGTGTTTACAGACCTTGTTTGACATGTTTACTCTCACCTTGACCAGCTTCTGCATATCAGAGAGATGATGTCAAGACACGTGTTTCAGAAACAGTGATACAACCTGCAAATAAAGGTTGATGTCTGAAAAATGCACCCTATGGCAAATAAAATCTTCAGGGCATTATGATTCATGTCCTCTCATAAATCACTGAGGAGCACAGAACGCCAGGAATGAAAATTAATTCCCCTCCTTCTGCAGGCTCCTCCAGTCCCAATAAGTCTGATTCTATCTCATTCCATGATAAGATCACAAACAAAATGAATGTCTGTGATAGCATTTACTGTAAAAGTCCCTTTTGAGTTTTTGATATGCAGCAGCTACTCACCATCAATCATTTCCTCAGTGTTGACATCCTGCTTCAGAGGAATTTACAAGAGAAAGTGCAGGCATCGTGCACAAAAACAGAATATCACAAGAAAAATGATATGAGACAAAACATCCTGTAGAAAAGAAAAAAAAAAACAGGAAAAGCTGAAAATACACTGACTACCCATAGTTCAATTTGTTACCTATCCTTCTAATGTAAATTTTTATTTTTATCATTTTAAACAAAGAATTAATATCATCATATTTATCTCAAAATTAACCTTCCTCCTGTGTTAGCTTTTACTACACACTCACCATGTTAAGGGTCAGTTTTGACCCGTGTCTTAAATTAGCTGTAAATTACACTAAAAACAATTCTCTATCATCCAATTTTGTTCTCATCTCTAGGTTACCTTGTTAGGCTTCATTATCCATGAAAATATTGATTAGAATAGTTTTTGTTGTGGTCCTCTGGGCCTTTCTTTGTCTGTATACCCCTCACACAGACATCTATACTGAACTGATCTCACATGTCCGGACATGCCCGACGTTGTTTTTTGTGCAGGAAAAAACATGGAAAAATGAGAATTTCCTGTATCTCACATGATTGGAAGAGGATCTGACTGTCAGTGTGGTGCCTGACAGTGCACTTACAATTTTAGTTATTGCTCTGATTATTGGATATTGATCTAACCGGGTCAACACTGACCCTAACACAACAAGTGCCAAAATTAAAAGCATTTTATAATTCAGTCAATTTAATTTTTTTTGTTTTTATTTTGTTGAATTAGAGGTTCCTGATAAAGTCAAAAAGTCTTAATGCACAAAAGCTGGTTTAAGTGGTTCTTTTAAGCATTTAAAATCAAAAATGGGTCGGCGCAGACCACAACACAGGAGGAGGGGTTAAAAAAAAATACTATATATACATCCACAGACTTAATTTGTGGGGGGGACACGAGGGACATGTCCCACCACTTTTTTAAAAGTCCATTTTGGTCCCCTGCAGTTTTAGCCGTCTGTACACAATGTGACTTTGCACTATAGCGAACCGATACACACTAGGCACTAGGATCAAACGACCGCTCAAGCCAAAAACTGGTTTCAGTCTTGGACCGGCCACAAGCTCTGCCGCAGGCCCGCTTTTTGTGTGTGATTGGCTATCCCTGCTGTCAGTCATTCCATGCCCGCCGGACTAATGTTTTGCAAGTTGCTCATATGAGTCAGTCTGTGAACTTCGCTATTCACCGATGTAAGTTTGTAAGGAGATGTAAGGAGGGCGGTGTTCATTTTCCCTCCGTAACATCACATTCATCAGAGGTTTCGTTTACATCCCTGTATGGGGTTTGTACTTCCATCCACCCGCTGGCTGTATTGCCTCTTCTGTTACTGTGTGTGGAGGATGTGCTGTTTGCTAGGCTATATGTCTCAACAGTACCCCCCACCTTTAAAATCAAAATTTTGTGTTTGTATACATCTGTCTGAAAAAGTCTGAAAAAGTACAGCAACATAGAGTATAATAATCCCCAAAACAAACCACTGGGTACATACTGCTGCAGATGATTCAGTATTCATAAAACAAAAGCTGTAAATGTGACCTTCTAAAACTTGATATTGTAAAGTAGTTTGATTCATGGTTTCTCTGGAAACTGATTTTCATATATTTGGGACTGCAGAGGATTGGATAAGTGGATTTTCTCTGCAAAAAGAAACTAACTTCAGTTGTAATGAACACTTCAGCACCAGGATCAGAATAATGTAGTGAGTGTCCGCTGAACTTTTTCTCATTTAAAAAAAAAAGTGAATTTAGTGTTTAATACCACTTTGGGAAATGTGGCCCAGCTCTGTCCTAATAACTCTTTGACTTACAAATGGAGCTAAATTTAAGACCAGTACCCGACCCGAGGCTCCAACCGTATATTGGCTTTATTTCATCCATAGCTGACTGTTAGCTTGCAGAGGCAAAGCAACAGAGTGGCTACATCCTGTCTCTTTTCCTCTTCACACGGATAATCTAGTGAAAGACACCAGCGCACACATGAGTGGCAGTCAGAGAGAAAATGGTGACATTATTTGTCTCATTATATTTGAAAAGAACCAGACCCTAACCTGGGCTGAATCAACAAAACACAACCTGGAGCTGACACATGCCACATTAGGTTTCAGGGTTCAGGTTCAGGATGAAAATTCACACTAAGATAATACAGACTATTTTACACTTTACCGAATCACTGCTCTGGAACTTGGAAATGTGTGTTTGAAAAGGCAGCCCTTGTGCAAACGTGTAAAAATCATGCACAGGGAGGTCAAGTTAATCCTGAATGATCATTGCTGCCTCCAACGTTGCTCACAGATGACCAGTTTTTCCCGGATCAGCTCACTCAGTGTTAAATGTGCAGCAGGAATTTTATACTACAGCACACACAGGTGTATTTACTGTGTTCACTTAGCCTTAAAATGATGGGGCTTTTTTTCAACAATCATTCATTTCAGTGATATGCACTTCTGCAGGAAAAACAGGCAGGTCCTCCTGACTCACTGTACTTCAGAGAAAACGGGCGACCACTTAGTGTCTTTGGTGTACATTCAGCTATTCAATGTGTGTCTGTTGCTTTCAGTGTATTTTTGGATTAAGGGTTATTCTATTTGTCCATTCTGGTGGAGCTTTGCGGTGCTGGCTTGGCCTGTGAGAGTGGGCTGAGCTGTGTGTGTGTGTGTGTAGAAATATATATGTGTGTGTGTGTAGAAATATATATGTGTGTGTGTGTGTGTGTGTGTGTGTGTGTGTGTGTGTGTGTGTGTGTGTGTGTGTGTGTGTGTGTGTGTGTATACCCAGCCCTTGTGCCGGATATCAGTGGACTCAAGTATTTGCATTCTCAGTCATCTTTCAGAGGTGTTTGCACACACACTATCGGTGACTGTCACTGCGGTTGCCAGGTTGGGTAATCAGATCTTGTTTATTGCATCGCGGCTGTTTCAACATATCAGAATAATGATAAACAGAGAAATGGGAGTCATTTAGGATGTCGTCCAAGAGTCGCAGCGAGCATTAACAGAGGGTAACATGATCCAGACCATTGCTGACCGTGCCAGTGGAGAGGCACAGGGACAAGGACAAACTGAGAGTTAGTGAAATGAGGAACCTTGGACCTGCTGCTTTATTCTGCTCCAATTCAGCTCATTATTCTGTCTTTTTTTTAACGTTTTTTTAGAGAAATCGTGACCATCAGAAAACCGAGAATGACTTACATTATGCTTGGTTTTAACAAAGAGAGGATCTTTGGATCGGACTGTCACGACCGCAGAAAGCTACACTAAAGCGTCTGTGGTAATGGTCAAACACAAATTTTAATGGAAAAAGAAAAGTATACAGAAATGATGTTTGACAACAAACTGGCACAAACAGGGGAAGACAAAGACCTCAATCACTGGGACGCGGGTTTGTTTGATATTTTATCATATTAAATTAAATACAATATTTCCTGTTGAAGAGCAAGACTTTCTCAATTGATCTCAATTGAGAAGTGCCAAAACTTAAGCTGCTGATTAGGTTCAGTTTGGATTTAGAAGGGACAGCTGATGGCAGATGGACAAACATAATACAGCCAAAATGCATGCTTGAATATTTATTTATTCATTTGTTTAACATCGTATAGTTAGTTCAATATTGAACCGTGCATCTGCTCATGTATGCACTGTTTGGGCCTGCTGGGGAAGTGAGGGTAATCATGCACGGGTACAGATTTAAAAGTAAGACAAGAAGTGATAAAAAAATACACATGAACACAATATGTAGTCAGGTGTGTTGCATGTAGCATCAAATCACTCTTGCTGATATCTTCCTTTGCCTCCTTTACATTCATTTTCATCTTCTTTTCGACTGTAACCTGGCAGATTCACAATAACATGTTTCTGTGATTTGTGATAGAGAGGTCTGAAGTACACTCATTAAACCTCCATGCGCCTTCAAGTACATAAAAACTACACACACACAGACATCAAGAGTGAGAATAAAAAGAAATAGCAATATCAAAATAGTACTTGCTTCAACATAAAAATACAGAATCTATAGTTGCAGTATTCTGATGTTAGAAATGATCTAGTTTGTGTTGTAGTCAGTATCATCGCCGATCAGGAATGTATCAGCTATCACGCCATCATAGCAGTCAACATTGAGCTTTGATTGATGTATTTGGACAAATATCGGCATGTGAGTGCAGCCAAAAATCGGCTCCCAGGCATCATTTTGTAAAACTCACTGTTGCTTCTGAAGTTTTCAGACTAACCCCAAACCTCAAGAATTTACAGGAGAAGAAGTCTTGCTTCTTTTTTGTCCAACACTTACTACAGAATGCTTCAAAAAGTCGGTTGTTGCTCCCAGAGGCCATATCTTCAGTACACAACAGCCAGTGGGTTATGAGATTGATCCTGAACTCGCTTCTTTTTAGGGATGTTCTAAAGTGACCTTTTTCCAAGGCTACAGTTAAGAAAGGGCTCAGATCAAAATCAAAGTTCATCACAACCTATTTAACACAGTAAAGTACTGTCTTTATGGAGTGTAAGCTTTGCCACTGCTATTTGAAACTGATAATCACAGTCTTTAGTAATGTGTGGTTTTAAAACATGCATTATGAATATGGCTTATTCTCTGATAAAGCATGACTAAAAATGAATAATCGTTAACAGATAACCTTTAAAATAAATCATTTTAAAATTGCAGTGTGTGAACTCTAGCTTTGCGTAAGACAATCAAGGCATGTTATCTGTTATAAAGAGGGCCTCTTTCCATTTTCAGCAGACAAAAAACAGACTTATTGAGTCTAAAGTCACCAGTGAACAAGGTCACCTTTTTAACCAAAACACCAGTACAGTTTGGAAAGTGCTGCATTTTCCCTCTTTAACACTCAGTATGTTTACATGACACTCGAGAACACAGAATTATTGCCTTTGTCTGATTAATACCAGACAACTGAAGTGCATGTAAACACCTTAGTCCAACTATTATCGGAGTCTGATTTAGACACCCCAAAAACATTTCGATTTTCTCTGCCATGTAGCCAGCATAGTCAGAGTATGATGGACAATGCATGTGCGCCTGCGCCACGCTCCCATAACCCCAGAACAAAAACACCAGAGTAGAGGAGTAGCATGCACCTCATCTGCAGAAAAAGTAGCGTGTACATCATATACTACAAAACTGACACTGTACAATGCTCCATCTTCTTGCTCAAAAATGCCCAGCAGCACTTGTAGCCACTTCTGACATCTGGCACGGACCTGCTGTTGTTGTTGACAGTTGTTTGGGGTCGGAAACAGCCCAGCTGAAAAGACCCATATTGCCCCCTAGTTTTGGGGAGGAGGACACATTCACATCAATAATTTAATTTTCTCAGCTGCATGTATACGCAGACTAGAAGAGAAGTCCGATTCGGCAAAAAAAATAAAAAATAAAAAAATTATGAACTTAGTCCAATTAAAGCTTTGCATGTAGACGCACTGACTGTCAGCACAGTGTTGGCCCACATTAACGATAATATTTATCATTTGTTTAACTGATTTGTAATTCTGGTGCCCACCCAGGTGGACTCAAAACTCACACTCCTATTTAGGAACAGCCAAAAACAGCTCAGGGTTTCAGTGGATGTGATTAATTATGGAAAATTATACAGAGGGGTTGGGGCAAGCTTGGGTTGTGATCACAGTTTGTTTTTCGATTCCAGCTGCAGAAAGATAGAAGGCAGAGATTTGATAGAGTGCACAGGAAGTGGAGCAAGAAAGGAGTAGACTTGGACATGTAAGAGGGTGAGTTTATGCAGCGAATCACGTAAGTAGGGACTTATTGGTTAAAAAATTGTGTTAAATCAAGGTAGTAGCTTTGTTTGCTTCCTCTGAAGACCCCTCACCTTGTCCTGTCCTTAATCAGGGTGATTAACACTGTTGGTTAAATCCATGCACAGTCATTGAATAGCATGCTGAAGATGTCTTAGGTGCATAAATGCATCACACGGGGTGTTTATGTCCCTTAAACTCCACAGGCAGTCACTAAAATACATATAAAACACATCCATATAGAGGTGGAGACAGATCCTGCCGAGTGATTATGAGCGATGACGCAGTGTCCTCGATTCCTTGAACATTGTAGAAAATTTTGTTATGTGGGCGAATGTGTGCTCTCTCTCTCTCTCTCTCTCTCTCTCTCTCTCTCTCTCTCTCTCTCTCTCTCTCGCTCCCTCTCTCCTTCTCCCTGATATGCTTTAAATGGGTTACTGTACTAAGCAGATTATCCTTGTGTGTGTTTGTATGTTGGTGTAACATAAACATGCATGTTTGCACACAAATACGTTTCATGCGACTCTGCGTGCACGTTTGTGCGTGCGTCTGCGTGTGCATGTGTATGTGTATGCACTGCTTGCTAGCGTGCCGTGCGTAAAACATATATATGAATAATGCACCATCCATCTGAATTTTTAATGCTGCTCCTCTTCTCTGACACTGAATTAGAGGCGAAGTGAGAAACACAAGCATACCGTGTTTTTAATAGTTTTATGTTCTAATCTTTGGTATTATCCTGTACTTACACACACGGGAGCTTTACACATGCCAAACTCATTTCATTCAATGCCTGCGCCTTTAACAGAGTGATGAGGAGTCAGGAAGAAGAGAGCAGGGAATAGAGACAGATGAGCGAGGAGGACTCGCAGAGAGACAGTGAGGGGAAAGGAAACAGAAGGGGGAGATGGGAGCAGGCTAAAAATAAATCCTCAGAAATGCTTTTTAAAATCGGCGCTGATGCAAAGTATTCATTCTAATGAATGCTCCTGCAGTGTGGCCACAGCAGCCCTACATATGCTTTACAGCTTGAGCTTTCCCTAACATATACTTGTGTGGTTACTCTGTGAAATGATATATTATGGGGATATTCTTCTGAATTCATGATAAATCTCTGTTGTTGGAGAGTAAAATGGGTGAATGAGAAGAAAATGTCTGCTGAACACGGCCTGGTTCAGAGGTTTGGTGACAGTTGAGATACCAGATTGCTGCTCGGCTCACCTTCTCCTACCTTCCTCCTGCTCCGGGCTCCACAGAGCCTTCTGATTTGTGTTGCATAGCCATCTGTTCAGACTAATTAACTAATTAACTAATTAATGAACTCTGGGGAAAGGCCCACCATCGTGGGCTCGCAGAGTGAGAACATTTTTCACCTCAGGAAGAGAGATGAAACGCTTCTTCTGGAAACGTTTCTCTGCCCAGCTTCAGCTTCTTACGTCTAAGTAAGCGTCCCGGCTTTCTCTCTGACAAAAAGCAGTTATAAATATATCATTTGTTGTTTCATCCTGCCAAAACGCTTCTGTATTATTTACATTTGTACAGGGTGATACTCGGGGTTAAATGGTGACTTTTCACATCTCAATTTCCTTTTGTTTCAAGCAGATAAAAAGTATTTTCACCCGTTTAAAGCAAGTTATTTTGAAGTCAGTGTTCTGAAAATTACACATGCCTTTGTGCATGCTAACACAAAGGTGGATCACTGCTGGTCTATTTGGTCTATTTATTATAATATCCTGGGAAAGGTGCAACAAGCTGTAAACACAATACTGATAAATTATCACCCATTAAAGTTAAAATGATGATGTGTTAGCAAACAGCTGCCAGTTCACGCACCCAGCAGACAGAGTAACATTAACATTCATTTGGATGGGCATCTATTCACAAAGCAGCATTAGCATTCAAAACACTGTTTGTCTTTGCTTTCAGGGCTCACCTGTGAGCAAGCAAGTGCTTTTTCTACATGTCCAGCAAACACAGAGCAACGGTAGCACTATCCTGTCAAATTAACAGCCTTTTGACAAATCTGTCTATGATAATTAGGTCGCTAAGAGCTCCATTTTTGTCTCCGCTAGGTGGCGTGAGCAATGTCTGCCTCTTCAAATCAGAAAATGTGAAGAAAATGAGTGTCTTTTGGATGTTAGAGTGGTTGGTGGCCCTTTTGAAGTCTTTACAGCAGAAGTGCAAAAGATATTTTGGGCACTGGTACAAGACAGCTGAGAATATGGAGAACGAGCTAGCAGCTAAGATACTGCACAAGCACAAGCTACCCATGCACAACGCATCCCATTAAAGTCTAAAATCGTTTTTTTTCCGATCGTTAAAGTGTTCTCAGTGGTCTTTAAATTGTAATTTTAAAGTTTTTACCAAAATTCACGGTATCTGTTTCATTTTCAAGGGTTTTTTTTCTCCTGTAGAGCTCCAGTAACTCATTAGCAGTTCGCCTCTGAGTTGTGGGCGGAGACAGCGCTCCTCTGCACACTCCTCTTCACGCTAGCTTGTAGCCTAACATTGTGGGTGGAGTAGAAGTGGCAGGTAACATAGGAGCTATTCAGCTCTCAGACACTAATGTCTTTAGGGACACGTTGAAAGCTAATATCATAATTAGCTTTCTTACGTGCATTGCAATCCGCTAACGCACACACTTGCAATCGTCCTCTGTATTTCTCCTCTACACGCAAAGTGTGGCCTGCATAGCGGGGCTGCGGGGGTGGAGTGTGGATTGGTTACGTATGAAATCTCACTGTTTCTGAACCTGCCGTTTGGATCTGCCAGAGATTAACAGTGATGTGAATGAAGAAATACTCAGAAAAGCAATTTCACATTTAGTTTTATCATGATATGTCCTGTAGCATCAGAAAAATGCCATATGAACACATAGACAACAAGAAAAACATGATTTTCATCAGAGTGGGTCTTTTAATGATGATACTGCTACAATGTCATTTAGCGAGAAAACTCAGCTGTTATTACAGATGCATCAATTTAAAATTCTCATTTAAATTCCTATTTTTCCCTGCTTTTTTTCTGTCGATTCTAATTTTGGCCGACTCAGATTTTCTTTTTTGGACAATTATATTTGACAGCAAATTTGAACATTTTCCCAAACTTTCCTCTCAGTGGACACAATTTTGTTTATGGTTAAAAATCCTCTGAATTGCGCCAGGCCATATGTCCATCTCTCATTCTCACTCAGAATAATCCCACCTAGAAAATTGTGGATCTCAAACCTTTATTTCCATTTTTCATGTATTTCTTTGCTGTAATTACTGTTAAAGAGTCTCTGTATAAGTAAAGAAGACTGTAAACTCTTCTGGTCTCTGCCTCGACTGATGTTTACCTACTACATGTTAGTTTGTGTGGATGTGAGTGGCATTGGTGTTCGTATGGTAGTGCACATGGCATGAATTTTGACGCTTGTGTGAACATTTGAGGTCTGCACAAGCTTGAACATATTCGGGAGGACCCACTGGTCACTCATCACAGCCAAAGAGGTTTAAATTGGCCATTTCCAGTTACTAGCCAGTCGATTGGTACACCTCTACATATGAATTCAACACTCAGTAGACCTCTAAATAAAACATGGCAAGGCAGAGGTCCCTTCAAAGCAGCAAGTAAAACCAAAACAACAAGCTTAAGGAGTTAATTTTCTCTGTAGAGCCGAGGGTATCTGCAGTGTCAAGGCGTAGATGTCTGTGTGTTCATCAGTAAAAGCAACCTCCCTCAATCTTTTTACCTATTCTGTTTAAAGTATTGATCAGAGCAGCTTGAAGGTTGGTGTCTGACGCAATTTATATCATCATTTTTACAAGAACAAATGAGCCCAGACATTTTGAGATCATGTTAAATCTAAAGGAGCCACAAAAAGACTTCATTCCCGGAGAACTTTTTTGATGATGGAACTTTCCTCAAAAATTTTCTCTAACTTTCTAGAGAACCTCTCAGTGTCTCGCTTCTCTGTTTAATTCTATCATCCATCCTAAAATTTCATCAGAACACTGAAAACCATCATGTTTTATAGTCTTAGCCTTCAAACGACAGATATATGCAGATAAAGATGTATTCACCGTAGCTTCTTGTACTCTGTCCAAATGTCCGGCACAGATTGTTCATTTATAAATGGTGTGTCCAGAAATAATGTGCTAATGTTCCCTGTTTGTGACACACCAGTAAACACCATTTTACAAGTGACCTAATGAATATAATTTCACAAGCTCATGCTCTTGTAATCATTTTTAGCATAAGTCAAATCAAACAGTGTCAGTGCATCCACAAATACTACTTAGCACAGTGAATGTCGGGCATCTGTTCAAATTGTGTGGCCTGTTGTTGTCAAAAACATCCCTTAAAATATGACATAAACAGTATTTTTAGCCAGCGCACATTCTGCTGTCAATTAATATCAGCCTGCCGCCTTGTCACAACTGAGCCGTCCCTAAATACAAATGAAACACACCTCCCACTCCCTGCACAGAGACACTATCTTCCTACTCTGTAAGCAATCGTTGCCACTTCTCCCCCCACATTTTGTCTCCAGTGCACTGACAGCGATGACGACACAAGGGAACATAATCATTTTTGCTTGCGTGTCATTCTGATTGTGACAAGGTTCACACAGATTTGGATCTACAAATTAAATTTAAACTTCAAAAATACATACTCATCTTTGCAGAGGTGACTGCAGTATGCTTAAAATAATATCCCTGCTCTCTGGGCCTTATTACAAATGTGACTGTGTAGAGTGTGATGACCTGTGGGATGAATTTCAGGTAACATCAAGTTCTATCTTTGGAAATAGAAAAGCTGATTCCACCTTATAGGTAAAGTTCACATTGAAAAGTTTTGACTTATGGGTATATTGACCAAGACTGGCACCAATCTGCCTCGCGGGCTGGCAGCCAGCAGCACAGCTGGACCAATCAAATACAACGGGATAATTAATGCAGCCAGTCATACTTGAGACGCAACGTCTTACACACCACATGTTTCAAAATCAAATTTAAAACCTCAAGGTCTCTGTGGTACCTAAAATATCAACTGTAGCGCCAACATAAATGTGTGCTGCAGTCGTCCATTAATTCATACCATGTGTTCAACCATAAGAACATTTGTGGCATATTAGGAGGTTCATAACGCTGGAGAAACAGTAACGTCCTTGTCATGGCCTCTATCGCTTGGAGTAGATCTCGGTTGAAGAGAAAGAGCAGAGGTAGAAGTTTGAGGCGGAGATACTGCGTGAGGTGAATGGCACATTTTGAGTTAAAAAAGAAGAAGAAAAAAAAAAAGTCCTTTGGGGGCCACAAGTCATTCAAATCTCAAGACACATAAGGGAAATATTTTGAGTGTGACTTACACTTTCCCTGAATGTCCCCCGTGAGTAAACATCCATAAATCCACTTAGAAATCATGGCGTGAAGACACCACTCATGACTGCAGAGCGTGCTTAAGAATCAAAGGCGTATCCAGAGGGGAAGCCAAGAGTGGCATGGCCCCTTGAGAAATCTGAACGACCAACAACAGCCATCCCAAAATCCCTAAATTTGATCAGCTATTTGCTTTTCAGAGGCAGGACTTGTGTTAGAAATTATTTCTATGGACTATGTTGGGACAGGTTTCTTTGCTGGTTCTCTTTATGATACATCTTTTTCATAAGACAAGTGTTTTGAGTCCTTTTGGCAACAAACATGTCATGATTCTCTTAGGATTTAATTTAAGAAAATTTGTATGCAGCCTATCTGCCATCTTAGTTAAGCGGATCAAGCCTAGTGGTTAAACTGGGTTCCATATGGAGGGGCTGCATATTCTGGTTCCTCACATCGCTTGTCTGACGTCAGGTATCTTATTTAATGAAAGCAAAGTTTAAAAAGAATAACTTGAATAAAATGCATTCAGCAGAGACACCCCCATTTAAAAAGACTGGAGACACCCCTGCGTTCAAGTTACCTCGGAAGTCAGAAGTCTGAGCTGAGAATAACGTCACATCTGAGTTACCAGCGTAAGTTGGAAGAAATTAAAATCGGCGTCAGAAACGAGATGGCTACATCTACAAAAGTTATTTTAGTGCTTGCCTCGTCCGAATGTAAGCAAGGACAAGGCAAGCGCTGAAATAACTTTCGTAGATGTAGCCATCTTGTTTCCGCCTCCGATTATGCTTTTTTCCGACTTTGAAACTGAAATGCTGGTAACTCGGGTGTGACTTCATTCCCAGCTCAGACATCTGACTCCGAGGTAACTCAAATACAGCATAAGTCCAATCTTAATTTTCAAAGCAATTCAGTGACGCTTACCAAAAATGTTATCATGTAAAACCATAAACATATTTATCAAATCTTATCTGACTTTCTCTGGTGGTGCCAATTAGCCAAAAAGTAGGCAAAAATGTTATCATGTAAAACCATAAACATATTTATCAAATCTTATCTGACTTTCTCTGGTGGTGCCAATTAGCCAAAAAGTAGGCAAAAATGTTATCATGTAAAACCATAAACATATTTATCAAATCTTATCTGACTTTCTCTGGTGGTGCCAATTAGCCAAAAAGTAGGCAAACAGGCAAAAGCACAAAGTTAACTATTCACACATGCCCCACTTTGGAAATTATGACAGGAAGATGAAACTGTTTGAGTTGTTGGAGCTGAAGCATTGTGTGTCCAGCATTTGAAATGTTGCTATATGTGTAGACGTTTTACTTCATTTTGTCTGACTAATTATAGTAATAGCATATAATTAATAACAGCAGTTTTATGTATTCACTGTTAGCTGTCAGCAAATAGGGCTCTGTTTGAGCGGTTTCATTCACATATTTTGATCAGTTTTGACTGACGTTTTCATCGCAGATCAGTAGTTTCTGAAATGAAACTTTCTTTGAATGGCTTTGAAACGTCTTAGTGCCAGAGTGAAGTTTGAAGTTTGAAGCATTACTCTTCAAATGTGCATGACAGCCCGGTTTTATTGCACAGCTTGGCGCCTTTGAATGGACCTTTGACGGTAGAAATTGAGTCAGATAAGTAAGGTAATAAATACAATGGCAATAGAGGCCTATGGGTGATGTACTGAAATGACATTAGTTCAGCAGGAGGAGGGCCAATTATAAACTACAGCTTATGTTTTCGTGTCTGTAGAGTGATAAATCTTCTACTGCCATCAAGCAGGTAGCACTAAATTAGTGTAAAAATATTGAAAATCAAAGTTTAAGAGAGTGACATGGAGGAACAAGTCTTGAAACCACATAAGTGGGTGTCATGCTATACGCACGGATTTGAAGTTTTGTCGAATGAAAAATGACACATCACAGTAAGATTGTATTATAAAACTAGATGAGAAGTTCTGAGTGTGTACTGCTCACAGTTTACAGATAGGTAATATATTTCTCAGTTACCTTTGTATGAAGAAGATAATCCTCAAAGTTGCAGCACAACACCGGATGATCAAATCCACTTTATTTCAATCATCCGAACAGATTCTTTAGTCTTTAGTGTGCAGGAGACGTTCACCATCTGCTCTGGGGGGGTTTTTCTCCTTCTTCTTTTTTTTTTTTTTGAAACAGTGAATTTACTTTTGCTTGATTAATTTCGTGACTCAGAATACACAGAAACATTACCTTGTTTTCTCTCTACAATCACCCTGTCCGTGTGTGTGTGTTTGTGTGTGTGAAAAGGCAATATCTTCCCTGATTTTTTGACATCCCTCATCATCTCCTGTGTGACGTCGCACAGGAATTATATAATGTGTCCTTCAATGACATTAGCTTTGGGCAAAATTTGGTTTAATACCTGTCTTATGTCTGTGGGACATTTTTTTATCCCTCCCTCCCTCTCTTCCTCTCCTCTCCCCTGCCTTCCTTTTTTTTTTTTTTTTGTCTGTGTTCACGGAAATTTGCTCAGTGACCCACTGCAGTCACTCTGTTCAGTCCTAAAAATTACTCTGCAGATGTATGTTCCCGTCTCAGTAGTCAAAGAGTCAGGCGACTGACCGCACTTCAGTTCTGGACTGTGGTTTTGTGAGTGGTGTTGACTTCTACAGAAATTGTAGTTGTACTGAATAAAACACTTAATATACTGTGAAAACACTCGACACAGAGCTGCTGCCTTTAGTTTGCTGGATGCACACCTCTTGTCTCGTGAGTTAAAACAAATCTCTCTGATAGGTGTCTGTTCTGTAGACTGTTTGACGAGACCACCACAGTGTCAGCCACTGCTTTTTTGGAGCCCATTTGAAACCCCTCAAGGAGAGCAATTTTGCTGTCACAACATGTGGACAAGACGTCAGATATACATTGAAGCCTCTGTCTTTGCAGCAAGAACTCACTTAACCATATTTACACAGCAGCTGTTTTCCTCTGACGTGTGCTCTGGGTGGTGGCTGTAAATATGTAACCTCATACTGCTACGTGTTTGGTGAATTTGGTTTGTTATTATTGGAAACCTTTTAGATTGATGAGCAACTTTAGAAACAATGAAAATCTAGAGGGAAATCTGGTCATATGCTGCATTCAAGTTACCTCGGAAATCAGGTGTCGGAGCTGAAAATGACGTCACACCTGAGCTCCCAGCGTTTCAGTTACCAAATCGGAAAAAAACAAAATCAGAGGTGGAAACAAGAGGGCTACATCTAACAAAGTTGTTAGTGCTTGCCTTATCCGGATATAACAAGGGCAAAGCAAGCCCTAAAATAACTTTCGCAGATGTAGCCAACTTGTTTCCGCCTCCGATTTTTCCTTTTTCCGACTTGGTAACTTAAACGCTAGTAACTCAGGTGTGATGTCATTCACAGTTCAAACATCTGACTTCTGAGGTAACTCTAACACAGCAATATACCAGCTACTGTCAGACAACAGCTAATGCTAGCATGTAGATAATGTAACATTTAGCTTGGAATTGGTTGAACTAATGATAGCTGTACACGCTACCAAAGAACAGGCTTTAACCTGTTTGTTAGGTTTATAGAGCTATGAAATTAACCATCAGCTAATGCAGTATTATCCACGATGTGGTTGAATGCATTAGCTGTTGTCTAAAGATAGTTTCAGGGCTATCATTTCTGTCATTATATGGTGGAGAATGGATGGATTTACCTCCAGGTTTTCACTGTTACCTGTCTCTTCATTTGTTCAAAAGTGACAAAATGACAATTACCAGCAGACCCAACGTTTATTACTCACAACCTGTTCCAGCCATATGTTCTCCCTGTGCTGTAGGTCCCTTCTCCTCCTCTGTTGTCTTTGCTCAGGTGAATCTACTGATTGCCAGGCACACCTGGTCTTGGGTGTTTCAAAGCCCAATTGTTGCCTTCAGGAAGCAGGGGCATTTGGGAGCGGAGACCGCTTTTGGCGCAGCTGCTCCGCCACAGATTTTGAGCATTTGTTGATTTCTGTCCTCGGATTTTCTTTGTTGAAGTAGCTGCAGTTCTCTAAAAAGACCCTGTTAGGGTGCTTTAAGGTGTTTTATGGGAGTGTCTTGGGTCGTGTTGTTTTTGATTGTTGTTTCTACCATAAAGCCATCTGAGGGTGGAGCGTAACAAGCTAAAATGAAGTAATACATTTTGACAGCATTGTTGCTTCCCACACTAAACCTGTAATTAGATGAAAATGTGAACATATTGAATGGGAGCACCTGGTCACTCATGGCAATCTACTTAATCAAACCCTGTGTTGTTTCCTTCTTTACTGTAGTCGGTTCCTTAATTTACAAACGTAACATATTGCCACACAAAGACATAAATCAAGGAAAATTGAAGTCTTATTGCTGCTATTAAATTTGGCCCAGAAGAATGGTCATCTTTCCATGTCGTCCTTTGCAGCTCGACTTTATACAGACATGTGAATAGCCCCCTGCTGGCCATGAGGAAGAATGCAGGTTAAAGATGAAGTTTGGCTTCACTCTTGGAACCAACAGGCTACATCCACTTCCTATACACAGTCCATGTTCTGTTCTCTAATATGTCTCTCTAGTAAATGCAATAAGATATCATTACAGGATAATGGCTTTTACAATGACTCATCTAATCAGTATACATTAGATTAAGAGCTTTTACCATTTTCTTTCATGCAGCTGTAGTGTTCATTATGCTGCTTAAAAAAAAAAATTAAAAGTTTATTTTTTTTCTTTTTCAGAGATTTTCTAACCATGACAGGCAGCAGCAGTTATCATCATACATGTTGATTATTTTGAAGAAACACCACCTTATTGGTCTGTAGATATTTCTGCTTTGAATCTCTCACCCTGAGCAGTTCACTACCTCTCTGTTTTCTGTCTGTATCTTTACTTAGAGGTTGATGACTCTCCTCACAGTTCCTTGGCCGTTACCTAAAGCAAGTGTTGAATATGCATGAGTTCAGCCTCATAAACTGCTGCTCTCAGCGCTAAAGTCAGTAGGAAGCCCAACTCAGCAGATGGGGGGATCAGAAAGAAAACTTAAACTAAAAGAGAAAGAGAGGAGAGGAGGGAACGTGTTTGACTTATCTTTAATGGTTTAAGATGAACCAGATTTCCTCTCTTCATGTTGCCCTTGCACCAAGGGGCACGAGCTCATGCTAGCATGCTACGCTCAATACTGACTCTGTGTTGCATTCTGCTGTTTGTGTTCTTGAATATGGAAGTGCTTGATTGTGTGTATGCAAGTGCTTTTGTGAGTGTCTGTCCATATCATTTTGCCTGAAGCTCTGGACAGTTGCCAGGCAACAGTGGCAGGCGGGCGGCTCAGCACTCGACTGGGCATTCACCGAGCAGACACTTCCACATGCCTTTGGTTTCTGATGAGCGGCTCAGGTCAGCGCTGATACGTTACCAGGTCAGAGTCACATCAGGCTAACAGCGGCGATGATCTAAGGATAATACAATTACACAGCAAACATGCAGAGTGTCTTGATTACTCGGAGTCATCCTTTCAAGCTAATACTGCTGCTAACAAGATTTCTGTGTTTTCAATAATCCATCTAGCACTTAACACTGCACCAGCAGATGCTGTTACTTAGAAATTTGATAATCCTATTATTTTTTTATCACAATTTAATAGAGCAGTGGTTTCTGGTAATCATTATCTCATTATCATTTGGAAGGAACAGTTTTTTATGGTTTGGACAATGTTTGAAGAAACAATTGGAACAACTATTCACATTTTTGACACATATGTTTTGAATTTTTAGATAAAAAGTTGGTTTAGTTGTGATTCAAAGCACATTTAAAGCCCCAATGAGCAACTTTCCCTTACTGTAAGTTCTGATGATTCATATAGACAAAAAATTTCTTATTTTGTTCAGCATATGTTTAAGTTGTATGTTTTTTTTCTTTAAATAATTGCACCTCACATCTTTTAAATGTCAAACATGTCAGTTACTTTGAATCATTGCTGTGTCAGCAGTGTGCAACTGGAATGACACCTGCTCTACAGCAATGAGTTTAACATGAAAACATCTGTCAAAACTGTTGTTATGTCTGATGTCTTTGTACCATGTAAAAAAAATCAGCCCAGTATATAATTACATAAAAAGTCCTCACAGGAGCTTTCAGACTATATAAGTAAACCGTGACTCTAATTAGCATCTGTGTTTGTGCTGTTTCAGTACAGCGTGCAGGTCACTGAATCTGTGGACCAACACGAAAACTCTCTCTTTTTTTCAAAGTGTGTTCATCCTTAGGGAGGTGCTCAGGTAAAGACATACACACTAAACATTTCAGTGGAGATGTAGCTTCATCTACAGAAGATTTAATTATCACTGTCCATGAAAATATGTGGAGCATTTGCCAAGGTCAGATACCTGCTGTTCCTACTGTTGGACGCAGGACTCAAGGCCTTTATAGTCCCTTTCTTTGTTGTGCATAAGAAATTTTATATGAGGCAGAATTGTGGCTGAATTATTATACCAAATATACCAGACTTTATCTGACCAATCTGTGCAAAAGAATGAAAATATAATGTCAGCTCCTGCTCTGGCCCTGCTTTCCAAAGTTAGCTTTTTCTTAATGATTTCTTCTTTTGTTCTCCTTTTCCTTTACCCAGTAAAGGCGCTACACATGCTCATTTGTAAATAATTCAAGCTCACATTATTAAAAAAAAAGCGTTTCTGAAAGAGTTCAAAAATACATATTTTAAGTACTGCAATTATTACCTTTATTTTCTTTTGGGGGGGGTTGTTAACTTATGTATACATAATGTGAACATGGACTTACTGTATCTTGGTTGAACACTCAAATAAGTAAAACATATCGCTTTGGAACTTCCTTAATTTTGACAGCTAATAAGATAACTATGATAGGACACAAGGTACCCAGTTTTAACCTTGTGAAAATGCGGTATTTGAATTAAATTAAAGATATTATCCTTCTCACTTTCCCATTCAAACACAAAACAGCAAATAATCAACCTCAAAAATTAAAACAGTGTTTTAACATATACAGCAGAAAATGTGGACATCACTCTGTCTGGTGAATCAGAGTCAAAGTAAGGGGATCCAACGAAAACACTACAGGTTCAGAGTGTTGTTGACTGCAGTGCAAGTACAGTGAAGGGTGTGGAATGATGAGACGTGTGTGTGTGTGTGTGTGTGTGTGTGTGTGTGTGTGTGTGTGTGTGTGTGTGTGTGTGTGTGTGTGTGTGTGTGTGTGTGTGTGTCACACAGCCCGCTGAAGAGAGGTCGATTTGGCAGGTTATCATCACCACCATCATCATCAACACCACTGACATTATAATCATCAACAATTAAACTTAATTTGCTTTTCAACACACTTGAGAACATGCTGACTGTCCTCTTCCGCCATCTGTCTCTGTGTACTCTCTATACTGAGCTTTATGGCTGTCCCACTCTCACAAACTGCTCCTTCAATATACTGTCGAATTCTGTGGTTCTCTTCTAAGGAAACAAGGCAGCTTAATAAACCAAAAATACTTTCAATTAGACACGTTGTTGTGCCTTTTATCTGGATATGAAAAGGTTTACCATTTAAACTTTGATCTGGACTTACTGTCACATAAATGAAAAACAAGTGTTTGATCTGAGTTTACCAATGTTTGGACTAAAGACAGCAAACTGCTTCAGTTTAAGGCTGCTAATGTTGGTAATCTTTATGTTATCCTGTCAGCTTGTTTGCCAAATATTGTATTTTACTCTTTTTTTATGAGGTTTGAGTGATTTCACCCGGTATCAGGAAACCCAGTTCTCTTTTATCTAATTCTTTCCAAAGAAATTTTATACAACAGATTTTTTAATATATTTTATCAACATGATCCAGATGCAAGTTTTTAAAGATTACCAAGTCTGGATTATCAGTGACCTAAATGGGACTCTTTATGCTATACTTTAACCACAGAGGGCACCAAATTCCACATGAAAAGAAAGCTCTAGTAATTGTTTTTGATACTTTGTTTAATGATGACCGTTAATAAATGAACTATTGTAAGAGGACAAACTCCATCTAATATGTCATAAGAGTTGTAAAAGGAAACAGATGTTATTTTTAGTTTTTCCAAATCTATACTAAGACTTAAAAGAAAACAGTTTATTTACTAAAACAAGATTGGATGAATGGAACTCATCTGATTTTGTGACCATTTTCTCTTGAACAAGCTGTTTTTACAATTTGACCTGATGCAATACCCATGATCCATTCAAATGACTTAACAGTGACTGAACTCTGGCCTCAGCTCTGGAGGTACTGAAGATCTTACACTTCATGGTTTTTGTGCAGAGGCTACAGCATATGTTGTTTCATGTTGTTTCTCCAATTGCCTCCATGGGGACAAATAAAGTTTTTTTTAATTCAATTCAATTTTATTATTTTTGCTTCGAGGCAGATCAGGCCACAGGAAGGTCTTAGTCTGCTGAATGTCAACAAGAAGACAAATTTCCATTAAGATGGAAAAGGCACGATCATTGAGGTTCCAGATCAGTACTTCATTTATGTCCAAATGATAAAAGACCCAGAATTTAGTGTTATGTGATATACTAATATAAATCAAAATTCATCTTAAGCTGTAATTAACAAAAAAAAGGCCTAGCAATCAGTGTCACAGTAGTTCTTCAGTCCTTATGCACACACAACTATGTGTCCTCTAAGGCAGTGGTTCTCAAGTCCAGTCCTCGAGGCCCACTGTCCTGCATGTTTTGGATGTTTCCCTGCTCCAACACACCTGATTCAAATGATCAGCTCGTTAGTAAGCCATTACAGAGCTTGATAACGAGCGCATCATTTGAATCAGGTGTGTTGGAGCAGGGAAACATCCAAAACATGCGGGACAGTGGGCCTCGACGACTGGATTTGAGAACCACTGTTTTAAGGAACACTTTTCAAGAATCATTTAATCCAGTGTGTTAATGACAGACATCACCACCACTAACAATAGAGGAAAAACTAAGGATTAAAACATATAAAATATCTTTAAGAGAGTAGATGCTGACCATTATAGTGTCCCTGTTATGTTTTAGGTTTGATTTGAGGGAAACTCTCCGTAATCAAATGATAAATAGTATCCTATATGCTCTATTCTTGTCCTCCATCGGCAAGTTAAAAAAGTAAACAGATAAAATTAGAAAAATTCAAGTGGGAAATCATTCATTTTTTAACTATTAGCTGTGTTTTATACTGTTGCATCATATTTTTAAAAGTGAACAGGAAAGCATAATAGCCTACTTATAAGTGATGCTAATATGAAAGTGCAATGTTGTAGGTTTTTTTGTGCTGCCCCCTTGTGGCTCAAAATTGTGTTTTTGGCGGTGATGAAGTTCTGGTATAGGTCAAGGGCACGTCACTTGATTTGATGCAAAACATGTAAAAGAGAAATTTTAGAAAAGCTAGTTAGAAATCAAAACTACTGAGAAGTGCTGTTCCCTTTTTTAGAAAATCAAAGATGAATTAGTCACCTACATCATGAGCGCTTATGATGCACTGCGCTTGTAATTGTAGGAGTTTGCTATTAATTTAATAATTTGGATTTCCTGGTAGTGAAGTCATCAACACAGCCAAGTTTTTGGAGAGCTCCCCTTCATTCATAGTAGAAAAGTCTGGTGCTGCTCGAGACTCGTGCCGTAATTATAATATCATAGGAACTAAGGGGTCTGTTTATGTGTGTGAGTGAGAAAGAGAGAGTGTGTGTTTGTGACATTTTGTTCAGTTTATTTCATCTTGTTGTGGGTGTGCACCTACTGTGTGAATGTGTGTCCTGGAAGTAGGTGAAACATGCCTTCTGTTGCTCTCCTCCTCTCTCTCCACAGTTCTCTTAACTGTGTTGTAGTTCCAGCGTGGGTATTAAAAATGAGTAATCTGGCAAGCTTTCTGTGTGAAATCTCCTCAGACTTGTTAAGAGTTTCAGGCTGAGAAGTTCCTGACAATGACAGGATGCCATCTTCTGTCTATCTGGGATATTTTTCTGTTTTAAAAAAAAAAGCAAATAAACACTCAGGATGTTGTTATTCTGTTGCCCCGGATGTCTAACCTGCTCCTCTTTTCGACACATAATCAGTATGATCTTCCTCTTTTCCTCCATGTGTTTGGTCTCATTTGCCCTGCAGGTTTTCTCAGCACAGGGGACCAGTCTGCTAAGGGGAACTATGGCCTGTTGGACCAGATCCAGGCCCTGCGCTGGCTCAATGAAAACATCGGCCACTTTGGGGGAGACCCAGAGAGAATCACCGTTTTTGGTTCTGGAGCTGGTGCTGCCTGTGTGAACCTGCTCATCCTCTCCCACCACTCAGAGGGTGAGTTTATTCCACTGTCATGGTCACATTAGCAGTCATATACCCCGCTCAAAGGGGATTAACATTTTAGGACAGTGTGGGTAGTGTATCTCTCTACCGAGCATGTTGGTGATTTCAATGAACAGCCTAAACCTCATAAAAATGTACGGCATTATCATCCCCCAAAGTGAACGGATGCAATAATCAGGAATGACTCATCCACTATTTGCAGTATAGATTGTGCATATATTTTCAATAAACGTGTAGAAGTGAAGAGATTCATTCAATTTAGAGGGGGGAAAAAAAGGATTGTCAATCAGGTCAGTGCTGGAGTCGACAGATGGATGAAAGCAGTTGGTTGTTTTACATAAAACCATTACTCACCTTGGGACTCGAGCCTGTAATAATCCTAAAAAACGTCATTTCATGAGGGACAAAGATCCCCGACCTGCACAGACAAAACTCTCTGTCTGCTGGAAAACTAATCCTACACTATATAACCTACTTCCTGCTGTATATTTCCTTTGGGCTCCACATGAAGACATCCCTCATTATTGAGGAGACAGTGTCATTTGATTTATGCGTCATTTTTATATCATAAGTCTGATTTTCTTAACACGGCTTGTTACTCTGTTGAATTGCTCCAAACAGATGCATCATAAACATGCGTGTCACGGAGGATTGGTGGTCTTTTCAAGATGCATTAAAATAATCCCATCCCTTTTATTAGATGGACAGTTTAAAAAGCCACTCTTGGTCAGTAATCATGCAATTTGTTCTCCCAACAGCAAAATTACAGGGAACTCAGTCTAACCTCTGATGATTCACCGATTTCACAGCAAGCCTCACTAGAGCAAAATTTGATTTAAGAGCTTTGTTGAGAACAGCAAGAAAGAGCCCGCTGTACAGTATATGATGTTGCCAAAGTTTGTTTTTTCCAATGTTGACAGCCTTTCTTGGATTTTCTGTTTTGTGATGTAACTCATTCCCACTGTTCTTGTTTAGGATTATTTCGAGGCTTTTAGCCTATATTTGATAGGACAGCTCAAGAGAGGAAATGTGAGGAGCGAGAGGAGGAATGACATGCGCCAAATCTTGCTAGATCTGGGAATCGGTGCTTCAAGGACTATAGTGGTCATAGATGAGACACCTGCTCCATCCGCTAAACCGAACTGTTGCCACAGCCACAATTCTTCAGGGAATTCAGGGCCTATTTTAAGTTCCTTAAAATGTTTGCAGTCGAGGTGGGAGAAAAATCGATACAGCATAGTATTGCAACATTTTGTCTGGTGATGTATCGTATCGTCTCATTGACCAAGTATCGATTTTTTTCAAATTAATTTGCTAATATGAAGTCAAATCTGTGATAATGGAAAAATAAAATCAATTGTTTGTCCATTGAGATTGGCAGAGGTGGCATCATAGTGCAGAAGAAAGTTAGTTTAACAAACATAGCAGCACCTGGGGAAAGACATCAGGGATACAAGCAGAGCACGAATGAGATGGACCTGACACATGAGGTTAGCAAGATGTGCTACATACAACGTAAACAAGAAACATAAAGGAAAGATAAATGCTAAATTAGCTAAACAGTTGAAAAAAAGGATAAATCACAATATATTGTTTTGCAATTCTTACTGTAATAATATCGTATTGTGGCCCAAGTATCGTGATAATATCGTATCATGGCGTCACTGGTGATTCCCACCCCTAGTATGCCGATTTCTGCTACACTAAAGAATGAAATCTAACTTTATAGTGTAATAGAGAAATATCTTTATTTCTTGTTATAACACAAGGTATAATTTTGGGTTGCTGTAAAAACAGTCATTTGACATCATGCTCTTTTAAATACCCGGTTTGAAATGCACCCATTTGGTCTGGGTGAGAAAATAAATAGAAGTAAACTGTACAGGTGTAAATGCCCATTGCTGATTGCAGCAACTGATACTGACCACATCAGGTATGTAAGTTATCCCTGCAGCTCAGTGTTCATTCTTTTATAGTTGTCCTCATGACTCTTGAGTTCATTTGGTTTTACTTTGACAATCTGACACAACAACCACTTCCCTCTCTCCAGCGGTCTCTGTCAGAGAAGTACTTTTAAAAGTTCTGCGGTCTGATTTACTCTGGTCACTGTTCACTCTATCACGATTACAGACCACTGCGTGTCTGTGGGAAAAAGTGCATACTGGAAAAGCATTGTGTCACAGTGACAAACAGCACAGCACAGCAACAAACAGCAGGTTTGGTTTGATTTTCATTTCTCTGAATTAAACTATATAAATCTGTTGTACGAAATTGCATTTTTTGATATCATGTGTTTGTGATTATATGAATTCAGCCAATAGGGGAAAGACATACAGTCCTCGTGGTGTCTCCTCCAGGACCACTGCAGATCTGTGTGTTCAAGACTGGACTTTACTTTCTTTAGATTGTTTACGAACAGTAGATCTCTAGATTACCAACCAGATGCTTGATCACTAATCCTGGGATGTAATCTTGGTTTAAGGGACTCAAAACGTAAATGTGATTTTGTACTTACTACTGTACCAAATATGGAGATTATAATACAACTGAAGCCTTCGCCTTCATGCTGACAAACCCACTCCACTCTGACAGATACAACCATCCTTTATTCTGTTTGACAGGTTTTCCCGTGTGTGCATACAAACAAACACATCTTTTGTTTCCTACCAGGGATCTGGAAACATTAAGGACGACGTGGAAAAGCATTTGAATGATTGTGTAGTAGTGGCCAGGTTGTTAGTTGTTGTCAAGTGGCCAGCTAATGTTGGCTGTGTCGCTCACTGCCCATAGACAAAGACAAAGACTCTCGCAGGCAGACTGCTGTCCTAATGACTCTCTGGGTTTATTTTATTGTATTTCTCCAAAATCCCACAAGAATTGGATCTGTTTGGTGACAAAAATATTGCACATTTTTGTTCAAGATTACAGTGTGTTTTTGCTCATGTTAAAATATGGAAGTGAAACATCAACATTTTTGTTCAGAGTTGTTGTGCGTTGATTGGTCGCACAAGTGTTCCTCTGTATGTTGAAGCTAAAATGTAGCACCATATAGTCAGCGAAAGTTGGTGGGTGAACAGTTTTTAAACATGCTGTGTTTTGTGTTCGTGTGTGTGTGTGTGTGTGTGTGTGTGTGTGTGTGTGTGTGTGTGTATGCAGAGATGAGATGAGATGAGGAGCAGAGCTGGAGCTGCAGCTGAGAGGCTTCTTAATTGATTTCACAGGGAGAGGAGCGGGGGTGGGGCACATGCAGAATATGGGGGGGCTTAATTATTAATGACAGAATCTGCAGATAAAACAGAGGGACAGCAAGCCACTTTACATAACAGTGCAGCGGTGCAACAGTGCGAGCAGTTTTCTTTCTCTCCCTCCATCTCTCTCGTTCTGTCTCTCTCACTCTCTCCAACGCGGCCATCAAGCCCACTGCCGTGTGTGGAGTTGTCACCATTTTTCTTGCCGCTGTCTCTTCTTGTATGTAATGGAAGCGCTTCATTTTCCTCCTCCTAATGTTCATAAAGATTTTCTGCAGCTATAAAAAGCAGCAGGGTATCTTCTTCATCTTGCTTCATATGTAATACCCTACTATTGCTCCGCCTTCGACATATGCATTATTTAAAGCACGCACACTGTAAGGCCTTGAAGGCCCCCTCAGCTGCTGGCGAAAGTGTGTCAGAGAGGGAAAAAAAGCCACTTTGAGAGAGAATAAGTGATTGCATGTATTTTATATCTGCTGTGTATGTTCAGGTCTGTTCCAGAGGGCCATCGCTCAGAGCGGCTCAGCCATCTCCAGCTGGGCGGTCAACTACCGACCCGCCATGTACACCAAGATCCTGGCGCGGAAGGTCGGCTGCACTCTGGGGGACATGGCTGCCGTGGTAGACTGCCTGCGGAGGAAGAGTTTCCGGGAGCTGGTGGACCAAGACATCCAGCCTGCACGCTATCACATCGCCTTTGGGCCAGTGGTGGACGGAGACGTTGTGCCCGATGACCCAGAGATCCTCATGCAGCAGGTCAGAGCTGATTTGTCTGGATATCAGTCATCTGGTGTGTGAATGTTTTGTGTGCTGTCAAGTCATGCAGTGTGTGTTTGTCATGACTGCAGGGGGAGTTCCTGAACTACGACATCCTGCTCGGTGTCAACCAAGGAGAGGGCCTGAAGTTTGTGGATGACAGTGAAGGAGAAGATGGCATATCTGCTGCATCGTTTGACTATACAATCTCCAACTTTGTGGACAATCTGTATGGATATCCTGATGGTCAGATCCTGCCCTTCTTACCTTTATATTCCCTGTTATTTTGAATGCCAAACCTTTTTCTTTACAGCTCTGCAAGGTACAAAGTACTGTCAAACTTAAAGGGATATTCCGGTGTAAAATTAATTCAGGGTCAAACACACCGTAACATTGAGATAGACACCCCCTCGAGAGATGAATGTTGTCGACAGCTTGCTTCTCTAGTTATACCGACTTAAGTTACGACCGCAGGATGTCTGGAGTCATAAACAAACCTCAACCAAAACACCACTCTATAGCCACAAATAATGTTCAGAACAGCATCTAACTTCATCAACAGTACATATAGGGTCCCAGCCACAGCACTAGCCACCAAACATCTTTTAAACTTTGCCTGATTTCTTTAGCAAAGAGACTAAACACAACTCACCTACTCTCTTCCAGCAGCCGCTTGTTTGTAGCAAGACCTCAAGCCAGTCCATTATGGACTACAGCGGGTGACACAGCTCAAGGAAGAACATTTATGATCATTTCTTCATCGAAATGCAATCAGACCGAGACGCTAAGGCAGAAGAACTTCCGTGTCTGCAGTACAAAATGATTGATGTGATGATTATTACTTCAAGAAAATGATAAAGAAATGATCATAAATGTTCTTCCTTCCTCTTTGACTCTATCAGCACAGTTTAGGTAAAAAGCAGCACTAAGACCATTTAAATTAGAGACTTAGAGAACGTAAGACTTTTCAACTTATGTTCATTCACTAATTCAGGAGGCAAACTTCATTTGCAATGGCATCCAGTGACAATGACAAATAAATAACAGAGATAAACAAGAAAGGTAAAAAGATAAGAAACCGCTGTGAGAAAAAAAAGAAAACAGTAATGAGATACAGATGTTTGAAAAAGAAAACAAGTAATACCAAAATTAGATAAACAAGGAGAATTTCACAAATATTAATCATAAGAGATAATTGGATTGGTTACATAAGGATAAAAAAAGAACAGAAAAAGAAAGTACAGTCATGTAAAAAGCCCTGAATCCTTGCAGTCTGAGAGGATGAATAGATGGCAGTTTGAGTTAAAATTAAATAGAATTATCTCTTTCAGAAAAAAAAGTTGAGGTCTTTCTTAATTTTCCAGTTAGGGGCTTTAAGTTGCTTACAAAACAGTCTGAAATATAACACGATGCCTCTTTATTACGCACAAAGGCAAACAGGACCATTAGTGAAAAGATTCAGGGAGCTTTCACTCATGGATCATTTGAAGAAGTTGTTCCACAACAGGGAGCGTTTCCTTCCCCAGGTCGTCCTGAGAAGGACTCACTTCCAATCGAACCCTGGAGGGGTTCATTTGCAGCGAGAACGCAGTCAACCTAGCAACCGGAACAAATAGCTGCTTGACTCATCACACTCCTGTGAGGTAGTTAGCCTATAAAAAGCAAAAGGCTGACGTTACTCACTGTCCACATCAAATTCAACATCAGCAGAGGAGCTAGTGCTAAATACGGCAACATCACAGGGTTCGTAAACATCTTCTGGTCCGACAACAGGACATTTTCTCGTGAGGCTTGTTGAACCAGAGAAATGTGTGCTTCTCATGACTAGAACCTTCACTTTTGCCTTTAAAATGTGCGTTCCGCTGCTGGAGTTTTTTGGCCTTGGCAGTACATTGTTCAGCAGAGCAGTGAAAGCCCCTCTTATCCATACGCTGGCTCTCAGATTTGCAAACCTCACTATTTCTGTAAGTATCTTTGTCTGACGTTGGTTGGAGCCAGGCCTCCCACAGTGACCAGTATGCATTGGTTAACTTGTACCGTTGGAGAAGGACGAGGCTTTGACATATTCACATAAAGATTGTGATGGTGTGTGCCACAGGTGTGAAAGCATCTTTACCCAACCCCTCTTTCCATGCAACCATTTTCAATGTATGCAAATGCTGCAGCAGGAAGGTGTCAGGGGAGGCAATTACAGCAGCCTGTTGCAAGGATTCACAGTGGGTGACATGTTTGACTGTTAAAAAAAAAGGAAGCTGAGATTTTCCAGGAGAAAATTCTACATGTAAGCATACAACATAAGATCAGCCAGGAGCTGAGAAATACGGCTTTGCAAAGGTTCTTGCAGGAGATGTAAATGTCCAAAAAGTTCAAAGGAGAGCTGTATTTATTTTTGAAGTCTGATGCTCTGAAGTCAAAAGCATTTCTTGGAGTCAACACAATGTGTACTTGCAGGAAACTGTTTACTGTATCGGTGCACACATATTTATATAAATTTCGCTTTTTCCAAGGTAAAGACATCCTGAGGGAGACTATAAAGTTCATGTACACTGACTGGGCTGACAGGGACAACAGCGACATGCGTAGGAAGACCCTCCTGGCTCTGTTCACAGACCATCAGTGGGTGGCCCCCGCCGTCGCCACTGCCAAGCTGCACGCTGAGTTCCAGTCACCTGTCTTCTTCTACACCTTCCACCACCACTGTCAGACGGAGGCCAGGCCCGAGTGGGCAGACGCGGCCCATGGAGATGAGATCCCTTATGTGTTTGGGATTCCCATGGTGGGGGCCACCGACCTGTTTCCCTGTAACTTTTCCAAGAACGACGTGATGCTCAGCGCTGTGGTCATGACATACTGGACCAACTTTGCAAAGACGGGGTGAGTATGCTGGAAGAAGAGGCAAGTACTTCTGATATGAAAAACAATCAACCTGTTAAATGTGAAAAAGAAATATATAGTTTGTGATATTCATGAAATAAAAAATGTAATAGCCTTTAAAAAGAGCCGACTGATGAAGTCAGAATGTAGACAAGGGTTTATGTGTCATGGTAGGTTTGTTTTGTAGTCCAATGTCAAACTGGATGTCAAATGGTGTATTCTTCCTTTGTAAATTAATATTTGAATCTGTTCTGAAAACCCCATAGGGGACTGTTCTGGCTCTTTACAGCGCTCTTTAAAGGCGCATCAGCTCAAGTTACTTCATACCAATAAATTCTTCATTAATAAATTCTTACCCACTGAGCATTTTTTGGTCTAAAAAAGGTCTAGACGTCTAAATGTAGCCTAGACCAGTGGTTCTCAATCCAGTCCTCGAGGCCCCCCCGTCCTGCATGTTATGGATGTTTCCCTGCTCCAACACACCTGATTCAAATGATGAGCTCGTTATCAAGCTCTGCCTAGTTGACTGGTCTACAAGCGGTCTACTGCGCTACCACAGGTCTAAAAATGAAGTCTAAATCCGGGCTATATCTATACTACACTGTATATTGCTCAACGGCTGTCATAATTGTTTTAGTTAAGTACTTGGAGATCAGTTATACACCTCATAGTTGCTTTTTGAGATAGTTATCGAATAATGGGTTAAAGTGCAATGTCTAAATTCCATCTAAAAATATACAGAATCTAGACGGTTGAAATTAGGTCTAAAAAAAACTAGACATCTAATAGCGGTCTGTTGCTCAGCGGGTAGTGGCACTAAACAATCGATTTACATTTTGTGTGGTGTCTTCCAGGGATCCTAACCTACCTGTTCCTCAGGACACCACATTCATTCACACTAAGCCAAACCGCTTCGAGGAGGTCATCTGGACCAAGTTCAGTTCCAAAGACAAGCAGTACTTACACATCGGTCTGAAGCCTCGTGTCAGAGACAACTACCGCGCCAACAAGGTGGCCTTCTGGCTGGAGCTGGTGCCTCATCTGCACAGCATCCCCAAGGACCCCATCACGACCGCACGCCCGCCCAGAGGACCCAATCCCGGGAAGACTCCTCAAGGCCGCCCCGGCAGCCCCTCCACACCCGCACCACCTCTACTGCCAGATCCTGACCCTGACAGCTCAGAGAGACCTCGCTTCTCCCCCTTCCCCGCTGAGACGAGGGACTACTCCACTGAGCTGAGTGTGACCGTGGCTGTGGGTGCTTCACTCCTTTTCTTGAATGTGCTTGCCTTTGCCGCGCTGTACTACAAACGGGACAAACGCCATGAACTTATGCAGAGACGCCACCGCCGACTGTCCCCGCAGCGTGTCACCACCATGGGCATGGGCGTGGGCATGGGAGTGGTCGGGGCCCCACCGCACAATGACCTGGCACTGAGTCAGGAAGAGGAGCTCATGTCGCTGCAGATGAAACAGCAGAGAGTGGAGCTGGAGCACGGCACGCCTCTCCCATCACGCGCCCTCCATGGTGACCTGGAGCCCCTACGGCCGCCTGTGTGCCCCCCTGACTACACGCTGGCCCTGCGGAGGGCGCCGGAGGACGTGCCACTGATGACAGCCAACACCATTACCATGATCCCTAGCACCATCAGCGGCATGCAGCCCCTCCACCCCTTCAACACTTACCCCCCTGTCCCAGCCCCGTCCACTACACCCGTCCCCAGCCACAGCAACAATGCTCTGCCACACCAACACTCCACCACCCGTGTATAGGACCAGGCACAACTGCACAAACTGCTCCATTCAACCTCCACCTTCACCATTCTCCTCCTCTTCACTACACCTTTGTCTTTTCTCATCCAGCCCTCAAATAAAGCTGCAGTTTGTAAGATTTTAAGCAGTGAAATACCTCTAAAGATGTAACCATAAATCGAGGGGGGCCAAAAGTCTGTCATTAAAGGTCCATACTGCTCTGCCTCGCTACAACGTCCTCGCCTAGTCAGTCTCCAACAGAAGCTTTACCAGCTCATCACAATCAGTCAGTTATCTTCCGTGTAGCTTGGTTGTTTTGCGCATGTGTTGACGTGTCAGTGTAAAACCATGTTTGACATAGCTACATACATTCATTCTCATTCATTTAGTAGAAATATAATGCAGTAGCGAGCAGCTTTGTATGAGGTAACATATGCTCCAACAAGCTGTCTGTCATAAAGCGGTGATTTCTTGAAACTTACAAATTGCAGCTTTAAAGGCCCAATCTGGAAGTGGAACTTGGCACCCTGTGTGGAGAACTGTGTCCCAACAGCTGTCACTTTGTTCTGATTTTAGAGACTTTCGTTTGGCAGGAAGTGAATTGACAGCACCAGAAGTACAAGGAGGGACAATTTCACATTTTAGCATGAGATTTTTGAGGATTTTAGGCTTTCTTTCTATAAATTTATTCACTTTTTTCAGTTACGACATGAACTAAATGCCTTGAAAAGTTTATGAAATCTGTCTACAAGCAAATGCTGCGTTTGAGACATTTCCAGATTGGGGCTTCAACTTTTGGGCGTCATAGGAAATACCCTGAATCAAGTCTGTGGGATGCAACCTGGAATCCAGGCTGCCCATTAGAACTCAGTGCATCTCTGCCATAATCATGTCCATTACTTTGTTTCTCGCCCATTATCTCTCTGTCTATATCTCCATCTCAGCTCATTTAACCGCTCCCCTCTTTTTTCGCTTTTTCTTTCTACATCTGCCCTCGTAGCTCTTTTTATTAAATCACTGACATCCTCCATTTGCATCTCTGTCCTCTTTCTTGCAATCACTTCTAGACTCTCTTTTCCTTTTGGAGTCTTTTATACGAGAAAAAAAAAACCACAAATGTAAATGATGTATTATTAATAAATTGTAAGGATATGAATGAAAAAAAAAAAAGATATTCTGATATCTCGTTTTTACCAGCATTCTTGGTGCCAAGTACTGTGATAAAGATCCTCTTTTACTGGCGTCCAGTGGAGCGCCTGAAGAGGTCCATCCTGACTCTATCTTACAAAAGGAAATACCATCATAAAAAGTGCCAACCCCTTCATCTTTCTGTTTGATCCACACACTTTCTTTTTTTTTTTTTACGACACTCAATGTTGCACTGTGGCTGGTCTCTTTCTTGGAGGGGAATCAGATTCATTAAAAAAAAAAAGAAAGAAATACAAAGTTTTATTAACTTCTTTGCTGTGTGGTATATTTGCATGTTGTTTTGTTTTTTTTAATTTGATCAGGGTGTGGACGGGAACGTTTTCTTTATTTTGTTGATTTGCCTTGTTCTTCATTGATTTTATTTTAAAAATCATCTTCATTTTCTATTTTAATATCAGCTGCACTTTGTGGTACTTCAAAAGGGTATTAAAGTATTAAGAGATAATTATTGTATAAAACTATGATTAATACAAAGAGAATAAATATTTCCTCTTTATTTTTTTCATTTCCTAACACTGAGGCTGTGCCGCAAAAACTACCAGAGAGACTGATGAAAGACTTTTTCTTTCCGCCCTCTTTTCGCTCTGTTTCTCTTTATCTTTCGCAACTGTCAAGTCTGCAGTCACTGTATCTCAATCTCACCTGAAGATAGCACTTTTTTAAGTTACAAAAAGAAAAAAGAAGCAACTACATGAATAAGTCTAAATAAGGTTTTTGTCTGTGACTGACATTAACCACATGCTTCAAGTGTTTGAAGACTGCCTGATGGTTTATCTTTGTGTCTGCTCTTTTGTTGTTTCATGATTCTCCCCACCCCTCCACTGCAAGGCGGGGAAAGGAGAAGGTATATATTTATGACAGTCAAAAGGTGAGAAAGCCTTGTAGTCGCGTTTCACATCTTTCGCACAACTAAACACAGAGACGGGTCACACTCTGGACAATTCTGAAAAAAAAAAAAATGGTGACATTTGGACAACACTGGACAAATGCCGATGTAATATCTCGTCAGCTGATCTGACAATGCACAGAGGATGCATTCTTAAAACCTGATTTAAGAAAAAAAAAATCTTTATCAACAGACATTACTTATACACCATACATCACAAAAACAAGGCTGCAGGGGTCATCCCTCCTCCTTGTTATGTTCTGTATCCTGTCTGCTTAGGACAACGACACTCTGGATCCAGACTGCCATCCCTCACACTGGACTGGAGCGCGCTGCAAGGACAGAAACAACAAAAACCAACACATGAAACAAACTGTACATTTTTTAAGTGTAAGAGAACAAACTGGAATTTGTAAATATTATGTTTGTCGTTTGGTTTGAGTGATTGGCCAGATCTTTTCTTTGTGACAACAGGTGCAAGTTTCGATGACGTACATGATTTATTAGCAGTCATTTGTAAGTTTGATTCTTTCTCAAGAGCAAAGTCCAACAGGTTATTAGCACATTAATACATCTGTTAGGATATGCCAGTAATTAAGAAAAACTATCACAGCATGGTTAAAGAAAAACACGAAGAGAAACAAATGCGGCTCAGGTGAGCCTACGTATTTTAATATAAGAAAATGTCTGATTACTCATATTATATGGCTGTTGTAAGTGCAATGCCCACACTTTGTATTACCCCGTCAGCCGTGAAGGCAACTATTGAGTCAAACAAGTCCTTTCATTGGGTAAAAAGCCAAAGAACAGCTGCAAATGAAAGGCTGGAGAATAGGGATGCTTTGAGAAATGAGGCAGAAAAACGAGATAGGACAGGTGTTTCAAATGTGCTCAAAACAAACCACAAAGCCAGGATTTCTACTTGTGATGCTTATTGTTAGTGTCTCACGTCGTCTCGAGCATCCTCATACAGTATTACGTCTTAAAACAAGAGATAGTAAAGTCCTTTGTACTCGTTTTGTCTTATTTCAGACTCTGATCATGGTGGTTGTTTTGCTACCTTTTGCAATGTTGTCTGCACATTCTGTTAAACGAATTATTGACCCAGCTGTTTGATGTGAGTTTGAGCTGGCCATGCTTCTAGAAACAGCATTATGTAGATTTTCATTTTTGTTTATTTGAAACAAGAGTTCGGACAGCCAACAGGTAACGGAAGCACACTCACCAAGTTTACATGTTTACACTACAGTTTCGATGTTGGCTGGAGGTAAGAAAAAAAAATCTGAAAAATAAAGAGCATACAAGGATCCAAATATCTTCTTAGTACAACATTTATTACTGGAATGGTTAAATGAAGGCTTGCACCTGTTTGTCTGTTTCATTTAGTCTGATTCAGTAACCTGCTTGAAGCTCAAGATACTGTGAGAGAGCATTATGACCAGAAGGGGTTGAAGAATTAAAGTTAATATTTCTATTTCAAATAGAGGCTATTACACACTGTATGTTGTGTATCTGAACTGGAAAAACATTAAAAGACATTCTTAAACAAAAGTTTTGCCATTTCTGTCACGTTCAAGAAATGCACTACTTAACGGTGTTATGTTGTCTGGTCACTTGAGGGAAGAATAACCTTTCTATTACTATGAAAAGGCATCTTGTGGCAGCTTTTTACACTGTGCATAGAGAATGGACACAGCCCAAAAAAACTAAACTCAGACTGTAATAGTTGGAAATGAGTGTATCTCTGACTTGTCTGATTAAAGGTATAGTGTATAGACAAGAGAAATATTTAGCCATTACTAATTGTTAATTTCTAGAGAGAAACGCTCCCCCACTCCCTCCTCTCAGTGAAGCAATGGTGGCCTTTGAGGGTAAGAAGAACGGGTTATCTATATTAAGTGTGATTCTCCATTTGTCAAGTTTGTAACATCAGAAACGTCATATTTCTTCAGAACTTTGCATGGCCACTCACTAAATACAAAAATGCGAGTGTTACTAGTTTGTCCATTCTATGCTGCTAAGTTAAAACAGTGGTGCAAAATGGGGACCACTGTGTAAGGGGGGCTGCTATAATGATGTAAAAGTCTTGCTCTAAGCCAACACAATATTAACTTTTATATTCAGGCTGTTATACATACTAATTTAAGTAAACCCACAATTATCATATTCTATTTTACCAAGTCTGTTCTGGTACGTGCTTCTAAATCATAGACTGTATATACTATGGACAACTTGGTTCCACCTTCCATCATTATATGAATTTGAAGCCGAACTGCTCTTGGTATTTCCGGGATTTTCTCCACTCGCGCAGTAGCATTGTACGCATTTGGCAGGAGAGTCAGGAGAGGGAGCGTATCTCCTGGGTGAGCTACGTAATCTTCGTACACCGATACATAAACATAAACCCCCTAATAACTTTTAAAAATGGAGCTGTACAGAAAAAAAAGAGGACTTAAGCACAAACCAGTCTTACAATAACTACATGTCAACATCACAAGCAGGGGAGAGAAAAATTTATATTCTGTGTAATAAATTTCTAAAGTTTGTCCACAGCTCCATAGGAATTGCTGGAGGAGGCAGGATTTATGACCTATACTGCAGCGCGTCACCAGAGGGTGCTGTTCTCGAGGTGGCTTCACCCAGCGAGGAGGCAGACAGCGTCCATTCTATCTTCAGTCTATGGCTCTGATAAGTGTTACTAAATCCTACATACTGTACCTCAAACTCCATCAATATTCACCCTTTACGCTTTTTTTTTTTGTTGTTTGTTTGGTTGGTTTTTTTGTTGCTAATCCCCATTTTTTTTCCCACAGACTGCTCATTTTGTAAATAATCATTTCATACAGAACTGCACAAGAATACTTTGTTTATACGCAACCTTGTGGTTGTCAAGATTAGCACATGCTAGGAACTATGAGTGCAACTTGCTGACAAAGCTAGCACTGGCAGTTTGTTAATCTTCTCCTCAGTTTCCATTTTGAGAATAGGACAGAACGAAAAATTAACATCTCGACAGAAGACTTGAAACGGACTGTAAATACCCACTTCAATATTCAAGGCTGATGCAGAAGCATAAACCAGGCCCAACAGTCTCACTAGCTAACTGGTAAGCAGCTCTCACTTTGCACCAGCAGCAGGCAGGAATAACTGAGCAATTCCTTCTTTATTTAAGACAGGTTTGTTATCACAGGCTGAACACACTTGTCTTTTAGCTATTTTTGATCTACCACAGCAGCTCCTGAGACAAAGCTAAAGTTAGCCTAAATTGGCTTCTTTTGACAGGTAGCTAGGTAGTTCAGCATGACTTGTGTGTCAGCTGTTAGTTTTCAGGTTTTCTCTCCTGCTGACTCCAGAAACTGTTTAAAACGAGGGGGAATCTCAACCAGTTGTAAAAAACAATTTTTGAGGAGGCTACATATTGGTGCAGGAGGTAGTTTGTTGGCTTGTACTTCCCCTTATTTTGTCCAGTTTTCATAGAAAGAAGACAATGATGTGGCTATTCAGAGAGAAAAGGGCAACGTCAAAGTTTAGCTAACGAAATAAGATCTTTTCACCTTCGATCAGCCAAGATACTGGGGTCTTTGTTACTTTAGCACTGGTTCTTTTAGGTTGTTATAAAACTCAGTGTCCCCTTGTGTTAATGTAATTTAAGTAAACTGATGTTCTATGTCATCTAAAGGGTTTAAATTTCAAACTCTGTCTCCTGCTCTGTTTTTATTTAGCTGTTTTACTCATCAAATCAATATTATGTTAAATATACCTACACAGACTGGTGCACCGGTCCTGCTGGTAAAACTAAAGCAGGCTGTACTTTCTTTCATGTCAAAATAAGTGAACCTTTTGTTCCCTCTGATACATATTTTTCTGCAGGCTCTTTAGTGGAAGAAGAATTTTTACACCACATTGTGCCTCTTTTTACTTCCCCAGTCGCATTTCATAAAGTCAGCTCCTAAAATGTTTAGCATTATAAATACCACCAATAGGTTTCAGGCCAAACAGTAAAGATCGATCATTTCAATAAGCAAACCCTGTCTATGTGTACATTGCAACAAATTTATTTGAGTTAGCACAAGTATTTTCTAAAGGAGAGAGAAGTCAAATCTAATCGGGTACGACTGATAATATCCTGTAAACTTTCTGAAGTTCTTTACTTTTTTTTCATATTTTGAATAGCAAATCCATAATTTTTAGCCAAAAACAGGCTTGAATTATTGCTGTAATAAGACACAAGTTATTAGACTCTGCAGAGTCTAATATTTCATAGAGCTGATGTCTATATTAAACAAAATCATCTTTGTTATAACTTCATCATCAACAGTTTATGGAATTGTTTAAGTGACTGATGCATAAAGTAGTGTCACTGCATTTTTTATTTAGACTCAATCCAATTACCTCTTCAGATAATCACTCAGTTTTCCTGCAGGCTGTGGCCTCAGAAAATACCCCCCTTCATCACTAGATGGCAGTGTACAGCTATAAGGCCATCAAGGCCTGAAATGACTGCATGTGACCTAAATGAACCAGCCTCCAAACCAGATAAAAAATGAGTGTTTTTCTCGTCATTTTAACTCTCTCTATGAGGAAATGTAGAGAGTAATTGAGTGAGGTCTAACTCAAAAGCATATGTATGTGGCTGTCTGTGGATTTTACCAACATTCAGATGATTGTAAGACTAGATTACTAAATGATCAAAGACTCTAAAACCTTTGAGCAGACCATAAAAGTCAAATCCAATTTATCTCACCAAACATTCAAACTCTCACAAGTTTAAGGCTTTGAAAACAGTAAGCTATTTTCTAAGCTTGCTGCAGCTTGACACTGATGTTTTACAAGAATTTATAGTATATTTCATCACGAATGAGTAAAACCGTTTGGTTTTCGGTCCGGTTTAGTCCTTAGAAAGAGTTCACTCCCTCTTTGAAATAAATAAGTTTACTTAGTAAAATATTAGGGGTACAATGACTATTTATGCAATCACAATAGAGGCCAGTAAATGTAGCTATTTTATTAAATTAGCCAATTTGCATCAACACCCACTCATATTACAGTTTCATTGTCCCCCACTGCTGAAAAGAGGCTGTCCATGAGATGGTTTTTATGCTTTTATTTTTTGTCAGAGCAGCAATAATGAAAGTAATCATCTCTCAAAAAGAATTATTGACAATAGATCTGTTACATTTACTTTTAGATCTTTATTTCAACCTTCTATTCCTTAAACTGTAAGTGAAATTAGCATTACAGAGAATTAGGACAACATCTGATTTTATTTTTCCCCATTGCTAAAGCCAACAGCACAAATATCTCCTGATATCTATTTAATCTTAAAGAAAAAGGAAACTCTCATGCACAGAGAAAGTACAACTTTTAGATGGTGTGTTGGAGGTAAAGAGGGAGAGGTGAGGGAGAGATACAGTTGTCATAGAAGATCTGGAGGTTCTGGTCGACGTCCATGTTATTTTTCAGGAAGATCTCAAGTTCCTGGACTGGCATCTCATGAACACTGTTGCCCTCCTTGGCATTTTTAGCCAAAGCTGCGTGGGATGGAAAGCGAATACGGACAACATGTGGCGAGTTGCGGTCATAGTCGGGGCAGCAGTAAGCAGACCATATATCTTCAGGGATGGCCACACGGTCCTGGTTGTTGCGACGGATCATGTTCCCTCTGGTGGTCACTCCTGTGACGATGAAGGCTGTGCCACGACAGAAGTTGTTGAGACGGACCCGGATCCGCTCTTCATACTCACGCCAAGGCCCAATGTTGAATTCTCGTATTTCTGGGACCACATTGGTCAGGGTGTAGGTTGCAGCACGGTCGTGTGGGGTGGACTGATGCTGGTCTGGGTTTAGGTGGCCTCTTTCGTACAGAACCACATCAGAATAGTCGTCCAGGACTGCCTGGCTGTCCTCAAACTTCATGTGCAGGTAACCAGTAGGGAAGGGAAGCATATTCCCATTTCCGTCGATTTCAGCCAGCTGGAGACAAAAGAAAAACACTGAACAATCTGAACAGTTGTTATTTTAACGTATCTATCTTTGAGTTTTGAGAAACAAATTCAAGTATAACTCAAAGGTATTCCTCTGACCTGTGGCTCATACATCCAAGGGTAGTCCACACGTCTGTCCCCCTCTGTTTTCTTGAAGGTGTAAGCCGAGTAAACTGGGATCCTCTTCTGAGGGTCGTACAGAGTCACATATCGAGGTTTGTCAGCGTATCGTTGGCAGATCTTCTTCAGTCCGGTACCAATGATCCCCCTCGGGGGTGTCCCCATATACAGGGAGTCTTTACATCTCTCCACGTGATTGAAATCTTGAACAACTGATGCCGACATTAAAGGCAAAAAACAAAAGGTCACTGAAGCCAAAACTAGGAATTTCAGCTCGTTCATGGTCAAATCTTCTCCCCTGTGTCTGCTACCACTACGACTGCTGTAAAAACTATGACAGAAATGTTTGCAGTTATGATTTAAATGTCACAAGCAGATATGCAAAGCAAGAAGAGTAATGTCAAAAGACAGGCCGTGGGCGTGAAGGCCATTGCATTGCACCAATCATGATTCAAAACCATCATTGAATTACTCACATGGTTGAAAAAATCCCTACATTTCAAGTGTTTCTCTCTATGAAGTATAACTGCTTTAACAAACTAATGAGTCCATTTTGGTTTTGACAGTCTTTAACTAAACTGTTAGGCTTGTTTTAAAAAGACCTCAATAAGGAGATGGTTGGACCTTTAAAAACATAACCTTCGAAAACATAATGAAACAAAAACACAAGAGTTTACTGGAAGTCCTCAGGCTGCATGCTATAGTCAATATTTTGATATTTAATTTCCCTATAAGTCAGTACTATTAGAAATTCAAAACCTGCACACCTTTTCCAGGCAAGCATTAGCATTTGTCAAGCCTCCAAAATTACTTTCCGTTGCAAAAACATCTTGACCTTCAATGATTCTTTTCCTTCCAATGATGCAAGCACACTAGTTTCCTATTTGGAGGATTTATTTTTTATTTTTTATAAGGAACCTTGAATTCTGCTGCTGTGGCATTGAAACACAGTACATAGACACGAGTCTTTCAGGGACATGCTATCAATGTAATGGTAAAATGCAAAAAGGTCTAATCTGTCACAGTCATGAACAAAAGGCCCTCAGTAACCAGCAGTACTATGACACGGTCTGAATGGTGGATAAGCTGACAGGTGAAGGAGAGATAAAGCATTAAAGTTTAACAGGGACGCAACAAAGAGTGGCATTTGTAGTTCAATGACTGAGCAAATCTTCCCTCCTTAGCTTTTATTTGACAAGGTCAAATGAACTTTAAAAGGGATATATAGAGAGTTATGATTATTAGAGAATTGTTTAACATGGTTTGTACAGGTAAAGTGAAAAAAAAATGGATAAAAAGTGTTTAAAAAGCCAATTAATGAACAGGAGTTGTACACAAACTCATGAAGCTGAAGATAGCAATGACGATGCAAGGTAAGAAAATAACCTTGTAGGTCTACATAAGCGTTTTTACCTGGTTATGAAACTCACTTAAATTAGAAATGATGCTTCTATCTGGCCTATAAAAACATACAAGACCATCATAATAAAGAAGACTAAGCATTTCTATGTAGTGTACATGTTTATAATGTCTAAAAGCACTGGAAGGGGATGGATGTCAATCAAAAGCGGCCTTTTATCAACTTTGGTTGGAGAACATAACCTTTACAGGGCAAAATCAGCAGAGGCAAGTGGTCCAGGGGGTTGCCTAAGTTAACACAAATTGAGAGTCCCTCAGTGGAGTTTCGTATAAGTAATGGGTAATTGTGTGGCAAGTCTGTTTGAAGCAATGGGCAAAGAGTTGCGTTTGAGAGGTGAAAGTCATGTAAAAATGGCTAAATCTGTTAGATAAGAGCAATTAGTAGCTGACACTGTTGTTCAGTAATGTAGTTATGAATGAGCGATTTAGCTAAATATTATCAACAGAAAAAGCCCAAAGTAGTAAATGCATAAACATTGAATAATTGAAAACAGATTTAAATAGTTTTTTTAAATTACCAAATGGATACGGTTATGACAGATCATAATGATTAGCCAAATGTAATTACATAAACAGTGGAAACCGCCAGCTACTATCTTTGATGGGCTAAATGGTTGAAGGATTTGCTAACAAATGGACAAATGGTTAAAATACACGGGCTACTTCAAGGCAGCCAAACTTGCCAACAGCTAAATGTAAGGGGATAAAACAAAACGTGATTATAGCTCACATTGAAACTCCTGGGAAGAAGTTTTAGCTGACTTTCAAAACCCATAGAAGTGACCCAAAACCATTAGCAATAAGATCGACAATTCTGATTAGTTTTCTTTCTTTCTTTCTTTCTTTTTTTAGCCACAAGTTGTTGTCAAGGGGTTGGTTTCTGATGAACTGGTTAACAGCAGCTGCAGAGACAGCCTTACGACCCTTTTGTTAAATTTGACCTGGGAAAGAATCTCAATTTAAAACAAAAGCAAGATTATATTTTTACCCTCAAAACATTACACAAACATCTCAAAACCACATTAGATAAAAGGCAGAGTTTTTTTTTTTTTTCCAAGATGAGCCAAGACTTATGCACACTTGAACCTACTGTATTCACTTTTATATGTTCTGTGTAAAATCTATTCAGATACAGATACCTTTAAATTGCCTACCTAGTTTAAAATCCATCCATAACCACATTTGAGGCATGACTGATGGTGTCAGTGACAGGGTAGTTAAGCATATTGGAGGGGCTGTGGGGGTACATCTGACACAAAGGACTGGGAACTGCTGATCTAAATCAACATAACATGTGCTGCAGAGCAGTGACTGGAGTCTCTGCTGCTCTCCTATACTGGCCTCTTCTCAAGTCTGTTTTATGCAAATGGGAGCTGTTTGTCAGATTAGCTGGAGCAACAATCCTTCACTGCCTTAATAAGTCAATTTGAGTGACTGAGTGTTGTTATTCATCGAGGGGGCCGCTTGCCTCTCTGATCTAATCTTGAGTTATGACAATCATAACTAATGTAGCTGGGGCTGATGATGCAGTTATGTGAACAGACATTTTTCAGCTGTCAGCATTTTTACCAATTAAAATTATAAATTCAGACCGTGTGCAGAGGCCAGCTCAGCTGCTTCATCTTCAGTAGGAGAGACTCTTACTGCTGATCTGCTTTTTGATGTTCACACTTTTTTTGGTCAGAAATGCAACTACTGGCTGTAACTGTCTATAACAGTTTTCTGAAAACAGTACTCATAAATTATTCAACAGCACAGCAGTTTCTGGTAGCTTGATTTTCAAAGAAGTGACCAAAATCCACCCGTAGTCTTACTTTTTCACTGCGGTGAATTAAGTTTCAGGCAAAACCCTGTAAGTTAAACTAAATGAATTTGTAGTTTTGTATATTTTTCAGACTGCCTATAAATGTGGTGAGCTTCAAAAACATTTAACAGGTTTAAATCAGACCTGGGACTGTACATCATACTAGTGTGAGTACCCCGGGCTGATGAGTGATCCAAAATCCAAGAAATGAAATGTTGATGCTGTTAGAAAGAGCAACTAATTTGTAAAGGATTTTGAAGATTAGTCAAGTAATGTACCCTCCACTATTTTGATGTGACACGTTCAGGATATCTTATCATTTTCAGTCTGGACTTAACATTTTTACAGCTGTATTATACTGTGCTTCACATAAAAAATGTGCAAGTTTAACCTCAGATGCAAAAGTCTGTAAACCTGTGAATCATCATTCAGTTACCTTGATTGTCCACTTGGAGGCGGTGTAGACCTGCTTGTTCATTTTTCCAGTTTCATGATGATAAATACATCACAAAACGAACATGTATTTAAGTTATTGATGCGTCTCTAATCACAATAACTAAATGGTCATAATATGAATCTTATTTTTGATTCCTAGGATGTGAAGTGTATAAAGCAACAGTCACATTTATTTTGGGTGAACCCTTTTCTGAATAAAAAAAAGCTTTCTAAGATGTTATAAGTTTTATGTCAAATCCATTATTCAAGAAGAGGTTTGAAATATGCTAAAACACTTGTTTAAAGATCTGGTTTTTGGATGTTTTACTCTTTAGACGGTATTTTATTGTTGGATCAAGTTCTGAAGATTTGTTTGTTTTGTTTCCATATGGACCCTTAACTTGAGCATGGACAGTGCATGTTGGTGGTTAATCTCACACTAAAATGAAGTATGTACTGTCACGTTTTTCAAGGTAAAACACAAAAGGAAGGAGCCAAAATGCAGGACAACAAAAATGATTTATTCAAAAAGAACTGAGAGAAACGCAACAAAAACTTACTAGAAAAGGTCTGATTTAAATTCCAAAATCCAAAAAAATGCACTGGGGGAAAAAAAACACTAGGAGACACTGAAGATTTACAACACACTACACACATTCACAATGAACCAACAAAGAAACAGGGGAAGACAAGGACTTTAAATACACAAGGAAACGAGCAACGAGAGGCAGGTGAGACACTAATATACAGGTGCAGACAATCACAGAGGAGACGGGAAAACTGAGGAAGTATAACAAGACTAGAAACACAGGGAATAAACTTCTACAAAATAAAACAGGAAACACTGGAAACTGATATTGAACAAAACACTGAGAACAAGAGGGAACTGGGGTCAGACACAAACTGAAAACTCCCAAGACAGGACTAAAGGGAAACAGGAGTAATAGGGCACAGAAACACTAGGAAAAATCACAAAGAAAATACACTCAAAAGACCAAAACCAGGGGGAAACTAAATACCAGAACATATATCATGACATGAACTTCTTTACACACCTCTGCCAATATAGTGTACTGTAGTACATATGCTTTTATTTGTACCTATTTTAGTCAGTTTGTTTTTCTGTGTAGTTGTGTGTTTTATAACTGTGAGAGTACGCCGAGAGCTAGCTCAGATATATGGTTGTCTTTGTTGTTTTATTACTTTTTTATTGCTCCATTACATCCCAAAAATGGCAGCTTTTTAGGCTTTTAAAAGAAACTTTCCAGACAGAGCAGATGCTCCGTTCACTTGTTCACTACAGGAGACAGTCTGTACACCTCCACAGGGCCACCAGGGGGCTCAATTTAGCTCATATTCTGTCCTATGAATCTATCTCTACTAAGTTCTGCACAGGCCTTCTGATTGGTCCAAATACCCACATGGGGCTGCGCATTGACCAATAGAGTTTGGTCTGTTCAGGGGCTGTTGCTAAGGCACTTCAGAAGTAAAAAAAAAAAAAAAAAATCTGTCAGCTGTCTGCTTCCACCATTTCACTCTCACACTCGTCTGTTACCTCTTGGTCGGCTTGCTCTCCCTCCGTCTCTACCTCTCACTGTGCACTCAGCTGCTCTACCGGCTTATTATTGGCCGCCGACGGCTGAAATGTGCGGAGGAGTGAGCGGAGGATTATGCATTGTGAGCGACAAAGACTTAAAGGCCCTCCCTCACGAGCCAGGAGCTGTAGCCCCTCCCCCTGTGGTTCTCCTGTCGCCTGACATTTGAGCTTAGCCAACACTGGCAGACCTTCTGTCACCCTCCAAATTCAGCTCCAAAGTTTACCTGCAGCTCCAGCAATGACATTGGCTGAATAATGTTAAGAATTTTGATCCTGTATGTCGTGAATACCTTTAAATATTCTATTCTTAGAAATAGAGAGCAGGATATGTTCTTCTTTTAGCTCGTGTAGTCGTAAAAAATCTCCCAAAATGCATTTTTTTCAGGTGGAAACATGTCTGCTACAGCTGTGGAGGGATTTAAAATATCTCCTCTACTGTACTGGCCATGTTCCAACTCTCAATTACTCTCTCTCTCACACACACACACACACACACACACACACACACACACACACACACACACACACACACACACACACACAGAGGAAAAAGGAAATAAAAAGCCCCCTCCATGCCTCTGTCTGCTGTTTCTCCCCTCCTCCTCCTGCCTCCCGTTTCTCGCAGCGAAGTGTGATGGATAAGAGTCTCTCCCCTCCGATTGGCTCAGCCCTCCTGATTGACAGGCGGTGAGGGCCCGCCCTGCCGGTGTCTGTGCATGGATCGGTCTGCTGTGAGAGCCCGAGCATCAGAGAGTGGAGTGGAAACAGGAAGAAGGGGGAGAGGGGAAGAAAGGAGACAGAGGAGAGAGGAACGGGTGAGACAAGGTGGCGAGGAGTGAAAGAGAGGAAAAGGGGAGCAAGAGAGGGGGTGTTAGGACCAAAGGAAACAAAGAGATAAAAAGGAGGTAACTACAGAAGCCGTCTAATGTGTTACTCGCTTTTGTCCGGCTAGAAATCTACTGCATGTATTGTGTAGTTTGGACGAAGTGTGAGCTTGTATTTATGTGTGTGTATCTGTTGATTTTTGTGTGTTTTCAGTGTGTCATTGTTTTGAACGATATGCCTCTTAGCTGAGCATACTGCAGTGTGTGTCTGCAGACTGTGTGCTGCACGTTCATGCATGAAGCCCACACACACACACGCACACACACAGACAAACATGCACACATGCAATGCAGACATGTAGTGCACGAGCAGAAATGTGGAATGATGGATCTAGTGGAGGGGGGCTGCTGCGGTTCCACTTGTGCTGTGGTTTCATTTGTACTCAAAGGAGCACTGAACTGTTGAATATCAGTTTGTGGGTGTGTGTCTGTGTTTGTGTTTCTGGGTGGTGTGCAGTAGTAAAAAGCTCCTGAGTGACAAACTGTGAAGCTTATCAGAATTTAGAGGAAATTTCCAAACTGCCACCTGCACTTTTTGCCGCTTCTTAAAGTTGAATGTGCTGTTAAACACGTCCAACTTGTGGCTTTGTTTATTTTCTCAATTTAGAAAAGTGGATCAAATATTTGACACAAATGCTTATATCCTGAAATAGCACAAACAAAAGGTTACTATAGGAACTGTTGCCAGCTTACACCACAGCATGCACACAGTGTACTCTTCAAGTTGGTGTGACTGCCAGCTTAGGTAACTACCTGGATTTGCAATTCCAGGTAACCATTCCTCTCCCAGTCCCTGCTCTCCTAGCACACACACACACATCCACACAAACATATGCTTCTGTATCATCTTCATACACTGTTAACCTGCTCCCATTGTCTTTGTCCTCAAAAAGCTGCACATTTTTGTTGCATTGTTTGCAGACGACACCCCTCTTTTCTTGCTCTTGACCTTGCCTTGGTACATTCCAGCACCCCTCAGAGAGAGAGAGAGAGAGAGAGAGAGGGAGAGAGAGCGGTGCTTTATGGAGCATACACCAGGAGAAGCTGCTGTTACAGAAAGGGAGAAGGGGATAGAGCAGAGAGGGACGTGGGGCTGCGGGGATGTTATTTTTAGAAATGTGATTGATATTCGCCTCGTACTGTAAGCTCTTTCTCCCGGACTGTGACGCTATTTCAGGCCTGAATCCAATAAAAATCACACATGTGCATGTGTTCAGGGTGGGTCTGTACATTGTCGCTTCTCACTTCCTCCTCCATCTGTTCTCTTCTACTTCCCGTGTTAGCTAGCCAAGGAGCCACCAGAGACAGGCCTGGTCTGGTGCAGCCCATCCTTCCTTTTATGGTATAGGAGTCTTCCTCCTTACACACGCACACACACACACATAATCCGAACAAGAGATGCACATCTGCAGGGGTCCACTGCAGCTAGAAAACCACTTTAGATGGTGTGCAGGGATGTGACATGCTGGTGATTCGACAAACTGAGGACACAAATTGGTGGATATTAGCAAGATGTGGATTTTCCTTGATGCACAATAAATATTTTTGTTGTAGAGATTTGAGGGAAAAGATACAGAGAGATATCATTGCTGAAGTATACGTTAAATCCCCTCCCCTCCCTCCCGGTCTCAGTGTCAAAATCACACACATTCGCAAACACTCCCCTCTCCGCTTGAGGCCTTGCTCCCAGCTCTGGACTAAATGATATCATCGGTTGCCAGGGATACAGGGACACAGCGTGCAGAGAAAAGGGAGGGTGAGGCATAGACAGAACCGCTCACATAGCCTGAAAGAGAAGAGAAGAGGCTGAGATATTGGGTATCTAGATAGAAAAAAAAGGAGCCTTGTCGAGACAAGCAGTGAAGATAGCAAAGGTGACGTTGGAGAGGCAGAGCGGAAACAAGGGGGGGAAAAAAACCTTGCTAGCCTGTCAAAGGTTACTGGCTCATCCTTCCTCCCCTCCTTCCATCTCATTTCATTCCCTTCCTTTGTCTGGAGGGGGTCAGGTTTTCTAACAGTGCAAATGTGTGTGAAAGCATGTAGGAAACGAGAGATGAGAATAGAAAAGGAAGAGAAAGGCAGCAATACCTGAGGGATGGAGGAGAGAGCCTGCCCTTGATTTGAAATAATACATGGTACATCTGTGCACCGACTGACTCTGGTATTTCCTCACTCTCTTCTTCACTGTGTGTGTGTGTGTGTGTGTCTGTGTGTGTTTGCCAGCTAGTAGCGGAGGATGAGCATGTCTATTTAAAGGGATCTGAGGCTGTACCGGTCTGCTGGCTTGCTATTCCTGGCTGACAGCATCATCAAAATTTAGACCAGAGTGTGTCCCCCCTCCTTTCCTTCAGAACTCATAGAAAGGTACGATTGGTGACAATGGTACACACACACACACGCACGCATGCACGCACACACGCACACACGCACACACGATAAGGTTTCAAATAGATGTCCCTAATTTACACTTTGCAAACCGGATTAGTGTGATGAAATTGTGAAAAGGTTAGACTGCCAAATGGGTTTTCAGCAGGGATTGCGTGGACGTGTGGTACATGAACAGGGTTTCCTTGGTGACAAGCAAGAGGGGAGAAGCAGTCTGAGGGGTGCAGACAGCAGGTTTAACTTCCCTGTGGGTGTCACATAACAACTACATATGTTACAGTTTTGCCTTCTCTTTTGTGGATTTAGCACCTTAATCCCTAGATCACACAATGTTATAGCAATGTGATACCCCAGAAAATGTTGCCCTCCCCCCTCTTTGAATGTGATAGGCCAGCTCAATATGAAAATTGATGACATGTGATAACATTATTCAGATGAAATATAAACTAGGATAAGTAAATAAATATCACAATACCATTGTTCGCAAGATGCCCCAAAAAGCAGGGTTGTTTTCACCACTAGATCTGCAGATCTGGTTTCATTAAAATGGGTCAAAAGTGTAGCTCACCTTGTGAGAGAAGGCATTGGTTGTTTATTTGTGTATTTGTTGTGATTAATTCCAAATTCTCTTAAGTGGTCACTGCATATTCTCATACTGGGTTGATGATGAAAACTGTGATTTGTTTTGCAGCCCTACAGTGTTATAGAGTTGCTGTTGTTTGGCCTGAGCCAAGTTAAATTCTTGTCAAAGATCCAGAAAGGTTCATACGGTCCAACCATACAATGCACGAATATTCCTTCTGTCTAGACCAGTATGTTTCCTCATTTTTACCATGAAATATTTCCACTGCAAAGTTCCTGCAGCCCTTGTCAGAAGAGACACATGTTGAGATAAAAAAAGGAAACACGCTGGTCCAGATAGAAGAAATATTAGTGCACTTGTTAGTGGTAATCAAGTGCAAAGAGAAAACAAATGTCCCCTTAACTTATTCAATTATTCTTTATGTATACAAAAAGAAAAAAAAAAAATCAATATTACATGAAAATTTTCAGATTTCTATTTCTGCAGCGCTCTCTCTCTTTCACATGTCCTGAAAATGAACCTAAAATGAGTATGGCACCAAGACACAGGTTGTGCTAATGTTGGCGGCAGCTCAGCTGGCAGCCCCTCAAGATAAGTGTTATTTGTTGAAGCTTTGGAGAAACAACACTTCCCGAGATAAAAATGTTTTAACCAGCACAGCACTGGCTTACATCAAACTCTTAGCTAGTTCCCTGTTGTGCACTGATGTCACAACACATTTCTTAAAATCAGGAGAATGACTTTGTGTAACTACACTAAAAACTGTTCTATTAATTGATAGTAGTATGATACTCAACAAAAGGATCAATAACCTGGCTCCTCTGTGTGTGTAAATGTGATTGGATTTTAAGAAGTACAGTAAATGACAGTTCCAGAGAGGATTTTTTAAACATCTTTTTTATATGTCTTTTATTTCTCCTCTTCAGTGCAGCATCTATGGACATATGCTTAACTAATGTAAGTGGCAGCTCAGCTGGTAGCCCCTCCAGATGTGCTGTGTTTACCAAGGTGCTAGTGGGACAATGGTTGTTCAGTGTAACACTGTCTAATGTTACACTAGCTCATTGTAGGTGTTTACTAACGTCACAATAAATAATCTTGATGCAAGAAGTAGGCATTTCTGCAACTGGTATTGGTATTAGTGTTACTCTACATCCAGCATGACAAAGCTTCTTTTGTTTCACAATACAAGTCAGAAACAAAGTTATGCCTTCATTTGATACAATGAACTCCTATAGTCTACTGTTAGCCAAGCACATTCTTTTCTCAGCTTCATGTGATTGTAAAGCAGAGAGTTTGGCCTGACAGCATCTTAACCCCTTTCGCACATGACATCATTTGGCCTTCGAGCGAATTTCCAGATGTGTGGAATTAACCCAGCACACATGGGTTTAATATAGCAGGCACAGAGCCATTGTTGTGTGGAGTCAAATTTAAGCTGCTGTTGACTGACAGCTCCCCCTACAACACTGTAACAACAGTGTGCTCCAGTGTGCAGCAGGGAGGGTCGGCAACAGATGGTCTGTATCAGAGTAATGCTCTCCAAACACTTGCAAGCTCAGGGTTTTAAAGCCCAGTAAGGTGTCTTTTCTTCGCAAAGAAACAAGAAAACAGCAACACTGTTTATAAAACTGCTGTAATGCCTCACAAGCATTCAAACAAAGTTGGCAACTGTTTGAATTAGTAACAGAAAGTAGGAGTCTTTATCATATTTGAGGATTTACAGGGATGTAACATAAATTGCCAATCTGGAATGCAGCTTATAGAGATAACTCTCTAAAAACCAAAGCAAAACAAGGATTGTAGCTGCACAGTACAGCTCTGACTGGTGCTAGGGAAAAGACATGCAGCTTGTTATCAGTGTAACATTGTATGTTCACAACAGTCTTTTGTGTGTCCTCTCTCTGCTCTAAAAATAAATCTAAATGCAGTTGACTCCAAAAAGCCCGAAGCTAAAGCAGTAAGAGCTGTCTGGTTTCAGTTGCTCTAGCAACTGGTAGTAAAATGGACTCTTGAAGAGGTGGCTCACTTAGCTCATTCAGCACTCACTCAGAGGTTACTATCGCACAGCTGCAACAGTCTTACCACAAACAAACGTGCATGAAGTATACTCACACCACAAAGGAAGTGGTTAAATGTTGCAGAGCAGCTCCTCATACTGTTTATAAATAGCGTTGGGAAATGAGTGCATAAGGAGATATGACCTGTCAGTGTTGTATTCAGCAGGCAAAGATGATCTTTACAAGGTTAGGTCCCCTAACACAGCGGGCTGGGTGTCTGCCAAAAGCAAAACAAACAGAGAAGTATTTTTGAAAACTGTATGCAGTCATTTTATTTGAATGAAATGAAAATGAAACTATGAAATTCAAATATGCAGCAGGGGGGACTTAAAGGTTATTGAGTCCAGTCAGATAATGGGTAAACAACTTGGAGTTCTTGCAGATATGCAGAGCTAAGTTGAGAGCTGCAGAGTTCACTGTAACATACTGAACTAGTGGCTCCTAATGAGCATGGAGACTGTACTAAAGATGTGTGGTGTTGATTTGAACAAAATATACACACCAGTTCTGTCAGAGGAATAAAAATACACTCCAGCAGCCCAGCCTGCCCAGTTTTTCCCTCTGCTCTTCTTTGTTGTTAAAGTGAGGTTGCCATGGTCCTTCATCTGAGAGTCATGTGTGTGTGTGTGTGTGTGTTTTTTTTTTTTTTTTCCTTCAGTCATTGGATGGCCACTGGCTGTGGTGGCTGCTGGGTATCAGTGATTAGAGAGAAACTGAATGCACAATGCAGCTCTGGCTGACTGATGATATGAAGGCTAAACTGATACAAAGCAGCAGGATATAAAGCACAGGGGAATCAAATCCACTACAGATACACAACATGACACTTTGTTCTGGTGTGAATCACAGCCACAGGGGGGTAAAGAGCCTGTTATTACCACAGTAGAGGCATACATATTTCTCTCTCTTTAATTATGTACACATTATGTTTCTTGTCTGTCTTTCACTTGCAGGTTGTTTCTCAGGTGTGAAGTGGAGGGCTCCCCAAACTCAGACCAAGACTGGTAACCACAAAACGCTCATTTTATCCCTCTGTATTTTTTGTGTGCATGGCTGTTTACTTGCAAACATGCACTATATTCACCAATGTAGCACTTTGTTGTATAATGGTAGTAATTTACATTAGAGGACAGCTGCAAAGGCCCCGTGTGTTCAATTAAGTGCTTATTTGAAAGAATAGATTATAGTCATTATGGTGTGTGAAACCAAAGCTGAGCAGCTACTGCAGCTATCAAAGATAGTAATGTTGTCGATGCAGGAATGCACATAAATATTGTTCTGCAGTGCCAAAAAACATCCAAACCTGAATATTACATGTTAGGGCTGCTCCACCTAAAAATCATAGTTAGAGATCTCCTGCTGCTGCTGTTGTTGGATTAGGATTTACTTAAGTAGAGGGTCCGGCCTGTAAGTCTCCTTTTCTTCTTAGATGAGCTAGTAAGTGGAAGATCTGTTTCTTCAAAGTCCTAAACTGTACACTGGAAAACAACATTTGTGTTTCAGGCTGCATGTATCACCCAGCAGAGCTGTACTCTGGCCGCAACACATGGGACTCCTACCCAGCTGGAGGACCTAACAGAGGACAATGGGCTCCTGTAAACGGTCGCCCCTGGAGCCACACTCAAAGGTCAGCAGCACCCTCACTCATACTCGTTCACCAAGTGTTGCAAAAGTGTTCGCTGTAATGTGAGCAGGGCCTTACATATAGTTTCACATCCACAAAGATTTCCAATTATACTACAACAGCCTTGGCCGCCTTCTAATGGGACACTGTTGGCAGCAACAGTTAAGAGAGCAGAAACAACAAAAATGCCTTTGGCAGCCCAAGGATCAAAGAAAATGGTCCAACACGGTCTGAGAGGAATTTGAACTCAGTAGGAGTGGATAGAGAAACAGCTTCAGCCTTGAACTTTCCACTGTGGGTTATTCCAGCAGGTGGGACTCCAGTCTTTGTTGTCTGGGTTGATCCAAAATAAGCACTACTCTCAGGGACTAACTGATCAACTGGAACTGTGATGAGCATATTCATGAAAAGCTTTTACTCCGGCTGCAGCTGTGAGCATGAGCCCATCTGCAGTTCAAACAAGCGGGACTCTGCTGAATGAAACTAAGACGTCTTCAGCTGCAGCTGAGGAAAGCCTCAGTTTGACTCGACATCTGCAGCAGTTGAAGAAAGAAAGTGACTGTCAAAGCCTTTGTGGTTGTGGTTTCGGCAAAAATACCGTTTCTGACTTCTTATAGAAAGTTGTGACTTCGATAACGTGTAAACACTAGTTGTTTCAGACTGTCAGTCACGCTGAGAAATAAATACAGTACTAAAAATGCTTCTTTTAATGGGCTTGTAAAAAGTACAGTGGGAATTAGAGATCACCCAGGAGCTGTTGATCAAAACAAATAAAGACAGTACAGCTTCAATCTTAAGCTAACACCTAAACAAAGAAACAGACTGTTGTTGAAGTTGGCTGTCAGTAAAAACAGACAGGTTTGCTTATTTCAACACCAGACCTCTCAGCTTGACACATTTTCATTTGTTTTTTCATATCCACAGAGGCCAAGATGGGCGCGATCAATCACTTCACCTGTCATCAAACCGCCTCTATAATAGGTGAGTAAACAGTCAAAGTGTCAGTGCACTGAAAAAGTGTGCTTTTCAGCTCTGAATCTGTAAAATCTTATTCAACCAAGTAATGAACAGCAAAGCAAATGTTACTGAAATGCTCTTTGACGAAGAAAGTGACATTTTAGAAGAAGGAGAGGAAACTATCCTCGTAAACTTTGATGCATCTGAACATCATTTTTGTGAATCTGCATGTATGCCATGATACTTGTTGTTCAGTCATTTGTTTGTTTGTTTGTTTGAAGGGGGGAGAGAACAGCCAGCCATGTTCAGGACAAAGGTATCTCTAAAGGATACAGACAGCCACCACGTCTTTGGGATAGCAAAGAGCGTCCATTCGAAACCCAGAACTGGCATCACAACTCCACACGCTCATTCCACAATCGACCTGACACCAACAACGGTTACCCAACAGGACCCAGAGAGCGCTACACAAACTGGGACAGCAATGCCAGCATCTCTGTGGTGAGACCTGCAGATCTGAAAGAGCGTTTATGAAACGGTTACTACAGGAAGTAAAAATATGTCATCATGAAAGCCTTTGATGTGGATTGTCATTTTTCTGCTTTTTTTACTGCTAGCACGGGGGTCCTCGCCTACATCGTAACAGCAGAGAGCTCCAGTCCCAGCCAGAGAGGTGGGCCCCATCAGACTGCCGCAGGAGCTTTCCAAACAGAATGATAAGCAACAGACCAGGACCCTGGAAACGGCCAGTCCCTCACCAGCGGAGAGACCAACTGCACCAGCACAGTCCACCTCCACAGCATCCTTTATCCCCCAGGGAAGAGTGTCCAGCCAAGAGGAGAAGAGACTCGGGTCCTGACCAGGTGAGGTTTGGATAAACCTGGCAGAGATATCTGGTTTGAAACAGGCTTAAGACGACAGTCACCATAGAAAAGCACACTCCAAATAACTTTTGGTTTAGTAAGTCACCAGCAAAGAGGAGGAGTCAGGACCACAGCCTGTCTGCTTGGCAAAATGCAGCAACGCGCCCACATGTCAGTAAATTCAGCCACACCCTTGTTGTGTCTAATTAGATCTAACTCTTAGCTCTTATATCAAAGAGATGCGTTGTAAACTGTTTTTACAAGAGTCTGTATTTTGTTATTGTTAGTTTGAAGTTTTACAAAAACTGTCAACAATAGGCTTTTACAACTATTAGGTCTTATTGAGATTTCGTCCAATCCCAAGTGTCTCGACTGTGTACACATTTTAGTTTGGATTCATTTTGAACATAGCTTAACCCACAGGATATTTATCTTTCCCTGTTTAGTCATCTCATCCGGGATCAAGGCATTTACCTTTGGTCTCTCATGCTCCATCACCACCTCGCCACCACCGCGGCAACCAAGAAGACTGGAAGCCTCTTCATGACAGAGCTGGTCCTCTCCACCACTCTGACCACAGGACCTCAACCACACAGCAACAGGTGAGTCAGCAGGATGACCGCTTAATAAAAAACAAAACCAAAAAAACGAGCGAACAGGCTGACAATTATTGACCTCTTTGACTTGTTTTCTTTATCTTTAGGAAACCTCTAAACTGCGAGCTGGAGGGCATGGCTCTAGTAGTAGTAGTAACCCAGCAGCTCCGAACCAGAGCTGTGGCAGTAGACCACCACATCATGGAAGCAGTAGAGGGAAGGTGGACCGGAAAATCTCCTCTTCACCAGCAGACCACCCCCGTGTGCCTTACAGCCACCAAAATCATCATTACCAGTCCCAACGGCACACAGGCCACCCCAGAGCCCCACAGCACAACCTGCCGCTACGCATGAATGAGGAAAAGGAAACGAGGAACCATCATCACAAACAAAGCACAGTAAGCAATCCCATAATTCACTGAGGTTTTAGGTCATTCTTCAAACCCAGTCAGCCTCTTGGTGATCACGACCACGTCAGTTTAGCAGCTCTTACCCATAATTTCCACCGCATCCGGAACGGCGGCTAAAAGGCTGTATGTGCCGATTGCAGCTGATCGTTTCCATTCAAGTTAATGTGCCGCTTTCCACCGGCTTCTTTCCGTTCCGCTGCGGATCAGCGGACTCCGCAGCTGATCGCAAGAGTTCTGTTTTTACAGATTAGTCCGTGCTGGAAAGGAAGTCGAGCACAGACACAAAATAGAACATTCAGCTTCTTTTCAAAATAAAACTCTACATGTTTCAGGCGGATTGTATTTCACACCATGCAAACGTGGGCGGGGACGAACAAGTGAAAGGTTTTCAGACAGCATTTCATCCCGTTGACACCATTGATGAGGTGATGCTGTTTCTATAAGTCTAGAAGTGGATTTCCCCCTCTGGAGGGACACAATCTACTGCCTATATGGTTATGTGGCTGTTTTTATAGAGACAACTCATTATTGCGCGATTGGAAGTAAATCCATCCAGTAGTAATTGGCGGATGGCAAAAATCACTTCAGAGTTGTTCCGGATGCAGTGGAAATTGGGGGTTACTCTTACATCTGTGACAATAATTGTTTGATTCCTGAACAATAGCCTAAACCCATTTAATGCGGACTCTGCAGGAACCTCAGCGCATTCATCAAAGGGGCAATTCAAGAGATCCAGTCCTCTCCGAGTCCTCTGGCTCTGACACGCCTCCCTACTCATCGTCGCACCACTGCAGTCCACAAACTTCTGCCAGCAGTCCTCATTCTCCTTCCAGTCCATCCAGATACACGGTAGCCAGTGGTAGAAAAGATCCACCAATCGTTCGTCAATGCAGTCCTGGCTTTAGAGGACCGCAGAAACTCCAGGGAAGCCCCAATCACACCCCAAAGCCAAGCCTAGCATCTTCAGCATCTCCTACATCCCAAAAATCCAGGTCCTCAGAGGTCAAAAATAGGAAGACTTCACGGTCCCCCTGCTCCCGACAGACCTCCCACAGTAGATCAAGAGCAAACAAGCCTGAGATAGAGATAGACAAACGGATTAAAACTGACAAGCCAGTGAAAAAGGAAAGAAAGGAGGAGGTTCAAAAGACAAACAGAAAGGGGGAAGAAACAAAGAAGCGGAAGAAAAAGGAAGACAGACGTCTGGCCGAAAGAAAAAAGAAAAAGGATAAATCAACAAAGAAGGAAAGGAAGTTCGGATTGAAACCTAGAGTGGCAGAAAAGGAAATCTGTACCTCTATCTCTACTTCCGACTCATCAGTCGAGGCAAAAGCGAGTAAAACAGAGAGTACAACTCTGTCACAAGAGAAGCAAGGCCTGTCACCCACCAAACACAAGCACAGGGAGAGGAGTGATCGAGAGGAGAAGACACACAGGCCATATATAAAACCACCTCCTCCACTGACATCCACCAAATCTGGGGACCACAACATTTCAGAAAAGAACAAGAGTCTCTCAAAACTGCCCATCAAGGAACGCCTACTGCCATCTCCATGCAAGGACACCAGCAACTATAAGACCAGCAATAGGCCAACCGTCATTTTGTCCCGTTCAGAAGTCGGACCAAAAGCAAAAGCGGATGAGACCCTCCCCTCTCTTTTGTTCAAAGCCTTAGAGCCCCTCACCACAGCCTGTTCTGTTAGCTTAGAGCGGCCCGTCCACAGCAAAGACGACGGACAGGGAGCTCTCAATGCTCCAGACCTGCAGCCTGTCGCCGTGATGGGAAACCTTCAGGAATTAGGAGACAACCTTGCAAACACTCCCCCTGTCCTCAGCTGGCAGGGATCTCCGGTATCAGATGTGGGAGACGATGAGGAGGAGTTAGAAAAGGGAGTGATAAGTAGACCTGTCCTTCAGCCAAGCCCGACCCAATGCTTCTCCCCCCCTACTGCTGATAGCGAGAGCACTGAGGATTTGAGCAGGGAGTCTTGTGGAGGTACACCAGCTGATACTTCACAGGATGGCGTGCCAGGACTTGGTGATCTACCTTGTACAACTGACCAAACTGCCAAGGAAGAGAAGGAGGAGGAGGTGGACTGCAGTGGGGAAACTTCTGTATCCCTTCTTAGCGAGCTTCACCACCATAAAACAGGCTTGGATGATGTCTTCAAGAGTCTGGCCAACTTTCTCGGGGGCCAGAAAGTCACTTGTCGAGGCGGCCCGTTTGGTGGGCCTTTTGCTAACAGTGCTAGAGGAGTTAAATCTTCATCTTCGCTTGAATTGGGACCAGAGATTCATGAGCATCAAGATTTCTTCCCTAAACTCCATCCCATAGCGTCCTCTGAACCTGGCAATCAATCACCAACCCACTCTACCTCAGATACTCTTTTGAAATCCAACTTCTCAGTGGATCCAAAGGAGCCTGTTAAGGAAGCCCACCTGCAGAAGAAGCAGGAACAAACTGAGATCAACGTAAAAGAGAAACAAGAGGAGAAGAAATCCGAGATCATCACTGAGGAGGCAGAGTCATCTCTTTTGGACGGGTCACTGAGTGCAAAACTGAGCTTAACCACAACACACACAGCCTCCTTCACCAGCCTCATCACCGTCACCACAAAGGAAGACCGGGGAGGCTGCAAAGAGACGGATCCCAAAGGCACCGTCAGAAAGAGAAAACGCAAGTGCAAGGATAGAGAGCGAGAAGGAGAGATCAAGATCAAGATCAAGACAGAAGAAAGCAGTGTCCTTTGTCCAAAAAACAAAGCGAGCGAGAAAAGGAGAGTCAAAGAAAGAGATGTTTCATCCTCAGTCCTTGTCATCTCCAGGAATTCACCCAGAGCGCCCAAGAACAGAACAAAAAGCAAGACTCCTCAGGAAAATCAAACCAAGCATGTGAAGGAGAAAAAAGTGGTCAACGTAAACACTGAAGAAAAGATCATAACAGAGGTGAAAGAAGACGTAGATGGGTTAGAAAATAAGACAGCAGCAGTAGCAGCAGCTGGAAACACAAATGAGATGCCAAGCTCAGCACCAACTGTAACAATCAATACATCCAAGATATGTGCGTCTACACCAGCAACTAAACCCCCCTGCCCCTTAGCTCCAGTCGACCCACTGAAACTGAAAGCATTGTCCATGGGTTTGTGTAAGGAGTTAAAGATCCTTCTGATTAAACTTGAGATTGCTGGAAGACAGACGTTCAACATATCAGAGCTGGAGACAAAAAAAATCCCTCTCTCCAAGATCAGCATTGAAAACACGGCAGCTGAAGTGATAAAAGCTTGCAAGTGAGTACTTCTTATGGAAAAACTGTCTAAGCATCTCATTCATCTGAATTCATCTCATGAAATTGAAGGGTGTCTGACAGGAGTCTCTAAAGTTTCTCCTTGGATTAAAATTGTTGTTTATTGTCATTTTTATCCAGAGGGACACAGGTAAAGGGGAAATTCAAGGAGTCTTATCTGCTTTCCACCTTCTCTGTCAAACCCAACATCGCCACCGTGACCCCTATTCCAAGAGAGAAACTGAACCCCCCGACGCCAAGTATCTATGTGAGTCCATGTCAACTGAACCGGGCGCTTAAAACTAGAATATCTCTTTCTGCACCTTTATGAACTTTGGTATGTTATTTTGTTATTTGTTATTTTTAGTTGCACAAATTAGACATAAAATATTACATATTGAAAACAAAAAAGTTCAGCGAAACTGTGCAGGAGAGGAAAGAAAGCTAAAAGGGCTTTTACAGTAGATTAAAACATGCTGAATCTTGAACAATACAACATCAAATAATCTAAATGACAAGAAAAAAAAGAAACATGTTCCACAAAAAAAGTTCCCTTTAAATGTGGATCAGGTGCAAGTGACTGGTAACACAGATATCTGTTTGGATAAAAAATGAAGTGAGATTTGAAAGTTCTGAAAGAAAAAGATGATGATTTGTGTTCATTCATGTTCCCATCTCTTCTAAAAATCCCATTGCAATTCTTATCAATACAAGGATGAATAAAGTATACCATGATAGTACTGTTATAAACACAAAACTAATGACTTTCCCACTGGCCTCAGCTGCAGCCTGTTAGCAGAAAAATGATAGCACGTGAACATGAAAAATTAAGATGCTGAATGAGATCCTCAGCCTGTGTCAGCACTGCTTTTTGAACTTTTTTACATTTAGTACAGCTCCACTCTTCACTTCCATTTAAGATAAGATAAAATAAGATATTCCTTTAATAGTCCCACAGGAGAAATTTCAAATTTACAGCAACATAAATACAGATACAAAAAGAGACATTAAAGGATAAAAGAGTTAAAAAAAGATAAGCACATGAGTCTTATTTACTATATACATGTTTACAGAATATACATATAAATATGGTTTATTGCACACTGAGGTTTCTGTTGTGGAGTCTGACAGCTGCAGGAAGGAATGACTTGGGATACCTCTCCGTCACACACTTTGGGTGGAGCATCCTGTCCCTTAAGGAGCTCCTCAGTGCAGTGAGTGTGTGTTGGTGGGGGTGAGAGTCTCTGTCCAGCATGGAGGACAGCTTGGCTGTGATCCTCCTCCCCCCATCCTCCTTCACAAGTTCCAGAGGTTATCCCAGGACAGAGCTGGCCTTCTTTATGAGTTTGTCCAGCCTCTCGCTGTCAGCTGCTGTGATGCAGACAGGAAGCGGCTCTGGATTTAGACAGTGTTAGGAGGCATTAAACACAAAGCTAGTCAGTATCATATCCAGTGTTTAACATCACCAGTGTCATTTTGAGCATCTTTACATCCTGTTGTTAGCATTTAGCTCAAAGGAAAGTTGTAAGAAAATACAGCTGCACTATGCGCTCAGTGTCTCATAAAAAAATGTATGATATTGAATAAACGTGAAGAATACTATCAGCATTGTCACTTTGATTATGTAAAGATGCTGACTTGAGTAATTAGCTTGCACCACAGTTGGGCCTGTAGCCTCACGGGGGCAGATGGCACGACTGTGTCTTTGAACATCTTCAAATCACAGTTATCTCGGCTTTTTAGAGATATCTTTAGGTTCCCCACCCTTGTTTATTTTTTCCATTTTTGTTTGAAATGTAGTCTTTTTAGATATGCTGCATTCAGATGTTCATAATTACCCTGTTTGTTTTTTTCTCAGCTGGAGAGTAAGAGGGACGCTTTCTCTCCAGTTCTGCTCCAGTTCTGCACTGATCCCAAAAACGCTGTTACTGTCATCAGAGGCCTCGCTGGTTCCCTCCGCCTTAGTAAGTTTATACACCACACTCATCTCAGCTAATTTGCCTCAGTTCATTTACTCTACTTAGTCCAACAGAATTTATCAAATTACATTCTGCCTAAATGAGTTTTTGGTGATTAGCAACACATTGCCATTAATTAGGGCCATTTTGTTTTGTGAAAATTATCATGCAAGGAGCAGGGACAGAGGAAAGAGAAGAGAGGGGCTATTTATTAAACAGCTCGCCTTATAATAAGCTTTTTGTGCTTGAAGTTTTAAACAATGAATGTCTTGAGCCAGTTTTGTAAAAGAGACATCATGTGAATGTGAGCGCTGGCTGTGACGTAGCATCCTTCTCAGATGAGAGCTATGTCTATAAAAGTCCTTTGAGCCAGTCTGTTCGCTCATAATTTGTGTGATAATGATCCATATTGAAATGCACACTATGTATTTACAACCATGTCATGAAGGGTGGACCACGGTTACTTTGAACAGGTTTGCATACTCTAACTTTGTCCTTAATGTGAACTGTATAAATTTACTTATCTCATTTCTGAACCTACAGTGCTCAGCATAAATGAGTACACCCCTTCAGAGCTGTCAGAAAACCTTAAGTTTCCTATTAAAATCAACGTTTTCTATGTCAGATTATACAATATACTCCCCCAAATGTAGGCCATTGATTGCAAACAAGATTTTTAAAGTTGCATTCAAAAAAGTATTTTTTCCAATTTAAAATCAGGATGCAAAAAAGAGAACGACCTAATCAAATTTCTGGGAGCAAAGCTAAACTTTAGTTACTATATCACCATTATTTTCATCTTGCGGTAAATCAAATGTTATGTTAAACCTAGCTTTGTCAAAACTTTGGAAATCGTACTTTTACTCATCTAGATATTGGGTAATACATTACTTTTAATAAGGGGTGTACTGACTTGTGCTGGGCACTGTACATCCTTTCTGAATACCATACCTTATGTGAAATATTAAAAGCCAAGTTTCAAGAGAAAATAAATACCTCTGTCCAATGACAAAGACATGTATTTTTGAGTGGTGCCATGATGGGTGTAAATGTGAAAGTAATCACATGTTAGGTGTCTGACAAAAT